TCTGAAATCGGCACCTCCAGGCCGACCGCGACGACCACGACGCGCGACTCCGAGCCCCATTCGGGACGGGACGCCTTCAGCGAGAAGCGGCCCGATTCGACGGATCTGAGGGGACCGTCTCTAACGGTGCGTGCTTGCCCGTGTGGTTTGTGTCTTTCCTTGCTGACGGGTTCCGCAGCTGCTGCTGGACCTACGACCACCCATGATCTCACCATGATTCCGGGATTCACGACCACGTATAGCAAACCCAGCGCTGCGGATAAGATGATTGGTACAGCACAGAAGGTTTTTGTCGTCGCCGGTTTGGTTGGCCACATCTTGACTCACTCGATGTCAGCTCGTCGGCTAAGGTCACAAAAGAACCGGGAGATGGAGGAGAAAGGACAGATTCGCGCGTCTGAGGGTAAAGCCGCTGCGGCTTCGATTCACTAGGTCTTTTTATGCCCTGACTTACAATTGTACACTGTATCATAACATGCTTCTACCAACGCATGCAAGCCACTGGAATACCCTGAATACCCTCAGTAATTGAATGATGTCATGAGGAGTGACGTACATGTCGTGAGCACAGGTGATGACAGCAGAGCATGTGACCGCGTTTGATGCTCGCGCCACATCTTGTCCGCGGTCTTTCGGTCATCGCCCGCTGCTCGACATGATATCGGTCGGTTTACGACGCTATCAATTCCAGCACTCTTACGATGCGAGGTACGCCCGATCGAGTTTTTGGAAGTCTGCTTTACTCTCTGTCCTCGATACGATGAGGGCCGCCAACACCGAGTTTGCAATCCGTAATCCCTCGGCCTGAGCTGTACAGGGCCCATCCTATTGTCGCGTCCAACGGGATGCTGGTGAAGTAGACATACAGCGAAGTGTCTTTACCGGAGCATGGGATGGATCGATGGATGGGAAAATCGCAAAGGTCTCAGGGCTCAGCTGTGATGCTCATGTGATATCTGCAGTCCTATCGCGCGTAGGCGCGCTGCTGCTTTCAATGCGCGCCTCACCCCAACGCTTCTTGTCTGGAATCTCGCAATCAGAGACGCACGATCTGCCCAGCATATCTTGAAGCTCGACGAGACCAGCAGTCTCCGACAGACGATTCCCCCCGCGGCTTCTCCGTCGCATCCGCTTCCATCATCTCCGTGACTCGTGAGCGAGGATCTGCCTCCAACGTACTGCAAACGGCAAACGGCACACGGCAAGCTGGTGTTCGTAACGGCGAGCGATCGCCGCTGGAGTCTGGCCCACCGTCGACCCTTTTAACAAACTTCACCGCACGGAGGCATTCCGGCTCGCGAGCGATCGTCGCAGCAGATCTGGCAGGAAGAATGCCCTCCTCGGTATGCCGTCGGGAGATCCGTGTACGACCTGGGCGCCAACTGCTGCAGCGCGCGAATCCGTGGCACGGTCTGTGCCGGGATAGACTCTCTTATATGAACCTGGGAACCTTCTTGCTCTGCCGCCCGGATAGGTATGTCTGCGATGCGCGTTTATCCCGAGACCAATGCAGTCGCGCGCAATCAGGCTTCAGGGACTTGATGCACTATGTCTTTGCTCAGGGTGCTGGCGCAACCTTGGATGACCCGTATCTTGTGGCGCCGCTCGCACGACACCTCTTCCGCAGCGTCCGTTGCCAAAAGGGATAGATTGGGGAACCGATTTGTGAGCCAAGTCGCACCGAAATGCGACTTGGAATGTCTTGTTCTATGTCTCATGCGTGTGTGTCCATCTCGGTCGGCTCTTGTTGATGCTGTAGATCTGATATGTAGCGACTATCTGTTCTCAGAGATTGCTCGCAACCCATAATCGTCACATTGATTTTCGGCTTGGATCTGCTGTGTGGCGATTAATATCCTTTCCAGGCTGCACTCGACATTCGGGATATGTACGGAATGGAAAGTGGCCTCCCTCTCGGTTCGCTGTCACCTGCTCACAGGTCGCCTAACCTCGCAACATCTACTTCCAATCCAGCATGGAAGGGAATGCCGATGTGCACTTACTAGTCCTATTGCTACTTACTTCTATGTTATGGAAATCGAACTACAGCACTAGTACGCTTCCCCGGAAAGTTCCTATCACGGTGCTACTTCTTCGGGAAGTCACCGGAATCTGCAGACTGTGTTCGTTGCCTGGCCTGGCCCTTCTGCATTGCGTGCTGAGCTATTCTGCCATATCAGTGGCGGGGAATCGCAGTCCCCGGCGGTGACCGTGCCTTTCGAATCTCCGGTGTTCCTCTGTAAGCAGACTTACATTGGCATTTGACGCTTTGATCTTATCTTGCCGATCGCTCCCTGTCCGATGCTCTTTTCGACTTCCATTGCTGTGGGCCGTAAGCTGTAGCCCACTCTCATCATCTTGAATGCATCTGAGTGCTGTTCGGCTGGCATCCGTTCTATCCTCTGTGATCGCTTGTTTGTCGGTTCCGCGTAGGGGGTCCCTTCGAGCAGGCCATGCCGCCGCAACGTGTGTGATGAGAACGTGTTTGTTCTTTCTCGGATTTGTCGTGGTACCAAAGATGCACATCTACGCATGCGTGCATCAGCGACTACACCGCTGCCGTGGGAGGAGACGAGGTATTTGGAGACACAGACCAGACTATTCGGGGTGCGATACGAATCGTGTCTGGGTGGAATGCTGATGCACTGCCACCAACGTTGTTTCATGTCTTCGATGTCGTGTCGTCGTCCCCCCTGCAAGTTCGGGATCACGGATTCCATTCCGCTTTCCGACCCAGGATCCGACCCCAGAAATGTAATTCAGCAGGGTGGCCCCAAATGGGCGCTTTGTGAATGGTCTGCGGAGCCGTGGTGTCCGATCGCGAATTCAGCCAAACAGCAAACAATTGTCACGCTACACCCACGGCCTCTCCTAACTTGGTAGCAGGCGCGAGATGGCCCCGGCGCTGCGCGGAACGGCGGGCTCGAAGACGAGCTGTGCTGGCACGGGGGGTCTGGTTACGATTGCGTCAAAGTACGAAACTGGGGATGGATCGCACCTCAAGGCTTTTCCGTAACAGCATCCTGTTGTTACCCACGTTCAGATCTAACTGGTGAGTCACCGCAGTTTCACGTCATTGTCTTTATTGAGTACCTTGACGGAAGCGGTCGGTATAAAGGGACGAAGCGCAATGAGGCTGGCCAACACGCACGGAAGTTACCCATAAAAGCCTGTCTTATCAGCCGCCGCTCTTTCATTCGGACAGCCTGCCCCCCATGTCTGCCACACCCGCTACAATATCTGCACTACCCCCGTGCTACCCCTCCGCGCCGAGCTACTCTGTTGAGCCCGCGCCCGACGAGAAGCGGCTGGAGTTCAGCAGACGATACCACTCGCGTGCACAACCGACGGGCAACTTTGTTAAGCGCACAGAGGACGCCGCAGTCGTGTTGCTCGAGCAGGACGACGATGCGGAGATCCCCGTGTATGGACGCGGCGCGTCTATCAGAGGGTTCGTCACTATTGACCAGGACCGAGAGCTCGTTTCCGAGGTCGTAGTCAAAGTGAGTGCCTGGTGGCCGTGGGTCCGTCTTTGAATCCCGTGCTCATTGCATCTATCAGATCAAAGGCAGAATCGAGGCCATGGTCTCCGAAGCGGGCGCCCATAGGCAAACGATACTGGATGACTCGCACACGCTGTGGTCCTCATCGTCGTCGCGAAACAGTTCCGTCTGTCCCGGAGCTGTGCCATTCGTGGTGACCCTCCCCACCCATTTCAAGCACTACTCGCCGACCGGGGCGCGAGATCTCTCGCTGCCCGCATCCTACGAGCTGCCGAACTCGACTGTTCCCGGCCTGTTTCTCAGGATATCATATATCATGCAGATCGTGGTGACCCGCGTTCGATCTCAGCGATGGAACTTCATTGCCAAGAAAAGCAAGCTGTGTGTGACCCTTGTTCAAACTGTTCGCCGTAGCTGATTGGAGTTGATCACAGCGTGTGTGTCCCGTTCAAATATAGCCCCCGCTCGCAACCCGCGGCGCCGATCCACCCGGTGTCTGACTTTTTCCTGGACATCAAGACGATGCCGGAGGAGTTCCGGCAGATCGTCTGGCAGCTCACGCCGCGGCCAAAATCGAGCGTGGATCCGCTGGACCTGCAGCTCTTCCTGCCGGCCTCCGGCGTTTTCGCACTGGACGACACGCTGCCCTTCCACGTCCATCTGTCCGGCCCCCGTGCGTCGCTGCGGCGCTTCGCCCCGGCGTCTGTGTCTGCGGCTGCGGGGGACGAGTCGCTTGCGGTGATGCTCGTGAGGCAGATCGTGTACGACCACCACGGCCAGCGCGCGGCGCGGACCATGCCGATCGGTCATGCGCAGTTGTCGTGCTGCCCGCCCCAGCCTGGTGTCGCACCGGATGGCGACGGCTCGCCAGCAAGCCTGGACTGGACCGGCGAAGTCAGGTGCAGCGAGCAGACGCAGGTCGCGAGCTTCATGGCGGGGTCGATCTGCGCGCAGGACTTTTTCGTCGTGCAGTTCCGCCCGGCGGGCTGTAAAACCAGCCAGCTGTATACCACGCTTCGGTTCTCGCTACCGGTCAGGATTGTCACTGAATCGTGGATGGAGAACTCGTGGCTGCGCTGATGTCGTGTTATCTGTCCCTTCTTGTACTATAACCACCTAGAAATTACGAATGTATGCAATACCGACGCGTTGTGTCACATCTCACGTGCGCCCAGCTACACTCTGACCTGGAAGTTGAACCAATTTCCCCAATTATCGAACTCAGACAATCATCGACTGATCGTCCTCTTCGATAGCGAAATTACTTTCCACGTGTCGCATGCTCGTTCCTGTTCCCCAGGCGTCTCTGCATCTATCGAACCCGGTAAACTACCGCATAAACGCGTCTTAAAACCTGCATACATCAGGGCAGGGGCATGCGTCTTGCCATTCTCGTCACAGTTACCGCAATGAAATTCGCGTTTCCTCTCAAGCCCCAAAAGGCAGAAATGCTCCGAACGGTGTGCAACATGAATCCTATTACATAAATCGCATATGTGTGGGGCGGCTCTTGTATCAAGCTCAGTGTGTGTGTGTGGATCCCGTTCTGGAGCCACGCAGTGCCACTTGTGCGGACGTCGAGATGACGTGGATAGGGGTTTATTCCCGGTGCGAGTGGATACAGCCACGCGCTAATGGTTTGTGCCTGGATCGTTTGTGTATCATAACGCTAGATGGATGGGTATCAGCGATCCGGGCGAAGAGCAGAGAGCCGACTACTACGGACACTGCCAGCGCACGGTACGGATTTGTGGGCAGGTGGAATGAGTCAGGACTGTGGTCGGGATAATTATCTGAGATGCAAACAGCCCAGCAATTAAATTGTTTTGGCTTGTAGCACGATACGAGGGCATGAAGAGGGCCTTTGCATGGTTGTGCAGGTCCACCAGCAACGCCGCGAAAAAGCCTCAGCACGCGACTGTGGTGAAGGGGAAAACTTCGATGGTAGTGCGTTAGTAATCAAAGTTTCCTTCCGGTTGTATCAGCGAATGAAATGATGTATACTTTCTTTGAAGTTTGAAAATGGCTGCGTATGAGCCCGTGAGTGGGGATCAATTGCTGCGAAATCTAGTGAGGAGAGCAGATAGAAAAAGTCATGTTCGGCCATGAGATCAGCTTCATAGGCTTCATTGATTTGATCTGGGTTCACCGTCTTCTCTGTAGGGTGAGGTGACGCCTCTCGACTGTCTTCGTATACACTCAGTAAGTACGATTCGTCAAAACGTAAAAGAAGCAATATCCAACGCGTCCTGTCACGTCACGTGGACCTCATCACTTGAGGTATTCCTTTCCAGCGCTTCGATGTTGACTCGGGTCCAGGAAGCTCAGAAGTCCCGATTTGAGCAATTAAACTTACATAGAGACTTCTCAGCCTTCTTCAACGGTCTTGATCTCTGCATCAGTGCTCCTCGGGACCGATCTCATCAGGGCGAGCAACAGTGGTGTCCGGGACACACTGCTGAGCCACTCTCAGGACCTCCTCGGGATTCTCGAAATCCACTGGCGGATGATATGGCTAGATCAAACACGGTCTCGAAGGTCCGGCGAAATTCCCAAGGCACGTGTGGCACCTCATCAAGGAACTCACGCTCCGCCTGTCGATGAAACTCTTTAATGTATACAGTAGACGCCTTCGCGGGCTCATCTGACCGCAAAGGTATATAATCCACCGCTTGCGGGGCACGACCTTTTTTCATTCCCACTCACTATTCCTTCGATCCCTTCCGACTTCGTCTCTCATGAAGTTCGCTCCTGTCGTTTTGGCTTTGGGTCTCGCGGCGTTGGCTCTTGCAGCACCGCCTCCCACAACGACGATTACAGAAACGTCGCCCACTGCATCGATCTCATCCACTGCGTTCGTTCCTTCTCTCGGAGGCCGTGACTGAACGCTGATGAGAACGACAGATCGCAGAGCAGCAGCGCCTCGTCCGTCTCTGCCAGCGGATCGCTCACTTCCGCCTCGCTCTCGAGCGCGTCGTCGCTGCAATCTTCCTCGTCGAAATCGATCTCAGGGAGCAGCCACGTCACCAACACCCCGACGACGGTCAAAACGACTGTGAAGACGAGCACCCCGACTACAACTACTGCACAGCCTTCTACGTCCACCGTTATTTTCACCAGCGCTAGCTCTAGTACAGCGGTGTCAACGCCCTCTTCGTCGAGCGTGAGCGCCAGCTCGTCAGTTACCCCGACGTCGCCATCGCTTCCTCCGTCTGTGGTCACCACCGCGCCACCCGGAACCACCGTCTCCCAGAGCTCGAAACCCAACTCCGCCCGGAAATCTGTCGTGACGGGCTTAGGTTTTGCGATTGGTGCGGGGATCATGGTGGCTGCGCAGCTCATCTGAGCCGGTTGATGCACTCTATTTTTTCCTTGTGGACATTTGATTTGTTTCTAGGTAGGTAGACATTTGTTGTAAACCTGTTGTTAGTGCGACCGTTCAATGTTCGATTCCCGCAAGTCGGCCGCGAGTGGAGCTGTTTGATTCTTGGTGAGATCAAGCTGATGGCATCACGATCGACTTGGTATTGCCTCCCTTTGACCCCTTCGGCCGCAATTTCGAATTTCACTCTCACAATGCACATATCGCTGTGCATATATTGAGGTCAGCCTGCGGAGGACTTACATACGGCTCCCCCCACTTGCGGTGGTAGTGCATCCAAAGTGACAAGACAACTGGCTGGCAGAAACGTGACGCCAGCTTTGGCAGTCATATGGCTGGGGCACTAGAGGCGAGCAGAGCACAAAGTTGTGCGCATAGCCCCGTAAATTAGGCCTCCCGAGACCCAAATCTGTGGGCCCGTTTCACGCGTATCACACTGACTTCCTCCCAGTGAGCCATCAGGTGGTCACTTGGAAGACACGGAGATGGCGCTCTCTGCACTGCGCTTGAGCTCCGCTGGGAAAACTACGTATGCCAAGCCCTACTTATCTGGCAGATGGATTGAAGCCCGAAATGCCCACTTTGATGGACGCAAACAGGAGTGGCCGGTCGACGTGCTAGCCGTCAACTGTCGCATCGCATCGAACAAGGAGTAGATAGATAACTTGTGACGACCAAACAAGGCTACTAGCCCCTTTTCCCTCTCTCCCACTCTGTTGGCCCGGTTTTTGTCTGCAGATCTTCACATTCGTTCCTGCTGTTCTGTTTCTTTTTCCGCCGCGGTAATGCCTGCAGCACCTGGCCTCGACTTTTCGGACGGCGCCAATCCGGACGATGTCACCTCTTCGGTACCCCGCAAGAACAAGACCGAGCGGCGGCGACTCCAGGGACTGCAGATGTCCTTCGCGAACTTGTCCAAGACGAAAGACGCCCCGATGCACGATCCCAGCCGGCCTAGGACGTTGAATGAGAAGATTAGCCTGTGGCTGATCAACGAAGGGCGCTCGCGCGTCTTTTTCGCAGTCTTTGTGATCCTGCATTTTCTGATCGCCCTGCTGGGCCTCCTGCACTTTGGGTTGAAGGACAATTTGACGAGCGCGCGGGCGACCTTTGGGGTGACCTTCAGTGCGTGTGTCCGTGCGGACTGATTCTGTTTCCTGACATCTCGATGGGCCAGTTATTGCCAGGGCCTCAGCGCTTGTGCTGCATGTGGACGTGATTTTTATTCTGCTCCCGGTGTGCAGAAACCTCGTCTCGGCTCTGCGCCGCACGCCGCTGGGCGATGTGATTCCTTTTGACGAGAGCCTCAGTTTCCACAAGGCAACAGGATGGGCCATCGTCATCGGCAGTGTCGTCCACACAGTTGCGCACGTCGTCAACCTCGTCCACCTCACCATGGCCGACACCAACGCGCGCACGCTCGGCGCCCGCATCGGCTTCTTCATCTCCGCTAACTTTATCATCGGACCACTGATCACTGGGTGGATCATGTGGGTCCTCCTTGGCGTCATGGTGTGGTTCGCGCGCGAGAAACGGAGGACGGCCGCGAACGGGGGCTTCGAGCGATTCTGGTACACGCACCACCTGTTCATCCCGTTCTTTGTGCTGTGGCAGCTGCACGGGATGTTCTGCATGATCAAGCCCGACCGCCCGCCGTACTGCTCAGCCAACACGATCGGGGTCTTCTGGCGGTACTGGCTTGTCGGCGGTGTGATCTGGATCGCCGAGCGCATCCTGCGGGAAGTGCGCTCCCGCCATGTGACCTACATCTCGAAGGTGATCCAGCATCCGTCGGACGTCATCGAGCTGCAGATCAAGAAGGAGAGGACCAAGGCTCGAGCCGGGCAGTATATCTATCTCAACTGTCCTGAGATCTCGTACTTCCAGTGGCACCCATTCACGCTCACCAGGTCAGTACGCAAGCACCGTATTTTGGACTTCCTGATGCATCTGACTTCGGTGTGCAGCGCACCAGAAGAAGATTACCTCTCAGTGCATATCCGCGTCGTCGGCGACTTCACACGAGCGTTGGCCCACGCCGTCGGCTGCCAGCTGGAGAAACAGGGCGGCGCAGAGAGCAAAGTCGTCAGCACGGTCGCCGATGCGAAGATGAACCGCGTGCTCCCGCGCGTGATGGTCGATGGACCGTTCGGCACCGCCTCGGAGGAGTTTATGAATTTTGAGACGGTGCTGCTGGTGGGCGGTGGCATTGGCGTCACACCTTTTGCATCGTGCGTCTCCTCCACGTTGGTGTTGGTCGCTCCACTGACCCCCCGCCTCAATAAGGATACTGAAGTCCATCTGGTACCGAATGAACAATCTCAGTTCCGAGCGGCGCACGCGGCTTTCCAAGGTGTACTTCGTTTGGGTCATCCGCGACTTCAGCGCCGCCGAGTGGTTCCACTCGCTCCTGCAGGCGCTCGAGGAGCAGGACTCGCAGAACCGCATCGAGATCAGCATCTACCTCACCGGCGGGCTCCGGGAGGACGACATCCACAACATCGTCGTGCAGGACGTCGGCGCCGATCACGACGCCGTCACCACCCTCCGCGCCCCGACACACTACGGCCGCCCAGCGTGGAGCAAGATCTTTAGCGCGCTCGGACAGAAGCATCATGGCTCGGACATCGGCGTTGTAGGTCGCCCTCCCTTATACATTGGATCTTTTTGGTCTCATGGAGTTTGCAGATGTATTGTGGGCCTCCCGCATTGGCCGGAACGTTGCGGACCATGTCGAATGAGCACTCGGATCCAAGAGGGGCACGGTTTTTCTTTGGAAAAGGTGGGTTACTCTTCTCTTTATGTAAAAGGTTTACTCATTCGGAGCCAGAGAACTTCTGAGGTCAGGAGAATGCTGTACATTAGTTATTTGTTTGGGGTGCTACGATCTGGCCTCAACATATGAAGTTATCAGCGCGGATTAGCCCGCGTAAAATCAACAAAAGAAATTGGCCATCGTGGGGATCGAACCCAAGACCTTCGCGTTATTAGCACGACGCTCTAACCAGCTGAGCTAGACGGCCAGTGAACATGAGGTTCAGGGTATATATATAATAGATCAATTCATCGGTAAACCACTTTGAAAAGACCACGTGAGTAATAATCCTTTACTTTAAGCATCACTAGAAAGACCGTCCTTGATCAGCACCTTAATAATGCTATCCAGTTTCTCCTCGATCCCTGTCATCCGTTGCTCCATCAAGGAGATCTTCCTATCCAGCTCTGCCACGCGGGGGTCCTCGTTTGCCCCGCTCTTGACTGATGAAGGGATAGGCTCCGGGTCGTGCACGTACACAAGCGGCTCCGACAGCAGATGGCTGGTGCCTGAGTCCTCTGGGAAGGGCCGCTTGGCCTTGTCGCATTCAACGCAGACGAAGATGTCCTCGACGCAGCTGAGGCACACCCACACGGGAAGCGACACTTCCTTGGCACAGCACACACATTTCGGCTTCTTCTTTTCTACTACGTCCTTCTTTGCTCCATGACCGGTCTCTGTCTTCGTCTTCGCGCTCTCCGGAGCGTCCAGGTCCTTGAACTGCTTTTTGATTCGCGCGGCGACGGTCTTAGCTTCGGGCACGAGCCACGCCGTGTCGCCATCGTGCAGCCGGGGGATTGTCTTGACCGAGACATGCGAGGGTGCGTGAGTGATGTTCTCACCCCATTTCGCAGGCTTGTCCATGTCCGGCTCGCAGAAGTCGGCGCAGTTATAGAAACTGTCGTCCATGCACTGAACACAGAACAGACGTGAGCCCATGATATGCTTGTGGCACACGTTGCAGTCCCGCTCTTGCTCGACGGCTTCGCTGAGCTCCCGCTCGACGGCGTCGTTGTAGAACCGCGCGTCCGCTGACGTCAGCACCGCCTTGAGATTCCGCAGCTCGGCCAGGTCGTCGTCCGACAGAGCCGCCCACGGCGTCAGATCCCGATCGTTCGCTATGTCCCGCGTCATCAGGTGGATGAAACGTCGGCGCTCGGCGAAGCGCGCTTTCAGCCAGCGCCATGACATGTTCCTGCGTTGAACTTGGTCCAGGACGGCGCTGATCGCAAAGTGCCAGCGGGCGACAGCGCGGTTCTCGGCAGTTGGAGAGGGCCGGAAACGATATGATTCGGCGGACGTTCGGTGGAAGATGAATGTATTGGTATTCGCGTCGGATTCAGAATCAGAGTCTTCGTCGTTGTCGGATCCTTGATCTGCGTCCTTTTCCTCTTCGTCACTGTCATCGCTGGAATCGCTGTCCCAGTCCGACCCGGCATCATCCTCGACCAGATGTCCCGCAATCGTGTCTGATTCTGGGTCGTAATGGCCACTGCACGCGGCGGAATACCCATCCGGCCACGAAATGGTCAGCGTCAGCTCGGTCTTGAAACCTTCGCCGGGGGTGACAGAGCCAGACACTTCTAAGAGGTCAACGAAGTTCTCGCCCGCGCCCGACAGTGTGTTGTCTGTGCCCACGGACAGGACGAGGGAGATGGTGCCCTCATCAGCATGTCCGTCGTACAGGAGGTGCCCGGTCCATCGACCGGCAAGGGCGAGATGATCTCCAGCTTCTGCGGGAGGGTCAGGGTGTTTGAGATGGAAGTCGTACGCATCGTCGACCCCATCTGCGGTTGGATACATCAATATGTCCTCGCGCTTGTCATCCAGCTTCTTGAAAATATCGAGCGAGTAACCTCCAATATCGGTGTCCTCGGACTCCGTGTCAAACTCGAATCCGTCGTCGCGACTGAACTGGACAATGCTGTTCTTGGCGACATCGACAGTCGTTTTGTCTCTGGTATAGCCAGCTTGGAACTGCGGTGCTGATATCAGGGATAGAACCGCGGAGCAGCAGCAGCAGACTGTACCATGCCAAATGCGAAACCACCGAATCGCTCATTGACGTTCGAGAAGTTAGACTTGAAAACGGCTGGGCAGAGCCCAGTCAGCACAACCAAATGACTAACATCATAGACAGGACATACCTTCCAGGTTGGCCACTCTCTCATCGACTGCTTTGAAAATCACTCCCAACGAGCCCGTCATCGTATCGAAATCGCCGTCATCCAAGACATGCACACACGCCAACCGCAGGATGTCAAAGTGCCGCTTGAGAAGTGCATTCAGCAGAGGATAAATGAACTAGACTGGCTTCAGCGGAGAAAAGTCTGGAAGAACTTGAGAGAGTACGGACCCTCTCAATACGCTTGTTCCCGGTGATCAGCCTCAAACCCGCATCATCCAACTCATACCCCAGAGTGTCCAGCTGGTCTTGAATCCGTTTGTTTTCGTAGTCCTGGATCTCCTCCCTGACTTTCGTGAGATCCTTATCCCGGTCTGGGCCGGCAGACCGAGTCGACCGCAAAAGCAACTCGATCCGCCGAATGGGAAGCGAAGCAAGATAAGTATCCACCCGTTGTATGTTTGCGCGTAAGATGGGCTTCGGCGCGTTCGTTGGGAGGTTGAGCATCGCCCTGAGTAGCGAATAGATCCGGTTTTTGTGCCAGGTTACAGAGGCGTGCCAGCCAGCGGCCCAGTACGCTGTCCACGACAGTAGACTGCTTGTTTTCAGTACGTAATATGAAAGCGATGATAGATATCACATGCCTGCATCCATCTGGCCGAGACTGTGCAAATTCATTGGCCTCTTTGATGCTGACGAAGCCTGTTCCATCGTCATCCACTGTCTCGAGGATGGGCTTGGACTGGGTGAGCGCACGTTGAGCATCTTGTCAAGCGATCGCGTACCTGGATGTGAGTCACGTTGATGTACTTGAGCGCCCAGCGGTCATCATGTTTGTGTTCCTCTACTCCAGCTAGTTCCGCAATGACATCGATCGGGGAGACGACGGGTGATCCAGCAACAGAAGAGGCTATGCTTTCTGCGATGTCGTGCTGGCTGAAGAGTTCGGAGTAATAGTCGTTGAGAGCGAGCACAAAGTAACGCGCTTTGACACTGCCTTTCCAGCCTTGGTCTTTCCAGAGCGTTTGCAGATCCTATGTCACATTCAGATGAGCTACATTTCTTCACAAAATAGAACACTCACGGCATTCATAATCCGTTCATGCGCCCCTCCCATCAGAACACTGACAATCCGCTCTTCACTGGCGCCGATCGCAGCCTCCAGCTGTTGGCTCTGCAGCTCCATCTTGCGGTCAAACAGCCGCTCGTTCTTGCGAAACGCCTCGTCGACATCCTCGGCCAGCTCCCGCGTGAGCAGCTTCTTCGTCGTGGTGATCTGAGCAGACGTGCTTGACGCCAGGGTCGTGTCCCCGCTCTTAACCACGAGCTGCGCCAGTGCGGCCTCATCGCTGATGCAGGCCCGCGCGCCGCCGTTTTCATCCAGGAACCTCTGCACTTCCCGCTCACGCGGCGTGTCGAGTTTGCGAAACAGCGCTTCCATCTTCACCTCGATGGAATGTAACTGCGTCGTCTGGTCGTCGAGCTTTCGGTTCGCCGTGTCGACCGAGAGCGACGTGTGCATTGTCAGCGCGAAGGCGATCGATTTCTTGTGGTCTGTGAAGTTCGCGACATAGGACGCCAGTCTGGCCTCGTAGATCTTGGACTTGATCGTTTTGGCTGTGTGAAGAGTGTGTCAGCGCGAAGAAGTTGAGGTATTGGGGTACTCGCCAAGAAAGCTCTTCTTGAGATAGACGTCGCAGGCGCTACCGCAGCTGGTGATGTCGCCCGCGACCGTCTTCATGAGTTCTGACATGCGGTCTTTCAGTGTCGTCCCATCAGGAGCTTTATCCTCTGGATCGCGGACGAAACGAAGTCTGGAAGCCATAGGTCAGTGAGAGACAAGCGGAGAAAGTAGAGGGCCAACTGGAAGAGCACCGTCATGAGGTCCTGCATCTGGAGCTTCACCGCGAGGACTTTTTTGTTGTTCTGCCGCCGCGTAATGTCGAGCGAAATGACGAGCTTGAACGCCGTGACGGCGACTGTACCGCTTCAGCACATAAATCCCTCGTTATCTGCCAATGAACACCCACCCCCAACGAAGGGATGCACCGCCCCAAGCGCGTCCAGACCCTTCATGATCACCGCCGACGTCTCCGCGAACCGGGCTATCGTCGCCTCGATGGATTTGACATCTATGTTCGCCGTGGCTGCCAGCGCACTGGACGCGGTGTTGATAACCGCGGCATTGGCAGTGTAGAATGTTTGGAGACTGGTATACGTGTCGTTGCTCTGATTGATCGGGACCGACAGTTTGTCCTCTGCGAAGAGTAAGGCCGGGTTTCTGGATGAAGAAGGACCTGCGCACCGATCCCATCGATCTTCTGCTGAGAAGCAGACAAAGAGGTGGCGGAGAAGGCTGCGGTGTAGGCACCGCCCAACAACGCCGAGCGCGCGGGATCCTCCGCCTTCTCCGCCTTTTCTCCGCTCAACGTCCTGGTCACCTCAATGGCGGGCGGGCGGCGCGACATATGTGTGAGATCGCGGCGACAGGAGGGTCTCTCCGGTGTGCACGGAAAGGTGAAGAAACACGGTGACTGACAGTTCTCGCGCCCAGACTTATATCGAGCAGGTTTAAGTCGGGCGTTCCGAGCTTACCAAAGCCAAAACCACGCAAAACTGGGATGTCTATCAGGCACGGTGTGAGAGATCTGCATTCAAGCAAGACAGCCGAGAACACGTAGAGATAATCGATAGTGGCGATTGGAATGGCATTTGACAAGGGGGTTTATGATCGGCTTCCGAGGGACACGAGTCACGTGAGATTGCTTGTGTTCCCGATCATGAGACGGCAGTGCGCTCCGTTCTCTGTGCGGGCAGTTAATGATTTCTGATATCTACAGATCAAGGATTCCTGGTATAAATAGCTCTATAGCTGGGGTACACAGATATCTTATCTGATGAGATTGAGTTCTCGTCCTGGATACTATGGTGAGCGATCCGTCTCGAAACGGGCTAGTGCGCTGATCAATGCGCGCCCAGCACGATAATGGTGTCGAAGTCGATGATGCGGATGCTGCCCTGCTCATGCATGATGTTCTGTGGCTTGACTTCGGCATGGATCGTGGCTGCTTCGTTGTGGATGTCGCGCAAGTGGATGAGGATAACAGCTCTGAGTGTCCAGTAGCACGATCGGGTCTCGAATGTAGATGTGGGGGCTGTTGAATGAAATTGGACGCCCTTGTCGCTGCGGTCGAGCAGATGCAAAGTTTCAAATGCTCGACCAAACCTGTTCAGGACTAGGCCTCCCAGGGGCGCGCCCTTCTCCGTTAGTCCCCTGGTGGGGGCATGGTAGAATCCGATAAAGCGAGGAACGGACTGGCCCTGGAGAATTTCCAGGGCCGCGGAGCGCAAACCCTCGCTAGAGTAACACGATCACGTGCAAACCTTCCGCTCAGCCTCCAAGATGTTCTAGGGATTCCATTCGTCTACAGATAGTATACAATTAATGCTGGTGGTACGATGCCGTGAGTAGGGGACCGTTGTGTGTAAGATGTAAGTATGCAGTGGATAAAAATACGAAAGATGCATATGCAACGAAAGCAGTGGAAACGCGCGGCGGCCCTGTACCTTAAGAGAAGAAATACGGCGAGTCCTTGATCAACTTGACCTCGAAGGACCCTTTTTTCGGCAGCGGAGGAAGCAGGTCTGTGAGGTTGACGAACTTGCCCATAAGCTGGACAATTTCGCGCCTCTTCAACTCGGCACGCCTTGCTTTTTTCTCCTCCTCGGTCAGAACCTTGCGGGGAGCCTTTTTCGAGGGCCGACCTCTCGGCGAGGGGGTCTCTTCCTCCTCAGCTTCGAGAGAGGGCTCGGCATCATCACCAATAGCCAGAACCGACTCTGGAGGGTCTTCGGACTCGAGATCGACCCCGCTCAGGTCCAAGCCCTCCAGAAGCTCGTCCAGGTCTTCGTAGACCTTCTTAACCTCGACTGTGGACTCGACCTCATCCGATATCTCGACCAAGTCGCCCAAACTGCCCAAGGTTTCTGCCTGCTCCGGACTGGCGTGGATTCGCGAACCGGCTGCACGCAACGTTTTCAAGAGCCCTGGAGTGCGGAGATGCAACAGCGGAATCTGGAATCCGGCGTATCGCTTCATAAACTGACGATTGTGGGTGAGTGCCATATGCGCTCCGCAGAAGCACCACGAACCTCGTCACGCAGTTTCTGCAGGACATCTGAGCTGTGCAGAGCGATGAACGTATCGCGGATGACCGAAGACATTGTGTCGATGTCCGAGGCATGAGTCCAGTACGAATCGTGTACCGAGGCAAACGTGAGACCCTGCACTTGGCATTCGATGGCAGTCAGCATCATGTGCGTCGCGTCAAGGCTGTGGATGAAGTTAGGTGGGAATGCCGAGGCCTGTTTCATCGTGTTGACTGTATCACATCAGTTGCCAGAACGGAGAGCCAACGGATCCCGCTTACCTTCCGCAGGGGCCAGAGGGTCGGTGATGTAGACGGACTGCATCGAGGTCATGACCTGCTTCTTCATCGCCTTTCGATACGGCTGGCAAACCGGCAGGCCCAGAGGCGTGGTCCAAACAACCGAGGTCATCTGCTCCTTCCGGAGCTTATGATCTGGAAGAGTCTTCTTCACCGCGTTCTTTCGGACTTTGCTTTCCTTGTATTCTCTGAGCGCTTCAGGTATCCGGTCACCAGGAATCGACTTCGAGATCAGTCGCGCAGACAAGTTGAGCCAGTTTTGAATGTCTTGTGCTCCGGTGAAGAGATCCCCAATAGCTGAGAGCACCTATGAGAGGGTTGAGTTTGTTTCCTCCTTGCCTCAGAACTGCACACACCTTTTTGGCCAAATAGGCTGAGGCCCCCCAGCACTCTTCCTCCGGAATGTCTTTGCGATCCCTGAGCTGTTTTTCGATCTGGTCTCGAGCGCCAACAAACGTCACACCGTACACGGTGGTCATGACAGTCTGCTTGACGACTTTACGAGCGATCTTGCCCTGCAGTAAGAGAGCGTAATGCTCGCCTTTTGCCGCATCTTCAGCCAGCATCTTCTCCACCATGCCACCAACATGCGAGTATACATCCGACGGCTTGTCACCCCGGGCAAGGTTCACCTGCTGGGCTCCCTGGGCATCACCCCCGAGTGCTGCATAGTGCTGCAGCCCATTGCACGTGCCATCCTGATGCACAGGAAGATTCGACTCGTAAGTGAATGGGTCACCACTCTCGATCGCGGAGTACAGCTCAAAGCAGGCGGCCAGGCACTGCCAAGGATCGTCTGCTTTTCGCCACCATGCTCGGCCTGTCAGCGGGTTGAGCGCAGAGTCGTAGATGTCGTCCATGTGCTGTTCAGTGAAGAGCGCGCGATCATCGAAATTCGCTTTGTCAAAGCCGTACAAGTTGGACAGATGGATTTTGAGCCAGCGGAAGCCTCGCTCCCCGAGCGGTTTCTTGTCGGCGAATTTGAGGAGTCCACGCGACAGGTCATCTCCGATGTGGTTCAAATGCGGAGGAATCGGATAGGCTCGCCCACGGAAATCTATATTGTGGGGGAGATAGAACGTTTCGTGGAGGAAGGAGCGCGAGATTTCGATTTTGTAGTTGACACTGCACCGATCCGAATGGTTTGCAGCCTTGGCTTGATTGTAGGCCTTCATCCGGATACCGTGCACGTTACGCTGCGCCAGGTCTGTGTCGATGTTCTCGGGAGCCTCAGGCTCGGGGACATCATAGACCTCGGGAGGCATCTTTCCCAGCCGCTTCCCCGAGTTCCATACCTCGAGCACGACATCGAACACCCGTTTGTTGATCTGCCATGGCGTGCTTCCCAGCACATCCAGCCCAGCATACACAAGTTCCATGTGCCCCATCTCGGAAGCGTGCTTGAGGTAGGAGCGCTGCTCTATTGAATCTTTGAAGCGCATGGCATTGGCTGCGACATGTATCAGCTGAAAGCAGTCGTGAAGAATAGCAATAGCGCTACGCACATTTCGAATAAAGATATCCTCCCTGGTTGTAATCTACCCAAGGCCGGGGCTTGACGAGCATAGGCAAATGACGAGGGTGAAGGATCATCGGCTCCTTCGAAATCCGTTCTGCGACGGCAGGATTCAATCGAATGACTCCCAGTTTCTGTCCTCGCATATACTCGTAACTCTGGTAGAACGCGGGCTGTTCCTCAGAGCTGCGGAACATTCAGAACGTAGGATATGTTAAACGGGGACAGCACTCACATAGGCTCGTTCGTCATTTTGTTCATCTTAGTTCGAGTGATTTGGGCTACATCCATCAGACACTCGACCAAGATAGCGCCAACTTGACTGCGAACGGCCTGAGTCCACGCCGCCGTCCATCCCTCGTTGTCCGTCATCATCTTCGCTGCCGTGACCCGTCGCTCCTGGAGGCTGCGATAGCCCATTTTCGAGAAGTAGTCACGGGAGACGTCGGTGGCCGGGAGGTCGATGTGATTGGCTTTGCACATGTGGGCTTTGTACTCCTGCTCGACGGCTCGGCCAACGCTGATCAGTGCCCGAGTGGTCTTCATTCCCTCGCTCACACCACCCGTTCCTTGCAGCCGCATGACCTCGATGATGGTGAGCATGCTCAATCTTTCGGCGTTGACGAGAGAGAGATAGGGCGAGAGGATGGGTTTTCCCTTGTGCCCGAGGCGTCGGCCGGCCTCGTTCATAGCAATCTCCTTGATTTCGACTGCCAGCCGGTCCTGGATGCACAGGTTTCATTGACGAAGTTGCGACCAGGGAAGAAAACGCACCTTGAGAAGGAGATGCCACTGCCACATCCAGCGCTGGAGATCCCGTTGCATGAGTGTCGTGTCCTGAATTCCGAGTTTGTTGAACATTTCGTTTTGTTTGGCGAGTCGCTCCTTCGCTGCGTCATACACCGTGTCTTCCAGAAGCTTTTGTCGCGCATTTACATCTGCGGGCAGTGCCCGCCGCGCAGATGCTGCCCGGGACAGGTGCTTTCGCAACGTCTCGAGGTTGAACGGCACGGTCTTATCCGATTGCTTTACCACGGGACGCACGGCGGGGACGGATTCCTCTTCCTCGTCTAGTCCCAGAGACTCTGCTTCCCCGAGTTCCGCCACGATATGCGGCAAATTCAGGTCGATTGCCGCCTTCGAGAGCTCCCTGATGATGTCCACCGCCTCTTCGTCATCGACCAGCACCCGGTCCGTAACGAGATCCGAGATGGGGATGTCGGCCTGGATGATGCCGGTGAGAATGGACGAGAAGGTCCTCTGCGCGTGGTCCGGGAAGCGGTGTCGGATAAGCGCAATGGCGGCGAACGTCGTCGCGGTGGGCTCTGCGGCACTCTCGAAGAGGTCCCACGCGCTCTCGACCCAGTAGTCCGCCTCGTCTTTGTGCGCCACCGCCATCTTCGTGTACGCCTCGAGCATGGTGTTGATCATGTGTATCTGCACCGCGGGGTTGCCCTGCGCCTGTAACCTGTCGAATATGCCCTTGGCCCGGGGGACGTCGTACGTGTTGTAGAGGCACGCGTCCATGACTGCTATGAGCTCCTGCGTGGTCGAGTCGCTGTACCAGTAGTCGTTTTCGGCGGAGGTGAAGGACGGGGGGAGGGGCGGAGGGAGGATAGCGTACTGCGAGGGCCGCTGGAGGAAGGTCTCGAGACCGTTGCGGCGCACAGCAAGCGCGGAGGCGGCATAACCCCTGGGCTCGGTTCGAGAGGGGGTCGTGGTGCGCCCACCGCGCCGGCGTAGTGTGCGTCGGCAAGCCCGAGCGACGAACATGGAGAGGAATGAGAAGTCCAAAAAACTTCCCCCCGATTGATGGCAGCGTGTCATGTGATCGCTGGCCTTCTCTGGCCTGGGCGTCGGAATTGGGTCCCGCGACCTTCCCGCCGCCCTCCCTCATGCTGTTTGACACGAATTCTTCGCGCCGAGCTCGCCAGATCTGTTTCTGCGGACAGATTCCCTAACTTGTCTCATGTGGATCATGCTCTTATGGGTCGCACTCCAAAACCTTTGAGCCTCCCACTCAAGTTGGCAGTATTCGCCCCTCTTTCTGAGGTCTCTCCTCTCCCTTTCGCCGTCTACTATGCGCACACTCTATCTCGCTGTACTTATACAGCCTATCCTCTCCCAGCAAATCTGGGACGTTGTAAGTTGCCGCCTGTCTCCATCGTTGAGACGCGTGAACCGACGCGACATTTCTCCGTAGTGGCAAACGACGTGGGACCAGTCTAAACTGTTTTCCTCGCTGGCTCCCTCGCAGCCTATCAATTTCGCCAACGTCACCATCCGGAGCGCAGCGCAGATCGCGGTTGACGATACCGCGACATATCAGAGCGTGTGGGGTGTTGGAGGCTCGCTCAGTGGGTGTTCCCCATTGCGTATGCTCTCTTTGTGTGATGTCGTTGACGCGTGAAACAGCGGACTCTTCGGCGTTGGTACTGTCTAATCTCAAGGTAGCTCACCCATCTAACGTGCTTGATTGGTCTCTGATCTATAGCTGTGTCGTTAGGTCCAGAACCCAGCAAACTACCGCGCTCTGCTGAACTACGTGTTCTCGCCGACCGATGGAGCGAACTCTGCTGGACTGAGGTATGAGTAAACTGGCTGTGGCTGATGGCGCGTTGATGTTTCCCCTGCAGCTATATCCGTGTGCCACTAGGCGCGTCCGATTTCTCAGCGAAACGTAGGGCTGCGATGTCCCACCACATTCTCAATCTCACGTGGCTTTCAGTATGGAGCTTCGACGATGCGGCTGGAGATACCTCGCTGAACTCCTTCAGCGCCAGCAGAGCGCCCTCTTATCTGTATTCGGTCATCCGCGACATACAGGCTGTCAATCCACGTGCGTGTGGCAAATTCATGATACGGGTGGCCGTGTTCTGACTCAGCTACTCAGTTCTTAAAGGTATGTCGGCAGCGCGAGCGTCTCGTCCATGTGCTGAACTGTGTAGTGCACCTCGTACCATGGTCTCCGGTGAGTGCATGAGGTTGTGATATCATTGTCTAGCTTACATTTGCTTCAGCCCGGCTGGATGAAGACAAGCGGCACCATGAACGGTGGATCGTTGCAATACCAATACATCTCCACCTGTGAGATGAAAGCCGCAGTGTTGTTTCACACTAATAGCTCGAGCTGCAGACGCCAAGTATCTGCTCAAGTGCCTGCAAGCGTTTGAAGCACAGGGCGTTACATCTCTTTACGCGATATCCGTCCAGAACGAGCCTCAAAACTCCCAGTCATCTTATCCGAGTGAGTAGCGGTTTTGCCTGATAGCTTCCACTCATGTGAACGTCTATGACAGCCACGGCGATGAGCGTCACTGTGCATGCTCAGATTGGAATCGCACTGCGGACGCTGATGAACAACAACGGTTTCGCGCAAGTCAAGTTGATCGGTAAGCGCAGTGCTGGAGTACTGGGCTTTGTGATCGCGGTGCTGATACCCTTCGTGCAGGCTATGAACACAACTGGGACTCGGCTGGGTCGTACCCTATCCAGCTCATGAAGGCCGCTCCACATGCGTTTGATGGCGTCGCGTTCCACTGTTATGCGGTAAGGCCACACGCTGAGCCGGCTGCAGTCATGCTTAACGGAAACAGGGCACTGTTGGCCAGCAAGACACATTCCATGCTGCATAGTAGGTGGACATCCACTCAAGCTGATTGCTCTGACACCGTGTTATAGTCCAGCCAAGGAGGTGAGTGGTGCTGACGTATGTCGACGGGGGACACCTGATTGGGTTCGGACAGATCTATTTCACCGGTGATCCTCTACGAGCGTCATCCATCGATTTATGCTCACTGTCGAATAGAATGTGCGGGGACCATCGGGAGTGATTGGGTGAGCCCCAGTGTCGTCGGATTGCTCGGATCTTACTGAAGATATCTGCAGTGGAGCGATGTGAAGGTGTGTTCGCATTGCTCGCTGCCCGTGCTGTACGTCACTGAGCGGATGCGCCCAGTGGTACATGGACAACATCTTCTTGGGAGCCATCACACACAACGCGCATTCGGCGCTGATGTGGAACATCGCGCTCGACGATGGGCTGCCCAAGTTGCCGGGCACGACGAGCTGTGGCGGCCCCGGCTGCCGATCGATCGTGCAGGTGAACTCGGACGGGACGTACAGTTTCAACCAGGAGTTCTACGCCATGGCCCAGCTGTCCAAGGCCATTCTGCCAAAGGATGTCAATGGTCCGTGGGCCAAGCGAATAGGCGTCACCGTCGGGGGAGACCAGGGCTGGGCGCTTGTCGTCAATGCTTTTGTGACTGGCCGGGCCGGGCCGGGTGATTGGCTGCGGTACTCTCTGGTGGTGATGAACTGTACGTTTCTGCGTGTCGTCTTTCTTTTGACCATCTCACTGCGACCGCAGGCAACGACAACTCCGATGGATGGAATCCGACGCCGGTGAAGACGGCGATCGAGTTCCGGGGCATGCAGGTAGGAACACGTGCTTGGTCTCGTATCGTATGTACTGAAGAGAGCTTGATTTAGGCTACTTTCACGTACGCATCGTCTGGCGAAGAGCGCTTGGCACTGGACTGACCTTGGCTAGCTTTCCTGTTGGGGTCACCACCTTGTGGTGGTATGCGCCTCCTGGCGGCGCGGGCTACAATGCGACCGAGATCGTCGCAGAGAGCGATGATGGGCAGCAGCGCGTATTTTCCTAGATTTTGATGTTTGGGCTGTGGGCGCACTCTAGGGGTTTAACATCCTACATGTGTGTGATGTCATCACTCGGAGGACTTCCGGGCCGGCAACTAAATTTACAAGCACGATCACGTGGTGTTGCACCAAGAGAATCCCGGCCCGACGCGTGCAGCTGACCTGAAACGCGTGATGCCTGCAATGCATTGAAATGTCTGACCGTGGTCCTGGATGCTCGTGTAGAGATGGTCTCCCTCACTAGCTCCCTCGATCTTGCCTCCTGTTTCCGATTCCTTCTCTTCTCTTCTCTGCTGAGCGTGGTTTTCGCGCATGAGGACCACGGCGAGCATGGCCAGCCCGAGCACGGGGGCCACGGAAAGCACCCGGGGAGAAAGCATTGCACGGTCAAGCACAACCGTGACGGGTCCGATGACTCGCCGAATATCCTGGCGGCGTTTGCGGAGTGCGCCACAAACTCCCTGATCACCTTTTCGCGGGCGAACTACTCGGCATTCACGCCAGTCGCACTGACCGGGCTTGGTGCGTCGGATCTATTCCGTGCATTGGGTGCTAGTGCAGATCATGCGGGTGCATCTAGACGACGTCATCATCCATCTGGACGGAAATCTCCTTCTCCCGAGCAGCATCCCGCAGGTGCAGCACGCGATCAACATCACGAAAAACCAACCTAGCGTTCGCGCGTCCGGCTTGCCTCTCCCCCGCACCGTCCGCTGACCAGGGCTGGAACAGACCTACGCCACACCGTGGTTCTATTTTCACGGTCTGAGACCCTTCGCGGCGCGATCTCGCAGATTTGAGTGAGCTCACGCGCCAACCAGGCAGCAACGTGCAGCTGATCGCGGCGGACGACTTTGCGTGGGGCCGGTTCATAGGATTCGGCGAGCACTGGTGGGATCTGCGCCAGCAGGTGGGTCCACACTGGCTAGCCGTGGATTGACCCTCTGATGGGACTGACTAAACCCGCTCGCGCACACCGGAAGACGCTCCGACCGCAGCTGGCGACATTCAACATCACCACCGGGCTGATGCGGAACATCAAGGTGGGTGGGTACTTGCCACACGGACACGGGGGGGCTGCGCCGGAGTTTGCGCCAGATGCGATCTGACTGTGTGCAGGTCATCAAGCCGATCGCGTGGGGCTGGAACTTGCCGGGCACGAACATCCGCGTCGAGAACCACTTTGTCGACGCGCAGCCGTCCAACGCGTCCCGGTGGGAGACAATCGTGCGTGTCATTGATTGCGATGTTCTTCGCTCGGTTGCGTGTTATTGCTGACACTTGTGTCGATCTACCCAGAGCTTCCCTTTCAATACGTGAGTGCGGTGGTGACCCGGCCTGGAAATGACATCACTGACGGACGGGCTCCGACTGGGTGGTACATGACAGTGACGGCAGGTGATCTGCGAATCCGCGAAGTATGTTTGGCTGAGCGGTAGAGCCAGGCATCAATATCTCTGGGAAAAACATCACCGTCGACGGGTGCGATCATCGTCGTCGCCCAAAGGGCCTACGCACCCACTTACGGATGCATGCATCTCAGATACTTCGGGCACAACGGCGACGATTGCATCTCGCTGATCAACGGAGCGGACGGCGTCGTGGCGAAGAACGGGTTCTGTGGTTTCTCTTCCCACGGTTTGAGTGTCGGCTCGCTGGGCAAAAACGGCGCATTCCAGACGGTCCAGAACATTCTGTTCAAGAACTGGACCATGGATGGAGCCGTCTATGGAGCCCGCGTGCGTCTCCGCGTGTCTCTCCCCAGCTTTGTTTCAATGCCGACGTGTGTTTCAAGTTCAAAAGTTGGACGGGCGGAAATGGCTTCGCAAACAACGTCACCTGGGAGGATATCCACCTGATCAACGTCTCGACCGCCATCTACATCACCCAAAAGTACACGTTTTCTGATTTCCGATGTCGGTCCAGAGGCTGACTCGGATCTCCCAGCTATTTTGACCAGGTACTAGCCCATTGTGGCACTTTATTTGGTCGTGGTTGAAATGCACACAGGAACTGGGACCACCCAAAACCTCTGGAGGGCCCATCAACAGCACCCATGTCTCAAATTTCACGTACAGAAATTTCACGGGCAGCTTGAATGCCAACTGGAGTGCGTGTTTGAACTTCTGGATCGATGATGCAGCAAAATTACCACACCTACCTATCACTCACTGATTGTGTTCGATTTAGCCGACGGAAGTGAGTGTGATTGTTCACATCGCCCGGAAATAAAGCTGAAACGATGATGAGCCTGCATTACCCAGCCATGCTGGAACTTTGTCCCCGGCATCGACGGTACCCAGAGCATTATCTTCGATCTGTACCCGGACACCGGTGCGCCGCACTAGCCCCTACTTACTTCTGCACAACTCAATCTGACGCGCACACACAGCTGTCAACATCTCAGTTGGACGCGTCCATGTCCATCCGTATCAGCTGCCCTACAGCGCGACGAACGTCATCTGCAACGCCACGACCCTGGCGCCCGGCGAGCAGGACACCCTCGGATTCAACTGCACACGCGGCCCGTACGTGCAGACCAAGACGCGCTGAGAGCTGGCTTGGCGGGTTTCGGCTGTCGAGGATGTACTTTTCTGGCTGTTTTATGTACCGTTTTCTCTTGCGGAGCCATGTGTTGTCCATCCCTGTCATGGCCGGGAATCCACCGATGTTGTTGATTGACAGCGAGCGGCTGCCGCGATATGTGATCCGGCGCGATGCTGGGCCATCACGGAAGGTCTCTGCGTCTCTTCACAGCGCGCCCGGTATATGGCCTGACCTGACCCGACCTCGCCGATTCCAATGCGCTATCGGATACTGATCACAGGAAGGATGCTGCGTACCACGAACTCGGGCCGCAGCGGCTGCTTATCGCCCCACGCGGCGAAACCTTTGCTGCTCGGGACCAAAAAAAATCGATTCGAGGCTTGATAGATCTGAATCCGTCCCCCTGCCCCCCGAGGAGGAGGGGGGAGATATCGATGGGCAGTATATGAACAGAACAATGCAATGCAATCTCCGCAGCGTGGCCACACGCTCGGCCAGGTTTGAGTTGGGATGTCGGATTAGACTTTGGGTTTTTGCCTGCGGCGAGTTTGGCGCGCGCGATCGCAACAAATGGGCCCCCTCCCCGGTGTGCGCGCGATACGTTACGTACGTACTGGTTTGGTAACTCCGGCCCCGCGCGAGGCTGAGCCATGGGCTTCCGGGCTAGACCATCAAGCTTCGATCGGGCGGACAAAAGTTTGGGTGAGTGGATTGGAAGGCTCGGCGACCAGAGATTGCATGCACTGCTCCCTGATCTGATTCTTCCTCACCACACTCGCTCTTATCCACACACACACACATACAATTTTCTCGGATTATCTCCGCGAGCCGTCTGATTTTATGTGCTCGTTTTTGTTCTCCGCAGCAACAACTCAGCAAGATAATCTCGGCTGCTGACCTTATCGATCGCACGACATCTGCTGAGGACGGCCCTCTTGTGTTGTGTACGGTATATGCGCGAATGCGGGGCACGGAACGGCCCTGTGACAGATCTGCGGCAGACCGCGCAGGCTCGGCTTGGAGAAAGCCTGAAATAGCGCGTGCGCGAATCCAGGCGCTCCCCGATGCACGATCTGTTCGAGTTTTGAAGTTCCAACCACGTGTCGAGATCTGCCGGATAACTTCACCGAAAGACAGACATGTGATCGATGGGATTCTCAATGACGCAGCTTAATCCCAATTGTACACCCTCCGTTTTCGGACGACCGCGTTTTACCGACAACGTTTTGACTGGGTGATAGCATGCAGTGCGGCACATCCGCTCACGCTTTAAAAGCTGATACGCTTGCCAGCAGGGGATCCACCCCCCTCTCCTGGTACTACCGTTGCATCCTTTTCGACAAACACTGCAGACATGTGCTACATTGGATGGTTCGCCTACGTCTGCTCACGTGTTGCGTGCCGATTTAATCGTCCCCTCTCCAGTGTCGCCGACCGCTACACCGCCTGCCAGGTCTGTCCCTCGGCCGCCGCTCGCCTGCTGTGTCCCCCCTCCAACTCGAAGTTGATTGCAGCACAACCTGATTCTGTACGAGACGAGCGCACGCACCGACTGCGGAGACGAGCACTGCAAGACGTCCGCCGCGCATAAGCACACCGCGATCGAGTGCGGGTGTCCCACCGTGCGCCACCGATCCCCCCCTCTCCGCAGGCTGAATTGCAGCTGACCTTGTATTTTGTTTTTTTGGGGGATCGCATTCAGTATCGAATCCCGCGACCAAGCATCCAGAATATGTTCCGGACGCCCTGTCCCTCCTGCCTGGAGACCATGCCCGCCCCGTCGAGCGGCCGTCGCCGCTGAGCGCCAAAATGCGGCAGCCAGTCCCCCCCTCTGCTTTCTGCTTTGACCGTTTGCTGTCCTGTCGACCCTCTTGTACTCTATTCTACTGTACAGTATTGTTAGCAGCGCTTATCGTAACCTATTTCGCTAATTCCAACCTGTCTGCTGTGTATCCGATTGATGCTGATGCGTCCGCTCCGCGGATGTCACCCCAGTGCGGTCGGCCGTTGCCGAACCATTGCGCAATTGCGAGTGCGAGTGCGAGTAAATGGAGACGTGGAGCGATTGCGAGCGTAAGTGGTAATCGGGAGTAAACGTCCAGTCGACGACATCTGCGCAGGGTGGCTGTGAGCGGCATTGGAACTTCCCGATAACACATGGAACGATATTACTCACGACCGCTCGGACATTGATGGATCGCAGAACGGCGTAAGGACTGAAGAAGCACTGCGGGGTAAGCGCCCTCTCATCTTTAAATAAATATCAAACCCAGTGACACATTCCGGTCTATGGATGTCGCCTTTGTTAGAGCACCCGCATTGACGCAGAGATAGTATTCGGCGCGGAATAGCTGGGGAATAAGAGAGATAAGAGATGTAGCACGGACATACAGCGTGCCCAATTATCACTGATCCTGTGAAGCCTGACTGATCCTATAAGACCCATGACGGTCAAGTGTGCCAGGTGGTCTGAGCAGCACAGATAATGGTACCCGCGTTCATTGGTGCATTACTTCTTTCCCAGGAGGTTAGATACTTGGATCCATTCCTTCCGTATGCCCTTCTCCGTCAAGTAGTCGGTAACAATCTTCGACTGCTTCCCCTGAACAAGAACTTCTAGGCCCTGGATCCCTCCCGTGCGCTGGGAAACTATGACGCTTCAGTGCAAGCAGCTCGTCAGAACCCAGAATCCCGTACCTGATGTGGCTCCGGCGCAGAGCTTGCGGAGATCTTCGGCCATATCCTCGGCCACGAGAATCAGGAAGGGCTCAAAACCGGAAATAAGCGTCGCAGCTTTGCGGCCTTGTCGCATTTTCATGACCACCTGGATGGGCTTGAGGGCGCCCTTCCTCCGAGACAATCAGGATCTCGTTTACAACGTGGTGGTGGCTGCTGCTGCTGCTGCTGCTGCGGCACACTTACTTTACGACCGGTTCCTTGCCCGGCGCCGTGATCTCGTGCCAAGGCTGCATTTGCTCCACAACTTGTCGCATGAGATCATCCCGCTTCAAGAATTCGACGGCGGCAATCGACGCTTCTCCCTTTCCCTTCTTCGGGGCTATCACGTGCGATAAGACCGGGTCTACGTTGATGTAGGCCTGGTCTCGCGGGTTGACCAGACCGTTCGAAGTGATGTATTCGTTGACCTTAGCGCGCACTTCTGTGACGCTGTAGAGCGTCTCTGCACTTGGAATTGACATGAGAAGGACGCGGCTGTCATAATTTGATACACGATACCTTCCGCCTAGCGCATTGAAGAGTTCCACCGATTTAAGATGCGGCTTCAACAGCTCTTTGACCTCCACCCAGTGCTCGCTCTTCTGCTCTGCCTCTTTCAACCGTTCTTGGCGGAGGGCCTTCTTCGCAGCTGTCTCCTCGATTGCTTTGACCGAGACAAACGGCTTGTGACCGGCGACCAAGGGATGCTTGGTATTGACCCCGGTCACGGAGACTTCTGTTTGTTGGCCGTGCTTCGGTGGCGCTTTTAGCGTGACCAAAGAGATCTTTTCTAGTGATTTAAGAAATGAGGTCATCGACTTGTGAGTCGAATTCTTGATTGTGATATCGAGAGGATTGGGCGACTCGTTGGGCGACGGGAGGATGGAGGATGGGAATGCCGGCCGACTGGGAAGCACGTAGTTGGAATAAAAGATGGAGCCCGATATAGGAAACGACGAGGCCGGCACATTGCACAGGATCGTGGCCACGGCTTGCACAGCAGCCGTCTGCAGTAAGGTGGAAATGTCAGAGGCAGAGTATGCCGGCAACGCATCGTCTGCCACGCTCGAGGCTTCTTGGGCAGGGGCTGGGTCTGGAAGAGCGTCCGATAGTGAATTTTGTGCCACAGAATCATCGGCACGAGAAGTTCCTTCCGACTCTGAATCCTGGGCCAAGGAGAGAGGAATTTCCTCGGGACCCCGATCCGGCTTCGAGCCCATGTCCCACAGGTGATCTTTCCAGGTGTGAATGATATGGACGGCCTTCCCTTTCGCCTGTTGCCCATCCCGGATGGCATCACCAGAAAGTGCCATCTTCCCTACAGCAAGCGGTGCAGACAATGAGCCTGTTTTACCCCCTACGTAACGGCGAATAGTCACGAGTTGACCTTCTTGCAACGACTTGGAAATATGCACCACTGGGCAAGGTTCACGGGTCAAAGATAGACGGGTGGGACAATTGACTTGCCACCGGGGATCATCAAGTCTGCGCCCCCGACAAGAGCGGGAATCACAGCTTCTGGTGTCGAAAGAAAGGGCAAGAGGCCTTGTGGACGCTTCCACAAAGTGTAGATCGAGGGAATCAATTCATCTGAGCCTTTTCCTACTGTGAACCAAAGCGGATCTCCATGAGGGGAGATATACACGGTCTATTCGTGGATCAGATTGGAAAAGATGACCATCGCTTGCGCCGCACTCCAGGTACATCCAGGTGCGTGTGGAACTTGAGAGAGAGTATCCCCTCCGGAACAAGATCGTCGCCGTCTTCAGGTGAGAGACCATGTGCTGCGACAACACGCTGCTTCAGCTTCCTTCTATCCGAGCTGCGCAGAGGTGCACTAGTTTTCAGGGTGCCAAGCGGCTTTTTGAACATTCGAGAGTGGTATCTTGTGTCGAGGGCCTTGGCCAATCGATTGTCAGTCTGTGACTCGGACGATGTGACCTCTGTCTCGAATTGGCAATCACGATCGCCTCTGCGACGCGCTTCACGAGCAACCTATGGCTCGACATAGGGGCCTCGAGAGCTCTCTCTGTCATCTACAGCTTCTTACTGTGATCTCGCCAGAATTCTGGAATTGCAAGCTTTCCTGTATGTCTTGCATCTGTCAGCGCTGACGCGCACGTAGCTTGAATGTCTCGCCCCGCACCATGGCAAATCTGTGTGGCGGTCACCATCGTTCTCACACTGGTTCTTCTCTCGCAAGACCATGTCCCAGCGGCGAGCATGTCGAACATACATCAAGTCTTCAGAGGCTCCAGCGCGGCGACGCGTCCCGTTGGGCGACTCAACCAAACCCTCGATGGGAACGAGCGCCGGTATCAAGCCGCGATCCGTGAACGCAGGGAGTTCATCGACAAGATTGGTGGATTAGACCAGCCTGCGTACGCATTCTCATCTCGCGCAGCGATGGTCTTCAGCTCACCAGTTCTTGGCACTGTCACAGTTTCCCGGCTCCCTTCACGGCCTTCTACACGCTCTGGGACCTCTATGCACCGATTTTCTCGTGTCCATTCCAAGCATTTCGTGTCGGTATGTAGTTGATCTACTCCGTCATGTGCTGCCTTCCACAAGTCGGCAGGGACCATGGGCGATGGCGGGAAATGGGTGTGCGGTTTTGAGCGTGTTATCCAACAAGACCGCTGTATCGTGTACTCCATGGGAGTGAATCATCAGTCAAGCTTCGAGCAGCAGATTCTGAGAGGCTCGAAGTCATGTACGGTCTATGGTACGTCCCCTTACACAAGTACAGGGAGCATACTGATTCATTTGCAGGATTTGATTTTTCCGTCTCTAATTGGGGGCCAGAACTCGTCGCTGATACCGCTGTCAATGCGCGCGCTCATTTCTATCCCTGGAAGATCACCGGAGTGGACAACCACGGTGCGGTGCCCAAAGAATACTCGTTTCACGGTATCATGAAAGAATTTGGGCACGAGTTTGTCGATATCTTGAAAGTCGGTGCTAGTTCCAGCGCCTCCAGCTGAGCTCATTCTCTCACCAGATCGATATCGAGGGATCCGAGTTTGAAGTACTGGCAGCGATTGTAGAGTCGTTCAAAGGGCAGCCGCTACCGTTCGGACAGATGCAGATTGAGATTCATGTTGGATATGCGCTCCGTAAGCACTCTGCTTCTCCGTATGCTCCTCGGGCCAAAACTGAATGGTCTCGCAGAAACGGACACCATTCGGACCTTTGACCGCTGGTGGACACTGCTTGAAGACGCTGGCCTTCGCCCGTTCTGGACCGAACCTAATCTCCCCGATATCAATTTCCTTCGACGTGGACCGCCGGTTGTTGAGGTACGGTTTGAAAGGCTTATGGAGATCCAGCGACTGACAAACTCCAGTGGTCTTTCCTGAATATCAGGGGACATCATGCATTACTTGATGACAGCCTTCCTGATTTCCCCTGAGTGTTTATCCTGTAGCTCGCGATACCTGTCCCCCATGTATAATATTGTATTGAGTACTCAAGAGTCGAGGTGTAGAATATACATAATCAACCCATCAGTCCCAGCTATGGCGTCGTGATCGTGATCTGAATCTTACTTCAAACCACCACCATCTGAGTGCCCTCGCGTTTGGACCGTCGCGATGCCTTCATGTACGTCATTTCTTTCTTTATTATCTCCTTGGACTATCCTCACGTCGAGACAGTCGCCGAAATGCGCGAGAAGGCAGGTAAAGCCGCGAATGCAACTGTCAATTCGATCCAGAATACCAAGGACCGCCATACTAGTGTAGCTATGAAGAACACCAATTGGAACCCTTACGAGTTTGTCTATCGTGTGGTGTCGTTCGCCCTCTCATCTACTTTCTAGCAAGACCCAGACTCCACCGCCGCCACCACCGCCACGGACTAACGCTTCGAGTAAGCCACAACCGTACTTCCCTCCCCCTCCCTCGCGCACCCAGTCCGCATCCCCATCCGCGCCCCCATCCGCACCGCCTGTGCTACCTCCAAGATCGTCGCCCAGCCCGGCACTCCCCGCACGCTCAACACCATCGCCGGCTAGATCCTCAGGGCCGCCCCCCATCGTGCGCTCGACTAGGCCCGGCGGTCCCTCCCCGGCTTCGCTCGCCCCTCCTCCTCCTCCTTATTCATCGCCGCCGCCGCCCCACCTTCCCGCGCGCTCTGTCGGATCACCGTCGCCGCAGCTGCCCGTGCGATCCCCTGGGCCTCCGCCTCCTCCACCGTCGAGATCCGGAAACAAAGCTGCGCCGCTTCGAGAAGTAGAGAGAGAATCACCTGTGGCTGTCAAAAGCCCTGCGCCTTCTCTGCCTGTCCGGCGCAGCAATAGCATCGCTCCACCATCGGATACGACGATTAAACCGCGGATTGACTGGTGCAATCTGTCGTCCGAGGACAAGGAGGAGTTCTTTGCTTGGCTGGACGAGTTCTTTTCTCGGCATTTGGGGAGAAGGATAGGGCCTGTTGGTACGTAGATGGCCCTGCAGTACTACGGGACTGTCATAGTGGACAACTTGCTATATCTGTATCGTTTAAGTGACGGTCTGAGACGAACATCAAGATGTACGAGAAGATGCGTCAATTAGCAACTGCATCATCCTGTCCATTTTTGCTTCCATCTGAACCAACTTGTCCTGCATCCTCGTCGCGCTCTCCTCCGAACGTTGCTCGATCCTTAACGTGTTCTCCTGATACTTGGACATCCGTTGCTCCAGTCCTAAGATGCGGATCTCTTCGTTGCTCATGCCGATCATCAGAGGCTCGAAGTCATGGACATAAACTAGTGGGTGTGTCAGTAAATGCTGGCGTTCATGAGACCTGGGTTGTTGTTTCGTCTCGTGGCATTCGTCGCATATGTAGATCAGGCGCGATTCGTTGGAACAGACGGTGCAAGCCCATACGGGCAGGGATACCGGCTTATAGCACAAGTTGCACGACGCCAAGTAGCTGGAAGCTGCATATGCCGGGTCCTTGAAAAACGTTTTGGCTTGCTCAGCAACCATTCTGGCCTGACGAACAATCCACGCCAGGTTTGGATTGTGCAGTCGGACAGTTGTCTTCACCAGTGCATGGGAGGGCAAGTGGGTGACATCCTTCTTCCAGGCGACGGGCTTGTGCATGTCTTGTCCACACAGGTTGACGCATTCGGTGTAGCTCTCGTTCATGCACTGGACACAGAACACGCGCACGACCAAGATAGGGCAACGGCAAACGTCACACCGCCGATCGTGCTTGACAAATTTGCTCCGTTCAGAATCGGCCACCTGAAGATAGAAACGGGCGTCCTCCGGCGTCAGGATGGCTTTGAGATGCGAAAGCTCGGCCTGCTCGTCACGTGTGAGCAAGGGCCAGGGTGTCCCGACATGCATCGTGTCCGCGTCCTCGCGTATGGTCAGTTCGATGAACCGTCGGCGCTCATCACCACGTGCTTTGAGCCAGCTTTCCGAAAGATTCTTACGTTGGACTTGGTCTAAGACTGCGCTGATAGCAAAGCGCCACCGAGCAAGAGCCAGACCAGCTGTAGAGGCAGAAGCAGACGGGCGGAAGCGGTACGATTCAGGCGCTGTTCTGTAGAAAGCAGCGGCCGTGTACGCATCGAACTTGAGTGAGATGGTGTCTGAGACAGGATCGTAGTATCCCACATACGACTTGAGTTCGTGTGCCACGCGCAAGTAAAATTGGTTTCCTGGCTCAAAAGAGCCTACGAACTCTGTTTTCTCGTTCAGGTCCAGCGCTGTGCCCGAGATCGTGCGGTCGTCGTGCACGGACAGCGCGAGAGAGGTGAAATAGCAGTCGCTCCGATGGTTTCCAAAGTGACCCGTCCACTGGCCAGCGAGTTTATGACGGTTGCCCCTGCCTTCGTGGGGAAATCGAGCATGGCTTGGATCGTAATTATACTTGCTAGCATCCAAAGTGGGATATCGCAATATTTCCGCTCGGCTGTCGTCCAATCGCTTGTAAACATCTGAGGAATAGATGTCATCATCCAACTTTTCCCAGTGTCTGCTTGGATACTCGTGCTGCCCCGAGTATTTTCGGATGGTGTCTTGGGATACGTCAACTTGATTTTTATTTTCGTACCAAGCCTGGAACTGTGGCGGATGTCAGAAGTACTGGCAGAACAGTGGGAAAACACCAAATGCACCCACCATTCCGAATGAGAAGCTGCCGAATCGTTCACTGAGATTCGTCGTCGAGGACGAAAAGACCGCTGCAAGTCAACATGAGTACAGGACACTGGCTGCCAGGCAGGACGCACCTTCCAAGCTGGTCACTCTATCATGCACCGGTTTCAAGATGTCGATCAGTGCATCCAACATCTCGCCACACTCTTTGTTGTCGAGAACACGAACACAAGCCAGCCGCAGGCGGTCCAAGTGTCGCTGAAGAACCTCAAACAGTAGCGGGTAGATGAACTACTGTCGTTTCAGGAATGCCGCTCAAGACAGATGAAACAACGCCCACTCTTTCGATCCGCTTACTTCCAGTGACCAGTTTTATCGAACGAGGGCTCAACTTGTATCGCGATCGGTCCAGGTGAATCTTGATCCGTTCGGTTTCACTTTCTTCGATCTCCATCCTCAGTTTGTTTAGATGCTTGTCCCAAACAGGGCGCGCCGACCGAGTCGATCGTAAGAGCAGCTCAATCTTCCGTAAAGGGACGGAGGCGAGGTATCTGTCGACCTGTTGAATGTTGGCTCCCAACACATGTCTTTGCGACCTGAATGCGAGTCCATACATTGCCTGAAGCAACGTGTAGATTCGATTCTTGTACGAGGTTATGGAGCCATGCCAGCCCGCAGCCCAGTAAGCGATCCATGCCAGTAAACTAAATGGCCCTATTTTGAGAAACAACACAGGCTCAAAGACACACCCACCTGCACTCCTGCGGCCGCGAGCGGGCAAACTCGTTTGCCTCTTTGATAGTAACGAAGCCAGTGCCGTCGTCATCTACTGTTTCGAGAATAGGCTGCCAGACTGTCAGTCTTTGTTCAAAGTCCGTGTTCAATGAAGCTGACCTGAATGAGGCTGACATTTGAGATTAGCTTAAGCGCCCATGTATCATCTCTACCAGTATGAGCCATTCCGAGGAGAGGTATGTCAGCGATGGTGGGCGTCTGACTTGCTGTAGCTCTTGAATCTTGCTGCTCGGAATAATAGTCATAGATCCCCAGAACAAACGTGCGTCCTTCGACGCTGCTGTTCCACCGTTGCCTTTTCCAGAGCGCTTGTAGGTCCTTTGGATGCAATGTAGAGATGAGTGGAGAGGGAGAGTGCCACGCACGGGATCCAATACATCATCATGGGCTCCTGCTTGTAACAAGTTCACGATCCTCTCTTCGCTGGCTATGATAGCAGCCTCCAACTGCTGGCTTTGCAACTCCATCTTTCCCTCAAACAAGCGCTCGTTCTTCCGGAAAGCCTCCTGGATATCATCTGCCAGCATTTTCTTCAGCAAGTCCCGTGTTTCACTGATATCTTTGCTCTTCCAAGTCGAGTCTCCGCTCAACAAGACCAATTGGTGCAAAGTCGCATCGTCGTCGAGGCTGGCCTCGATACTTCCCCTCTCCAAAATTTTCCGCGCTGCATTCTCCTCAGCTGTCCCAAATTTGCGAAATAATTCTTTGATGAGCGACTCGATCCTATCCAGCTGGGTGGATTGATTCTCCACGTGCCGCTTGACAATATCTTGAGAGAGAGTAACGTGCATTTGCATTCTCAAGACAATGTTCTTCTTGTGCTCCTCGAATGACGCGACGTAGGCCGCAAATTTCTCTTCGTAGCCCTTGGAGTGGATCGTTTTACCTCCAAAGGTCTGTTTCACTAGAGCACGGACAAGTCAGGGTATGACGCACTGAAGAAGTTCTCCTTGAGATAAACATCGCACACATTTCCGCATTCTGTTATGTCACGCGCAATCGACTTGAGAATCTCAGAGAATTGGTCTTTGAGTTTGGTTCCGTCCGGTGCCTTGTGCTCTGGATCGCGAACGGAGCGTAGTCTGACAACATTCGGTCGGTAGAGCAACATACGATGCAGAAGAAAACGCACTCGAAAAGAATCAGCATAACGTCCTGCATCTGCAGCTTCATGGCTAGCACTTTCTTGTTGTTCTGTCTGCGGGTGAGATCGAGCGAGATAACGGCCTTAAATACGATGACAGCGACTGCAGATCGGAATATCAGCACGAAGCTCTTGCTGCACTCAATGAGCACACACCTCCAATGAAGGGGTGCACCGCTCCCAAAGCATCCAAGCCGCTCATGATCACCGTCGAAGTCTCTGCGAACCTGGTGATGGACGCTTCTACAGAATGGATGTCAAGGTTCGCGGCGGCCGCGAGCCCTTGCGACGCTTCTTGGATAGCAGCGGTGTTAGTGTCATAGAAGGTCTGGAGCTTCATGAACGCGTCAGAAGCTTTCGAGGCTTGATCCTCTGCGTCGTGTAGCAGGTGAGATTTTCGGGTCTAGAAAACGAACAAGAAATGGATGTACCTGAGTCGTCGATCTTTTGCTGCTTGGATGGCAGCGAGGCGGAGGAGAAAGCTGCAGCGTGGGCATCATTGAGCAAGCGCGATTCGTCGCCATTTTCCTCTGTTTCGAGCGCCTCCGGGGGCATAAATTCTCCTATGCCTGGATTTGGATGCTTCATAGGTAGGAAGAGTACAAGATACGGTCAATGGCGGATTCCAGACGAGATGTGTCGAAACGGGAACATTCGAGACTGTGGGTATTTGTAGGTCTCCTGACCCGAGCCACACACATGCGTACAGTACAGTGTCGAGGAGATAGCGTGGAGCTATTCTTAGTGGAACTGGTCCGGTTCCTTGAATGACTGACAGCTAGCATGGTCTGCGATGAATCGATGAATTTGTGTGCGGCGGGAGGGAGTGATTGCTCTCACGTGACTCGTGATTGGTAGCGATGGCCACGAGCAATTGCTGGAGTTGTCGATGCTGCCTGATGAGACCTCGGATTTTCGGTGAAGAGAGATTGACTTCCGGGGTAGATGTGGAGGGTATGGGCGCTGAGTTATGGGCCCTAGGTACAAATAAAGGATCTTATATTGTATTCAAGCACCACACTAAGAAGACGGGGTATAGAAGCTATCAAGTTTTACCGAATGTCCAATCAGAAACAACATGTTAAAAAGGGCCATCGCATTCCCTTAATAAGCCGCCGCCTTGTTTCTACGGAACCGAGAGAAGAAGCTGGGCTTGTTGTAGGTCTCCATCGGGTAGGTCGACGCGCCCGACATGCGGTCACGACGACGTCCGAAGCAGACAGTGCAGCCGGCCAACAGGAGAAGAATAAACGAGGCAAAGGTCATCCAAAAGGCTGTCCCAAGGTCAACATGACACAGATGCAGACGAGGGAGGAAACGCACCGGGACTGGTCGTGGTGTGTCCAGAGACGTCCGCAATGTTGCCTACTTCATGGTGCACTCGGGCGTAAAGGACGATGTCGATCACGAAGGCAATCAGGGTCTGCGGAAATGAGCGGCCCGCCAGACTGGTGTCGAGTGCAACTTACGAGCAAGGCCGCGAGGAAGGACAAGAGTGAAGAGAAGAGCGTAAAGGCATGATGTGTCGAGAAGGAGAAGATGAAAGCTATGAAAGTCACGGCCGCGGCTGGATGAAAAAGTAAATACAACAAGGGTGAAGCGAGGCAGCAATACACTCACCGACGGGATGGACAGCCAATCCACGCGTCCAAGAGGAGCCGATGGTCGCGTTAGAGGTCTTCGCCGCGTTGGAAATGGCAATGGAGTAGGCATGTGCTAGATAGCATGCATGAGCTTGACTAAGATCCGAAGACCATTCCTCAACTAACCGGCCTTAAAACATGTCCGAGCGCCATGAGTGTCGTAGTAGCAGGGCGCCCTATGTGGCAGTCAGTATTGATGGACAGGAACAAACCACGCGGGGGACACGACGTGGCGTGAAATCGTACCATACACCGAACTAGAAGCCAGGTCAGTGGAATGACGCAAACAAAGGATGCCCACGCACTCTAAGCTCCGTCATGGCGTCCCCGTTGGTGGCAGCCGTAACCCCAGACGCGAACTTGACGCGAACAAAGTCGATCGCGGGGAGGAAGGGGAGGGAGATGGAGACGATGACGCTCAGGACAAGCGCGCACAGGAGGAACACGATGCCTGGGATGCAGAACGCGCGCGACATTTTCAGAGTTGTGAGTTCGTTATAGCTGGGACATTGTTAGACCAGAACAGGTGGGACGCGAAGGGCCGCGTACTCGTGAAAGGAGTAGTTTGGGGGAGGAGATGATGGGAGTGCGAAGCAAGTTGAGAGGAGAAGAAGCCCACTTTTTGAGGGGCACCGAGGATGACGCGATGACGTCGAGACTTTGATTAGCGTCCTCGTTTTCACGTTGCCCGAATAGGGAAGCACGACATGCCAACCGCGTGGCCAGGGTTCATAATCCCTGAGTTTTTCCGGAACGATGAGGACCTATGCAGCTTGAGCCTACAACTCAATGGGGGGATGCAAGCGGAAAGGATCCACGGGAAATTTACGCCCAGGCAAGGCCAAGCACGTGTGATTCTATAACATCATCGACTGATCGATCAGAGTGGACAGGGCTGGACAGGGACTATGTTTACAGCTCATCTTATCTTATCGTAGTCCTGTCACGCGAAATAAGGGTTACCCGCCCACTTCAGCAGCTGTTGAATCATGTATTTGAAGATTTGTCGGAGCTCGGCAAGTGTTAACATAAATTAGAGTATCACCTCAATCTTCAGTTCACTAGGTCTAGATACTTATACAACTTTGGTCGCAGATACAGAGTCCCTGCTTGTGAGCGAATCCTTGAATCCAGCGTTTTGGCATGAATAAACGAATATGCGTCAAGACAAAATTCAATGTACATATGTATCCGAAGCACATCCGAAGCTCGTACTTGAGAACCACTGCTTTACATAACATGTAGCAACACCTAGGGTAAGATCTTATCTTATCGTGTTTCCCAGCGCCATCATGATGACTGCTGACATCCTTTGTCCCATGACTTCACGATCTGCCAGTCTCGGTCACTCACTTTTTCGGGACCGTTTCAGGAACGCTCCTACCGTCCAATGCCTTGCTATGCTACTGGATAACTCTCGCTCACCTCTGCTCCTGTCCTTCAATCTATGTTTTGGGGTTCCCGCCACCCACTCATTCTCAAGGGCCAAGGCACCCTTCATTTGATATCTCCAACTTGTCCAATGTCGACATCACCCGACTGACATCTACACGCTGTAAACCAGTCAGAGCGCGACACCCCTATGTGGCTGCGACCGAGTGCATACAGCCGGCTGCGAAATTCGCACACCGAATGACTCCCGTCAGCAGCCCTTGACGCGGGGATGTCAAGAGTGAGGCGAGAGTGCTATAAGGGGACAGGTGCTGCATTCCCACCTCCCTCAATCGTCTCCCGTTGGATCAAGCCCTCGCAATGTCCTCCCACAGCCCCATCTTTGGTCTCTACTGTTTACCCTCGGGCGCCTCCGCCGCGTGCACCCCCGTGTCGTTTCCGCTGCTGAGCGTGCGCATCTCTGCGCGTCTCACAGACCTCTCAGCGCAGGTCACGCTGGTGCAGACGTACCTCAACGCCACTGCGCCCGGAGTGCCCACGTCGACCGAAGCTCGCTACGCGTTCCCCGTCCCCGCTCGGGCGGTCGTTCACAGCTTCACGATGATCCGGGGGGACGGGACGAGGGTCGTGGGGCGTGTACAAGAGAAGCGTGCGGCGAGGAAGACGTATGATTCCGCCGTCCAGCGCGGCAAGCAGGCCGGGATTCTGGAGCAGTCGACACCCGATGGTCAGTGCTACCCTGCCTCCGTCTGCGATTACACTTGTTGACGATCTCCGACTAGTCTTTCGCGTTTCAGTGGGGAACATACCTCCCAATGAAGAGGTCCAAATCGAGTTGGTCTATGCTACCGAGCTCACTGAGGATGAGGAGAACGATTCGGTACGGTTTCACGTTCCCATGCACATTGGTGCCCGGTATGGTGTCGCGCCTGCGGAGCTCGGTGGCTTTGAGAGCCAAAACGTTCGCTCTCATGGTGCATTCCTCGAGATGATTACACACATCGAATCCACGTCGCCGATATCCGAAATTGGCTCGCCATCGCACACAATATCCACGGAGCTAGGCCCAGATCCTGCGTTGCCCAACGCCAGCCAGCTGCCCTTCTCGCACTACGCCCGGGTCTTCTTGTCTTCCGACGCTCAGCTGCAGAAGGACTTCGTGCTGACCGTCAAATCCGCCGGGCTCGACACCCCGCGCTGCGTAGCTGAGACCAGGGAAGGAGAAGTCGCGATGGGATTGACATTCGTCCCGCGTTTCGTGCTTCCCCCCGTTGCGCGACAGGAGTACATCTTCCTCGTCGACCGCAGTGGATCGATGGATGGCCAGCGGATGATGGCGGCGCGCAAGGCCCTGGTCGTGATGCTGCGCTCGCTGCCACACCGCGACTCCTCGTCGTTGTTCAACATCGCCTCCTTTGGCTCAGATTGTACACTCCTCTGGCCCCAGGGCAGCCGAGCGTACGATCAGGAGACGCTGGAGCAGGCGACGGAGCATGTCGACTCGATGTGGGCTACATACGGAGGGACCGAAATCCGGTATGCCTTGGGGAAATGTTTTGCGCAGCGCCAATCCGACCGGCCGACGAGTATCTTCATGTTGACGGATGGCGACGCCTGGGATCTGGCCGGCGTGCTGGAGCTGGTGAAAGGCACAGTGGACAAGCATCCTGTGCGCGTGTTCGTGCTGGGCATCGGCGACGCCGTGTCGACGGCTATGTGCGAGGGGATCGCACGCGTGGGTAACGGGGCGTGTATGTTCGTGGGCGAGAGCGAGACCAAGTTCACAGGGAAAGTCGCAAGACTGCTCAAAGCGGCCAAGACGCCTGTCATCGGAGATGTCCATGTCGACTGGGGATCGACAGTCGTCAGCGATGAAGCTGAAGAGGAATTTGAATTACTCGAATGTCCTCCCGCGCCACAAACGAAACGATCTGCCAAGCTAAATTTGTTTGACTGCGATGTCGATGTCCTGGAGTCGGACGACAGTCCAGCTCCTCCGCCGTCTCTCGAGATTAATCTGCCACCAATTCCTTCTGCCCAGCAATCTCCGTTCAAGATTCGCAGTCTGCTACCTGGTGTGCGGTGTACTGTTTATGCCATCTTGCAATGTAAGTCTTACCTTCCGCACATGGTGCCGTTTTTGTGAACTTATCTTTGGCAGCATCACAGATTCCCCCTAAAGTAGTTCTCCACGGCACCACTGCAGACGGTGCCACCATCGAGCTGCCTGTAGACGTCACTGCCAGCTGTCTGGGGACTATAGCACTGCATGCTATTTCCGCGCGCAAGATTATTCAGGATCTGGAAGACGGACAGCACGGGCTAGCGCGCGATGGCGACCCAGATCTGCTCTCTCGGACAGTGAATGCAGCGATCGTGCGATTGGGCACTAAATACGGCATCGCGTCGTCGCAGACGTCGTTTGTCGCCGTGGATGAGACTATCGAGAGCGTTGATGCAAATGAAGTGGAGACATTTGAAGAAGGATTGAATTCACTGCGGACTTTGGCCTCGGCTTCGGCTTCGTCGGCACCGTCTGCCGGAGTGCACATGCCAGCACCAGCGGCGCCGCCGCCACCTATGCTGATCGCAGCACCGCCACCCCCGCCGCGAGCACCGCCTCCAGGCTCAGTGGCTCCGAGTTCCTCATCGGAATCAGATGACACATATGGCATAGGATCTGATGCGGGATCACACACCGCACCTCCCATCGACGACGCCGAAGAGTCGGATGACGACATGGGCTTTGGGCTGTTCGACGGTGGCACACCTCCCCCGCACGTCGACTCGGATTCACTTGTGAACTCGGACCCGCTGGAGGCGCTCGCCCGGCTCCAGTCCTTTGACGGAGCCTTCTCCGCCCAGGTGCTCGATCTCGCGTTCATGCACCTCACGGTCGACCGTGCGGGACTCCGGGCGCTGCTGTCGCTGCCCGCTGGGCTCAAGGACGAGGACGTGCTGCTTGCGACGGTGCTTGCGATGGCGTATCTGAGCAGCCAGCTGGGAGGGGACGTCGAGCGCGAGTGCTGGGAGGACATGTACTCGAAGGCACACGACTACGTCTGCGACGCACTGGGCTGGCAGAGCGCGCAGCTGATGGCATCACAGGCCAAAGCCGTGGACGTGTTCGGATAGTTCTGCGGCTGCGCATGGAATGCGAGATGAGGGCCTCCGAATGATAGCCGTGAAACGCCTGCTCGGCGTTCAAGCTCTCGGTGAGTAATATGTACCCAAAGATCTCATCACTACGTAGTACAGACACCGGCTATGTACATATCGTAAACCGAGGCGTGAAATGCAATTCTATACATTCCAGTGGCAGTGTTCGTCAAATTTTAGTTAGCGTGGTCGGGGAATGTTGAGTCGTTGAACGCTGGGTGTTACATATCGGCGACTCCAATATATTGAAGCCTGGAGTTTGAGCACTACTGCGCATACATATCCCACTCCAACTCGGCTGGTGATTGGCTCCCCGCTAGCTCCAGGCACGCGCAGACACCTTTTCGGCGGAGAACATCCATCGCCAGACTAGTCGCTAGCGGGAACGGAGAGCGAGCTGTCCGGGCGCGCTCCAGGTGAGCAAGGAAGAGGCCGGGACCTGAAACACGCACCCAGTGTAGTCCTGTAGCATTAATATTATTCACGCCCTGCGCTAAGCGAGCGCGATATAAAAGGGACTGGCGATAATCGTCGGAGCTGCAACATCTCAATGAGCACCACCCAGAGCACACCCGCCCACGTAACAGTCCTTGTCATCGGCGGTGGCCCCGCCGGGAGCTACACCGCTTCGGTATTGGCCAGGGAAGGCATCGACGTCGTGGTGCTCGAGGCGGACAAGTTCCCCAGGTGCGTAGCCGGATAGAACTGCGTGACTTGCATGTAGCTCACGTGTCGCCGGAAGGTACCATGTCGGCGAGAGCATGCTGCCCTCCCTGCGCCATTTCCTCCGATTCATCGACGCGGAGGACAAAGTCGAAAAACATGGTTTCCAGAAAAAGGTAGGTTGTTGCTCCAGTCGCCGCGAGCTCGACCACCGCTGACAAACACGATATGACAACACACAGCCCGGCGCTGCGATTTCGTTGAGTGCGTGTTCAAATTCAACAAATGGAAAACAGACTGATCGCAAGAGGCAGATCAATGGAAGCGGGAGGGGTACACCAACTTCGGCATCGGCAACCACTCCTGGAACGTCGTAAGCCTCTCGGAATCACAACAGACACAAAAGCTCACCTCCGCAGGAACGCGCTGAACTGGACGAGATCCTCCTGCGCCATGCACAGGAATGCGGCGCCCAGGTCTTCGAGGAGCACAAAGTCCTCTCGCTCGGCTTCCGCGCCGACACGCGTCCGATCAGCGCGACGTTCAGCGACCCCACGGGCCAGCCGCGCACGATCACGTTCGACTACCTCGTCGACGCGTCCGGCCGCGCCGGCCTGCTCTCGACGCGCTACCTCCACAACCGACATATGAATAAGAACCTCAAGAACGTCGCCTGCTGGGGATATTGGACGGGCGCGAACATGTATAGCCCCGGTACAGAGCGCGCGAATTCGCCGTGGTTTGAGGCGCTGACAGGTACTCTTCATATGCGAGCACCGCGCCGCGCATATATCTATGCTAACGACTCAATAGATGAAAGCGGCTGGGCGTGGTTTATCCCGCTGCAGCACGGCCGAGTGTCCGTCGGCATCGTCATGGACGGCAAGATTAGCGCAGCCAAGAAAGCGGGGCACACGCTGCAGGAGCACTACCTCGCGCAGCTCCAGTTCGTCCCGAAACTGCAGCAGCTGCTCGGCGCGGCCAAGCTGGCCGTCGACACATCGGGGCAGATCCCCCCGGTCAAATCCGCTAGCGACTTCAGCTACACGGCCACGCGGTATTCGGGCGACCATTTTCGGCTCGTCGGCGACGCCAGTGCGTTTGTGAGTGGCTCCGCTCGCTTCGTGGACCGCGATCGCTGACCGCGCGAACAGATCGACCCGTTCTTCTCGTGAGCCCTTCCTACACCGCTCGCTGAATTGGCTGACTGATCTGATGTCCACGCAAGCTCGGGCGTGCACCTCGCTGTGTCGGGCGGCCTGACAGCCGCGGTGACTATCGCGGCGTCCATCCGGGGCCACTGCACAGAGGAGGAAGCGGGCAACTTCCACCACCACAAGGTCGCCGTCTCGTACACCAGGTGCGTGTGCGGCATCGGTCTCTCTCGGTCTTGAATCTGAGCGAAGACGACAGGTTCTTCCTGACAGTCTCGGGAGCGTACAAGCAGATTCGGAACCAGCAGGTCCCGGTCCTGAGCGACATCGACGAGGGCAACTTCGACCGCGCATTCGACCTCATCCGGCCCGGTGCGTGCCCCGAACCCATCCCACCGAGAACGCTGCTGACGGGAGCCCCACGCCAGTGATACAAGGCAGCGCTGACGCCGGGCGGCTGCTCACCGAAGACGAGCTGCAAAAGGCCATGGTACGCAATTCCCTCCCCGCGTGCTGGCACCTGAAGGCTGACATGGACACCCCACAGGACTTTGTGTCGCACATATTCACGCCGACCGACCCGGAGATGATGCACGCCGTGGGCACGAAGTTGCAGATGGACGTCCTCGCGCCGGGCGCTCCGATCTTCACGCCTGCACAGATCGCGGCGCTCGCGGATGGGGACGAGGACACCGCGAAGGTGCTGAACCAGGGTACGCGGGTCTTTCTGGTAGCTGTCCGAGTGCAAGTGCGAGGCTGACAAAACGCAACACCGACAGCGAACGCGACGAAGGCAGTGTACGACTTTTACACCGGGCCCGACCGGCTGCTGGGCGAGATGGTGGACGGGTTCATCGGGTGCACGAGGGTGGGCAGTGTGGGCCTCGTGCGCGTCAGTGAGGGCAGCCGCAAGCCGAAGGAGGAGGAGGTCAGAGGTGTCAAGCGGGACCACACCATGCATGCACAGCTCGCGCTGGAGCCCCAGATTGCCCAGGTCAGGCGGAAGTAGCAAGCGTTGCGCGGTCACCTGCTCAGTCACATGTTAGAAGTGTCCGATGACATCATCTCCATATTTGTATTATTTAATTAACTTTTCCCCTATACTCTTGTGTTGGGGCAATGCGCTACCGCAGGTACCCATTTCAGGGTACTCAGGGGGCTGTAAGCTGAGGACTGCGAATAATGTAGTCAAATGTTCGCCCCAAAATTGGCTGATGCTCCCCATATCTGTCCAACGCGGTTCAAGCTCAAGTCCATAGCTCAAGTCTATTTTTGTCCAACCCGTACATAGGTCCTAAAAATTTGATTTCTATGCCTACACAATCTATACCGCGAGAATTTACCTTCAGTGGCAATTTCTAGGAAAATACAGAGGACCAGCAGAATCCACCACACAGTGACGGAATGATGGCAGAGGTGAATCAATTCAAATGGGCATTTAAAACAAAAAATAAACAAAATTTGGCGTTTCAAATGTACTCCAATGGTGCTTCAGCTAATTTCCGACCCGTCCTCCCAACTTGCCTTGCTCAACCTTGGAAGTTCGGATAAGCTCCGGGCCGAGAATATTTGACTGATGTTCCTGTCAAAATCACCCGGGATTGATCCGAGGTCAGATCGGTGCCTTTGAAAGTTGACCAGACCGCGTCATATTACTTACAACACTTTTGTCAACATCCTCCAAGCAACATCGACCACCAGCTGTCCTCCCTCCTCACCTCAAACTCTGCTCCGCTGAAGCGCTGAACAGCTGGCTCTCGCGCGCTGGCAGATAACGAGATCCTCCGCGGCAGACAGCCGGAAACAGGCGTCGATGGCTTCTGAGAACGTTTCTGGGGTTCCGGCATGGTAACCTGGGAAAGAGAAAGAGCTAATCAGTGGCCAGGCTGAGTAAGAGCGAGGGGGCCGACCGACCAGTCATCTGGTCTACGAATGGCACGACGATATCACCGAGCGGGCCGCCGGATGCGTGGACAGTGAGTGTCACTCCAGCCGCCTGGCCTTGTGCGTCAGCGCTTCAGACCGAAACGAGAGAGAAGAACAGATAAGACCCACCGTGAACTCCGCGACATCAGTCCCAAAGTGTTCATCCAGGCTCTGTAAAGTTCATAGCCCTAGATTTCACGAGCTGAACTACACATGGTCATCGATTGAGTCCCCCGTCATTCTATTCAGTTGGTGCGCCAAATTTGACGACATGCTGCCTCGAGGCACAATAAGCGCCCATGAGAGTGAGGACGCGGACGAGGAAGATCGAGCACTTGACTCATCCTTTGAACACGAGATGATGGGTTCCGAAAAGTTGGCCCGGCTCATCATCGCCGATTCTTCCTGATAAGGACTCGTCTCCAGAGGTGAGCTCTTTACATGTCTCCATAGTCAGAAATCTGACTGGAAGCTGTGTACTGATGGTTTCAAAGACCGATTCGGATGTTGAAAGGCTCCGGCAGCTCGCAAAAGAACTACGGAGAACGGCTCAAATCATGGATTCACAGCCTCCGAAAGTTCCCGAACCATCGATGATGTGGATTGCGTCCATGTTTAGACAATATTATCGATGGCCATGAGCGGGGAATGCGGCGATGAACGTCCGCTATCTGTAAGACACTGGGAAATTCGAGGGCCAACATGGGCAGGGGGGGTAAGAAAAGTTGAAGCTTATTCGTGGGACTTGATGGGGCACCGGTCTCAAAATAGGTATCCTGCGGTAATCGATGGATCTACCCTTCATTATCTCACCGGCCAGTGCCGCGGAATAATGTTGGGGGTCAATAACACGTAGTACACGATGGCCAATGTCAGTTCTACCACTTGACTCAACAGTGTAGTCTGCATTGAGCACTACAGGATCGAGTGCGGACAACCACGTCCCCGTCAGTCAAATACAGTTGTGCATAGATCATACCAACTGTCAGTCTTAGACGCCCGTCCTATCCAAAACTTGTGAATCTATCTCACGAGTCAAGCATCGAGCAGAGCTATTTGCGGCAACCTACATGACCACACTCGATATAAGTCTGGCTGCAGCGACTGTCGGCGACTGCATTCCTTGAACTTTGAGTGCACACTCGTGGATCCCCTTCCGCTGCGATCTCACCCATACGTCGCGTCGCCCGTCCGTCATTGATATGAACAGGCCGTTAAGCGGAGAAAAGACGAATAATGCAGAGGATCCCGAGCGTTTGGCGGTGTTGGGCGGCGCCTCCACCGCAGCCTACTCCTCCTCTTCTTTGTCTGATTCTCGGCAGAAGATCGACGGGATCGGTACGCGGGTCCGTCTCCATCCAGAAACTTGTTCTCACTCCCCCCAGAGGACAAACTGTCGGTCCCGATTAACTCGACCAATGACACGTATACCACTCTCCAGACGTTCTACACTACAAATGCTGCGGTTATCAATACCGCGTCCAGTGCGCTGGCAGCCACAGCGGACATAGATGTCAAATCCATCGAGGCGACGATAGCCCGGTTCGCGGAGACGTCGGCGGTGATCATGAAGGGCCTGGACGCACTCGGGGCGGTGCATCCTTTCGTTGGGGGTGGGTGATTATTAACAGATAACGTTGGATGTATGTGCTGAAGTCGCGCAGTCGCCGTTACCGCGTTCAAGCTCGTCATTTCGCTCGACATCACGCGGCGGCAGAACAACAAGAAAGTCCTCGCGGTGAAGCTCCAGATGCAGGACCTCATGACGGTGCTCTTCCAGTCCGCGACCTTCTTCCTCCACTTGTCCTTTTTTGACCTCTGGCCTCCAGACTCCTTCCCATGCGCGATCCAGAGGATAAAGCTCCTGATGGGACAACACTGAAAGACCGAATGTCAGAACTCATGAAGACGGTCGCGGACGACATCACCAGCTGCGGTAGCGCGTGCGACGTCTATCTCAAGAAGAGCTTTCTCGGCGAGTACCCCCCAACACCTCAACTTCTTTGCGCTGACACACTGTCCACAGCCAAAACGATCAAGTCCAAGATCTACGAGGCCAGACTGGCGTCCTATGTCGCGAAATTCACAGACCACAAGAAATCCATCGCCTTCGTGCTCACGATGGACACGTCGCACTCGGTCGGCACCGCGAACCGCAAGCTCGACGACATAACGACGCAGCTGGATTCCATCGAGATGAAGATGGGAGAGCTGTTTCGCAAACTCGACACGCCGCGCGAGCGGGAAGTGCAGAAGTTCTTGGACGACAACGGCGGCGCGCGGGCCTGCATCAGCGATGATGCTGCACTGGCACAGCTCGTGGCCAAGAGCGGGGACACGACCCTAGCGTCCGGCACGTCTGCTGAGATCACCGCGACGAAGACGCTTCTCTTACGGGAACTATCTGAGGATATTGATGAGGCGTTTCGCAAGAACGCGCTACTTTTCGACCGCAAGATGGAGATACAGAGCCAAGAGCTGAAAATTGCAATGAAAGACGGCGAGGAAAGGCTTCGCAAGGTAATCAAGGAAGGGTTGCATGAACGAATTATGGATAAGGTGAGGATCCTCTCCTTACACGAAAATGCTGATCGGCATACGAAACAGGGTCTTCAAACGCTCTGGAAAGACCAAGGCTGGAAAGGCAGTGTAAAAGCGCGCCACTTCGTGCTCGCGCTCAACGATTATTATTCCGACCTCTACAGTAAGCATCTCCCAGAAAGCAGAAGCTCCTCTGCTCCTCCAACGCCCATGGTTCCCACGATCAATTTGATCGCGGAACTCCCCAGTGTGCCGAAATACGAGGACGATGACCACTGGGCGCTCAAGTATATCACTGTGGCTAACATCCAGGCAAGTGATCACATGAAACGATTCTGAACGTTCGCTCAGCCAATCCAAGCCCATTCTCGAGACAGTGGATGACGATGGAACTGGCTTTGTCACCATCAAAGAGACGAATGAATTTACAGAATCTCGGCCGAAGGAACAGTGCAGGCATGTGCCAATGTCCATCAAGAAGTCTTCCTCATCTTTACGAGAATCATCCAGTTTACTCTCATGGACAGCCTACTGGGCTGCTGGCTGGCACACCTCCGTAACCTGGCACAAGAATCGGATCTATTCGCTGCTCAGAGCGATGCTCAACCTCCCAACGAGTGCGCTCAAGCCCATCTTGCCCGCAAACATACAACGCGTGGATACTTATCTTGCTTCGCTGCCCATGCGGCGGATCGAGCTACTGTTGCGGTCGACTCGGTCTGCCGGCCCAGAACGGGATGAGAATCTTGCGAAAGTCAGGGAGAAGATCGAGGGCCATGAAAACAAACGGATCCAAGACCGATTGACTAAACTGCGCTACGAGTTGGATGATGTGGGTCTGAGGCTAATCACCGGGAATAAGCGTATCGAGAGGGTTTGTTCTATCCTCTCCTTCCGGAGTTTCTCCGCTGAAGCCAGTCTAGTTCATCTACCCTCTGCTCGAAGCGCTTCTCAAGCGGCATTTCGACATTCTGCGGCTGGCGTGTGTGCATGTCCTGGATGACAGTGAATTCGATACGATGACTGGCTCGTTGGGAGTGATCTTCGAAGCAGTCGATGAGAGAGTAGCCAACTTGGAAGGTATGTCCAGACTGTGGTGTTAGTCATGTAGTTGTGCTGATTGGGTTCTGCCCAGCTGTTTTCAAGTCCAACTTTTCGAATGTCAATGAGCGATTTGGTAGATTTGCATTTGGCATGGTACAGTCTGCTGCTGCCCCGCGCTTCTCTTGCTGATACCAGCATCGTAGTTTCAAGCTGACTACACCAGCGACAAAACGTATTCCGATGTCGTCAACAATACCATCAGCGTTACCCTCCGCGAGGAGGGATACGAGTTTGACGTCGATTCGGAGGATACCGATTTCCGGGGCTATTCTCTTGATGCATTCAAGAGCCTTGATGACAAGCGCAAGGACATACTGATGTATCCAACCGCAAATGGAGTTGGCAATCTGTACGACTTCCATCTCAAACACCCTGACCCTTCCGCAGAAGCGGGAGATCATCTCGCCCTTGCCGGTCGATGGACCGGGCACATCATGTACCAAGGACTTGAATATTCAGGCCTCATCTCCCTCGTGCTGTCTGTAGACGCTGAGAACACGTTGTCGGGGGCGAGCGAGATTTTCGATCAGATTTTGAAGGTGTCTGGCTCTGCCAGCCCCGGCGAAGATTCCCAGGCCGAAATAACGCTGATTATATGGTTGTCGGAAACCCTTGTCTTCAACTGCAAGGGCGTTTATAACGCCGACAAAGACATTATCGAGGGACATTTGGACACATCTGCTGGCGTCACGAATACGTTTACCTTCATCTTCCACCGAACGCCCGCCGAATGGCCCGAATCATACCGTTTTCGGCCCTCTCCAACTGCCGAAAACCGCGCTGTCGCCCGCTGGCACTTTGCAATCAACGCCGTTCTGGACCAATTTCAGCGCAGGAACATGTCATGGCGCTGGCTGAAAGCACGCTTCGCCGAGCGCCGACGTTTCATCCACCTGATGACGCGGAACAAAGCAAACGATCGGGGTCTCACGCCGTGGGCACCTCTGTCGGACGGCGAGCTGGCCGAGCTGCGGAATCTCCTGTCGGTGCTGACGTCAGCGGACACGCGGTTCTATCTCACGATCGTCGAGCTGGAGCTCAGAAAAGTCGTCGACCAATATCGGATCTGCGACGTGTGCAAAAAAGATATCAGGGGCCCGCTTTTGTTCTGTGTCCAGTGCATAGACAATAAGTTCGATGAATGTTCCGACTTTTGCGAGGTGCACACGGAGAAGTCTGTGCAATGGGAGACCGTCACCCACAGACCCTCGCACGTCTCTGTCAAGACACTCTCTCGAATCCACCATGGCGACAAGTCCTGGGTTGTGCCTAAAGCCAGATCCGTCGCCGCGCGGATCAAAAAGCTGTTCAAGGAACTGGACGCCCCTGAGAGCGCGAAGACGGTGGCCGAGATCGGTTACGGTTTCAACGACGCTGTAGCAGAGAAGAAGAGGCCGAAATGCGTGTGTTGTGCCAAGGACGTGTCGCTTCCCGTGTGGGTCTGCCTCGCCTGCGACGAGGACATCTTCGTCTGCATCGAGTGCGATAAGGCCAAACAGTCCATCCCAGAGGAATCCATCCCGAAATATCAGGACTTGGTGAAGTCGGGAAAGAAGCCATGCCATATGTTGTCGGATCCGCTCGTGTACGTGCACGACACAGAACCTATCCCGCCATTGGCCCAGAGCATGACGAACGAGCGCCGCATTGCAGAGCTGGACAAGAAAATGACCACAATGGAGCAACGGATGACCACAATGGAGCAGCGGATGACGGGGATTGAGGAGAAACTGGATGCCATCATCAAGGCGCTGGGTAAGGAGAATCTCTCAAATACTGCTTGAGATGTAAGGATGTTGTGTGTGTAATCTTTTCGAGTACCCATGTTCAGGAACGCTCGACCACATGAGCTCCCGACCGAGCCCAATCTGTATCATTTCATCCAGTTTTCGTTTTCGACTGACTGTACACCGTGTATACGTAACAATGCTGTAAATATCCTATATTTTATCGCCCAAGAAATCTCCCAGGATTGTCCCTTCCCATTCTAAGACTCTCGTAGCTCAGAGCAGGAACTGCACCATTAGATTCGTCAGATATTGCAACCCCGCCGCGCGGTACGTGCGTTCTTCTCGTGAGCCCACTATCACCCGCCGCTGAATTGTACTGACTGACCGACTCGATGCCACGTCAGCTCGGGTGTGCAAATCGCTGTGTCGGGGGGCCTGACAGCCGCGGTGACTATCGCGGCGTCCATCCGGGGCCACTGCACAGAGGAGGAAGCGGGCAACTTCCACCACCACAAGGTCGCCGTCTCGTACACCAGGTGCGTGTGCGGCATCGGTCTCTCCCGGTCTTATATCTGAACAACGACGGCAGGTTCTTCCTGACGGTCTCGGGAGCGTACAAGCAGATTCGGAGCCAGCAGGTCCCGGTCCTGAGCGACATCGACGAGGGCAACTTCGACCGCGCATTCGACCTCATCCGGCCCGGTGCGTGCCCCGAACCCATCCCACCGAGAACGCTGCTGACGGGAGCCCCACGCCAGTGATACAAGGCAGCGCTGACGCCGGGCGGCTGCTCACCGAAGACGAGCTGCAAAAGGCCATGGTACGCAATTCCCTCCCCGCGTGCTGGCACCTGAAGGCTGACATGGACACCCCACAGGACTTTGTGTCGCACATATTCACGCCGACCGACCCGGAGATGATGCACGCCGTGGGCACGAAGTTGCAGATGGACGTCCTCGCGCCGGGCGCGCCGATCTTCACGCCTGCACAGATCGCGGCGCTTGCGCATGGTGACGAGGACACCGTGAAAGTGCTGAACCAGGGTGCGTGTCGTTTGGCCGTGCGATTTACGGCCGACTTCAAGGCTGACGGAACGCCGACAGCGAAGACGACGAGGGCGGTTTACGACTTTGACACCGGGCCCGACCGGCCGCTGGGCGAGATGGTGGACGGGTTCATCGGGTGCACGAGGGTGGGCAGTGTCGGCCTCGTGTGCGTCAGCGAGGGCAGCCGCAAGTCGAAGGAGAAGGAGGAGGAGGTCGGAGGTGTCAAGCGGGAGCACACCATGTATGCGCAGCTCGCACCGGAGCCGCAGGTTGCGCAGGTCAGGCGGAAGTAGCGTGCGTTCCGCGGTCACCTGTCCAGTCACATGCTTGAAGTGTCCGATGACATCACATGCCGACGTGTTTATTTACGTCGGCCGGAGCGTGACTGGCGAGGCCACATGTATGGAGGCTCGGAAGGCCCTGCTCACAACCGAGACAGTTGACATTGATGGCAAGTGATCTAAGACCCCAGACTTTGTGTACGTACATAAGTAGCTAGGCCCTGTTGAAGATGCGCGTAGTGACTTCTCAGTTACAGTTGGGTGATTATAGGACCTGTAAAATTCCCACTAAATGTTAGCCCCCTGTTGGACAATTTTTGGCGGGGAGGGATTAGCCCAAATGAGTCGGGTGTTAGAAAAAAATTGCGGCTCCATTCGGCGATATAAAAGTCACAGGGTTACAAAAATTAACCCCAGTCCGGTCTGGTCTGACCCCGAATTACCCAAATAGATCAATTTTTGTTGATCGGTGCTCCAATCGAGACACTCGTTCAATTCCGGACTAGATTTAGAGTAGTTTGTGTAAAATCATTTGTAAATCATTCGCTGATTGGAGGTCAGGTATGGCGCGGTTCATTTAGTTTTGAGGTAAGGTGAATTTTAAGCACATCAAAAAACCGGATTTTGGGTCCTGGTGACCAATGACCGACAGTTAGGTTTGGGTTGTAATAGTACACTAGTTTTAACGATGAATATTTTCCTCTTTCCAGTCGCTTCCTTTTCATGAGAGGAAGAGAATGGCTAGAGGGATAAGCCCAAAATAAATCCCTGAGAGAGTAGAAATTTCCAGGTAGGGCGAAACCGGCAGACCCGTCAACTATGAATATTATACTAGTCAGAAGCCTGAACTACGGTCTCTGGGATGCGATGATGCAATTTGTGTACCTGCAAACTAACTTCCAAACCTCGAGTTGTGTCAGCTGCATCTCCAATTCCTTCCAATATGTGTCCGTCCACCAAATCAATGATCATCCTGTGTTCGTGATCTTGAGACGGTGTGTGATCAATTATTGTTGCTGGTTGGCGAGCCTGTGGATGTCGCTTTGCCCGAGCACAAGCAGCGGCAGCGCTTTGTGCTTTTGTTAGCAGATGAGTGACGTGTTATGTGCCTTTATCCTCAATTCTCACATTCAGCATCATTTCAGGCTAGAAAACGGGATATATAGAAAGAAATCTCCTCCGGCTGATTTGGCAGTCTTTTCCCAAGTAGTGGTCTCTAAGTCGACCGCACCATACGGGTTGGACAAAAATCCAGGGCTTAAACCCGATGTGCGTTAGAATTAACATTTGAAAATGTACGTAAAAGGAGCATGTCATCGTGCGCATGGGGTCCTTACATCGCCTATCAACGTCAACTGTCTCGGTTGTGAGCAGGGCCTTCCGAGCCTCCATACACATGAGAGATCGTCGCGGGCGACCACTGGCTGAATAACGCGATGGCAGTGGGAAATAATTTCATCAAGTTTTTGTTTTTGACTAGCCATACACAGAGCAATGCTGTAAATATCGAAAATTTTATCCCTACAAGACATCTCGCAGATTTCCCATCCCCATTTAAAGTCAACGTCCCTCAAAGCGGGAACTGCAGAGTCAGATTCGTCAGATACTGGAATCCCTCCGCGCGGTACGTGTCTTGCGAGATGGTCGTGGGGAACAGCCCGTCCAGGAACGTCATCATGTTCGGGGTCTGGGTCGTGTAGGACGGCCAATTCGGCACGGTCGCGCCGTTCGGGTCCAGCTTGTTCGCAAAGTTGATCAGGTAGTCTTTGAGCTCGCCGCTCCCATATATATTGAGGATGTCGCTGAAGTGGAACGAGCCGAGAATCGGCACGATTTTGAGTCGCTTGCTCACTGATTCCGATTTTAGTATCGTCACGTGAAAGGGATCTCGAACGGCGGAAGACGCGCAAGACTCACGGAAGGCCCACTGGTTCTGTTTTCCCGACCGCTGCTGCTGGAAGAATCGTCTGGGTGCTTGGAAGACGCCGTCGCCCTGGAAGGCAGCCATGCGCTTGAACTGCGGCGTCAGCGCATTCAGCACCAAGGTGTCGAACGGCGACCCGGCTGTGATCGAGTTGGTGTAGATGCTGAGCATCTTGTCGAGCTGCGCGGAGGCTGCAGACGGCAGCCAATACTGTCCGATGTAGTCGCGGAACTCCTGGTCGGTGCTAGCGCGGGAGCGTCAGATTCGAACCACCGCGTGCTGGATTAGGCAAGCGCACGTGACGTTGAGCGTGGAGAGCGAGAACAGCGTGCCCTCGTCGTCACAGTCGCCCGTGACGAACGGGATGTTGGCAACTTTGCCTTGCAGCACGAGTTGCTGGGGGTTAGCCGTGAGGAATACGCCGTCTTCGCGGGGAAGGAAGGCGAGGACCAAGGACTAGGAAGTTGAACATGTGCGTGAGACGTGGATAACGTCGCCGTCGATGACAAGACATACCTGATAAGCAAAGATGCCGGGACTCGCGTCCTGTGCCGCTTTGAGAGTGTTGTACGGCACTGTGCGGAGACACGCAAGAGTGTCGGCAGCAGTGTTGCACCCGACTCTGTCGACGATAGCGTCGTAGTCTGTCCACATTACTCGAGTCAGCATCACAATTTCCATTCAACAGATTCCAGCACTGACACGGTTGGCCGTTTTCGAGAGGCCCGACGGGGATCGGGGATCCAGATTCCATGAAACCGGCGCGGAAGAGCCCTTGTGGATCCCCGTTGTTGCTGAGCATTTGGAGCGCAACAGAAATGGCACCGGCTGATTCCCTGTTGCCAGTGAGTTGTTACTCGATGAGCTTGGCGAAGAACACGTACCCCCAGATGGTGACTTTGGTCGGATCACCGCCAAAGGCTCCGATGTATTGCTGCACCCAGCGCAGGGCCTGGCGTTCTGCAAATGAAATCGTTGGTTTCAAATTCAGGAGGGGAGAAGGAAGCTCAACGCACGGTCCTGCAGACCGAGGTTGCCGACACCGGCGGCGCGTACTTCCTTGCTGGCCAAGAAGCCAAACGCGGCGACCCGGTAGTTCATCGAGACGTAGATCACTGGCTCGCCCATGTCGATTGACCGCTGAACGATGCTCGTTCCGTCGTACCTGGGCACACCCTATTCAGCCACGGTCCAGACAGAAAGAGACAGAAAGAAAGACTCACATCGCGGGACTGCCCAACTCGAACCCGCCACCAAAGATCCACTATCCCTCCCACATCAACTCCAAGTTTCTGGACGGCACAAATACAGGTACTCACCACGACCACCGGCAGCTTCGAAGTCGGAGTGGCGGTCGCCGGTTTGATGACATTGAGGTACAGGCAGTCCTCCTGCGCCGGGAAGATCGCGCCAAACGCCGTGTTGGCGATGTAGTCCACGACCTCCGCCGGCAGGCCCGTCAGGATCGGCAGGTCGATCGCCTGCTGCGGACACGCGTCCGCATACGAGGTGACCGTGTACGAGCTGTTGTACGCCGGGTGCGCCACCGGCAGCCGCAGCCGCAGATCGCCAGTCCTGCGTAGGTTGGGGTTATTCGTCTGAAGCTGGTAATGCTGTCTCGCTGGGCACGCACGGAGGAAGCGCGAAGGGGATCCCGAGGAAGCTGTGGATGCTGCTGCTGCTCGCCTTGCCGGTGAACGTGCCCTTGTCGAGCGTGATGGTCGGCGGCGCCGCGGCGCGCGCGGCAGCTATCCCCGCGGAAGCGCCCCGCGCGAGGAGAAGCACAGAAGCCAGGACCTGGACGGACTTCATCGTGCTAGACAGGCAGACAGACAGACGACTCGGACCGTGCCCTAAGCGAGGCAGATTTTGCAGCTTTATAATTCACTATTGCTCGTCTCACGGGGCCGAGTGGTCGCGCGCGCGTGCCTTGGCATCTTTACGAAGAGGGCACTTCGCTGGTCAGCAGTGGCAGGTCACGGGTCCAGTCTTGACACGGGCGGTGCAGATTTTGGGTTGCCACTGATGGTAATTGCATCCCGCCCCCGCTCGCTAGCCGCGCGTTCCTGGGATATCTCGAGAGAGTGGACATCCATGCGCACACACTCCGCGCCTAAATGGCATGCGGGGCAGATCTGGGGCAGTCTGGGGCCCCGCACCCCTGTGTTAATCGCAATGCGCCCGTGCGCTCGGGCACAGGCTGTGGCGGGACCACAGGTACCCGCTGCCGGGTAATCAGCGAGCTGCAAGCTGTCGACAGACTCTGTTCAGCCAATCGCCACGCGATAATCAGAGATCTGCGAGCAGACGCGAAAACATATGCCAGTTGCTAAGAAACACATGCCAGCGCGGTGGCGGTTGCAGTGTTACGAATCCGCCGCAGACGACCGACCGTGTCCTCCCAACTTGCTTTGCTCGACCTTCGAAGTTCGAACAAGCTCCGGGCCGAGAAAATTTGACTGATGGTCCTGTCAAAATCCCCCGGGATTGATCCGAGTCTAAATCGGTGCCTCGAAACTTGACAAGATCGCGTCATGTTACAATTTTGTTAAGTATGGTTTAAAGCCCAAGCAACGTCGACCAGCCACTGGCCTCCCACCCTGCCTCGAACTCCGCATCGCTGAAGCGCTGAACAGCCGAGGTCCGCGCGCGCTGGCGGATGGCGAGATCCTCCGCAGTAGACAACCGGAAGCAGGTATCGATGGCTTCTGAGAACGTCTCTGGGGTTTTGGCATGGTAACCTGGAAGAGAGAGAGAAAGAGCCAATGAGCAACCAGTCTGAGTAAGAGAGAGGGGGCCGACCGACCAGTTATATGGCCTTCGAATGGCACGACGATATCACCGAGCGGGCCGCCGGATGCATGGACAATGGGTATCACTCCAGCCGCCTGGCATTGTGTGTCAGCGCTGCTGACTGAAACTCAAGAGAAGAGAAGAGAAGATGCACCATAAACTCCACAACATTGATCCCGAAGTGTTCATCCAGCATGGTGTTCATACCGACACTTGCACGACCTAGCCAAGCGAGCACCTGCGAATACGGCGCGTTCAGCACGAATTGCACATGGTCCTGTCTACAATGTGAGCCACGCAAAGCGGCGCTTCGAAAAACGCACACACCTGGACACCCAACTCGCTAGCAAGCTTCCTCAGCCCCTCCACGCGAGCCTCGTCGCTCGCATTCCGGCATCCGCCAATCATGACCAGCTGAACGCCCCGCGCAGCGTACTCCGGGTGGTTCTGCAGCAGCGAGTGTAGCGCGCGGAGCTGCATCGGGTGGTCTTTCTCCGGCCGGAACTGCGCAATGCTGAGAATCACAAGCTCCCTCCCTGCGAGCGGCAGGCGCGCCATCTCGCGCGTGTCACACGAGGGGTAGACGACGCGCGTGCGCACAGTGGTGGCGCGCCCGAACGAGGGGTACGCGAGCACGGCGTCGACGTGGCGCTTCGTCCAGCCCGAGTTGACCATCACGACGCTAGCGCGGCGCAGCGCGAGCGCGTAGAGCAGCATGAACGCGTGGTAGTACGCGAGCTTCGCGGGCCGCGCCGTGACGCGCGAGATCATCGGCGGGCTGACGGTCGGATAGTGCACGTACGCGCCGGCGGGCACGCCGAGTAGCCGCACGACGGGGAGCGTGAACGCGTAGCCCATCGTGTCGATGTAGCCGTCCGGCACGTAGAGTGACAGCGCCTCGGCGACCAGGGCAACCGAGCCCATGCTCTGCCCGATGAGCGTCAGGCGCGGGTAGGTCGCGTCCTCTACGAGCCAGCGCCGGTGCAGGAACACGAAGTGCAGCGTGTCCGGCGAGAGTGTGATCGAGAATCGCGCGTGTGCTTGTGCTATTATCGAGGCTTTTGTGGCAGTGACGTCCCCCGTGTACACGACGCATAGGACGCCTGGTCGCGTCCGCTGGATGTACGCGACAGCCGCCCAGAGAACACGCTCGCCACCGCCGCCGGCATCACTATGCTGTATGGGATCAAAGATGTCGACCGGATCTGTGACGCGAGACAAACCAGTATGGGTGGAAAAAGCCCAGGCTTTTGGTGGAGGGTGGTAGAGACAGGGATTGCAGGACGAGTTGTCGCTGGTTGCGGGCGCGGCGCCTCACCACAGAGACAGCGACGAAGGATACGATGATCACGGGGAGCAGTAGTAGGAGCATATCGTTCACAGAAAATCGAGCATAAAGTAGGTAGGTAAGGATTTGAGTAGAGGAGAACGTGGCAGGGTGTGGCACTGCCACCGATGATCAGCACATCAACTTGAGAGCCATCGACCCTCGGAACAGCTTCTCATGTACATAGCCTGCTGCTACCTGACCATGATGCATGACCGCTGATTGATCTCCAGCCGATATCAGGCTCGCAACAACCGAACATCTTCCTTCCAAACTCCCATGGATGTCCAAAGCTGACCTACTGGCCATGGGCCAGCCTCCAGCGACTGGGGGGCTCGGCCCACTCCTCGGATGGACACGGCGGCGGGCGATCTATAATCCATGACTGTAACGCACAGGGCAGGTTCTGTCCGAAGGCGGCGGGCGCTGCTGTATTATGTAACACACAGGGCAGGGTCGATGGCGCTGGTGCCTAATGAAACACAATCGCGGGATCCTCCTGATTGAACATGAAAGATGTCTGATGCCTACTCAGAACAAGTCTGGGACCGCCAATCAGCGCGTTATTCCCCCCTGCTCTCTCTGCCTCCAGTTCCGCTCGCCCAGGCGTCTGCGGGACACAATCATGTCCAACTTCACCATCGACAACATCAACCCACGTATCCAGTACACCCCGCCTGGCGCGTGGACAGAAGGAACAAGTGCCAATGATCCTCTGGCTGGAGAGTGCGTCGAGTGCCGAGAGCCGAGTCCCTGCATCGAGCTGAGCACATACCCCGTTCGGCAGCTACTTCAAGGGCACGTTCACCTTGTGCACGACGAAGGGGAGCGCCGCGACGTTCTCGTTCAATGGGACGCAGGTGTTCGTCGGTGGAGCGATGCGATCGAATCACGGTAAGCACGTCGCGCGATGCCCAGTGAGGTTCTCGTGTGGAGATGTATCTCTGGATCTGCAGGCCCGTATTCGGTGAATCTGGACGGGGTCACGCAGACGATCGACGGCTTCTCTCAAAACGCTGTCTTCTCCAACCTCTTCGTATCGAATGTGCTGCCGGAAGGCCTTCACACGGTCTCCATCACCAACGAGCTGACGGACCCCTCGGCGCCGTTCCTCGACATCGACTACGTGTGTGATCAGCGCGGGCTTTTTCACATACGTGCACAACGATTGACGCGCTGTAGATCACTTGGACCTCGTCCGTGTCCCCATCAGCATTCAACCAAGCCGCGACAGTCGAGGACACGAGCAATCTGTTTTCCTTCACCCCGTCTGCGGCATGGACCAGCCAGCTTGCGCCGTCGCTGACCGGGTTCAGTGGAAGCAGCGGACAGTGCGTCCCGCAATCAGTGTTCGAGTGTCCCACTCACTGATACATTTGCGGACAGCCAAACCACATCTGATGGCGCTTCTGCTTCCTTGTCATTCACCGTGAGTGCTGAGACCTTGTTCTCTGCGGTCGCTGGATTCTCCCGCAGGGCAACTTCGTGTCGGTGTTCGGGGCGGTGGGGCCCCTGATGGCGCCGTATGGCGTGCTCTTGGACGGCGTGCCCCAGGGGACGTTCAATGCTACGAAACAGACGTATTTCAATATGGTCGAGCTGTTCCACGCGGACAATCTCGCGTCCGGGGACCATGTCGTGTCGTTTGTGGCTGCCCCTGCTGCACCCGGGCAGATATTCGCGCTAGACTTTGCCAAGGTCCCGCCGGCCTCGGTCGCTGGGTCGAAGACGAGCTTGGGGTCAACGGCAGGTCCGACTGGGACTGGCTCAACCAATAACTCCACCTCGTCACAGCCAACCAAGTGCGTTGCACCTTATCCCCATTTTTGTTCGTCTGTCCTCATCTTCGATCAGCACCGCTGCCATTGCTGGGGGTGTCGTCGGTGGGGTGGCCGTTCTGGGAATCTTGCTACTTCTGTTTCTATTTCTTCGCAGGAAGCAGCGGGGATCTCACGAATACGCGATCGATGAGCTCAAATCTACTCCACCAACCCACTACAACATGGATCACATAGGACCCGACCCGTATCAGTCATACTCGCGATCGGCTCTCGTGGGATCGCACTCCCAACATTCCCATTCCGCATATGAAGAGTCGGTCATGAGCAACCCCTGGCCTACGTCTGACGCTAGCGTACGTTCGACCCCTGGAACGCACCGGTCCCATGTCTGACCATCCGCTCGATTAGCCCCCGCCGCTGCCGCCTCTGCCAGCAGAGAGAGACGTCCCCCGACGCGGGTTCTACACCGTGAACCACACCCGGGACCCCTCAAATAGCGCCAGCGAACCTTCGACGGCCTCCGCCTCCGTCTCTGCAGGCCGCCGGACCTCGACGCACACCGCGGCGACCTCCGCTGGTGCGGCTGGTCTCGGTACCGGGGTCAACGGGAAAGGCATGCCGGTGGTGTTGCCCCCGACCGCGCATGCCCCACTGCCGGCGGGCGCCTCCCGGATGGTCGTGGAGGGGAGGGCGCAGGATATGGGCCCGCTGTCGCCTGGTTTGGGGCCTCTGCCACCGGATTACGCGCAGGCGACGCAGCCGTACTATCCTCCCCGTCCATGATACCCCTTTGTAGATCATTTGATGTTGAGCATGCAGTCGATACAGTTTCGCTGTCTCATTGGAGAATATTGATGAGGCCCAGATGCATTGCAAGGCGTGTTAGTAGCACTGCGATCGTATCCTACGCGCAACAAAGCAACGTGGCTGTGTGTATCTTCCGGGTTCTCTGCAAGGATCTTTGATCTTGAGAATCGTGACTGAACCACCGCATGAAACCCTGTTGTACATAGGCAACCAGGAGCTCCCAAGAACGTGGGAACGTGGCAGTCCATGGCACGGCCACCGATGAGCAGCCGTCACATCACCCTCCAACAAAGTCATCGAAACTCGTTCCCGTTCCAGCGCCTGCTCTCTGCGCAATATATGTTGATTGATCTCGAGCCGAAACTAGGCTCAAAACACCCGAATGCCCCCCTCCCAAGCTCCCATGGATGTCGAAAGCTGATTCCCCTGGACATGGGCCAGCATGCGACTACTGGCCACCCTGCCAACTCCGTGGATGGACACGGCGCCAGGCGATCTATAATCTATGGACTGCAACACGGAGGGCAGGATCTGTTCGACCTCGCTGCTATCTTATGAAACAAGATTGCGGGATCTTCCTGATTGAAAATGACCGCCTCTTCGCATCAAGTCTACCGCGAATCAGCGCGCTATTCCCCCCCTTGCTCTCTCTGTCTCCAGTTCTGCTCGCCCAGGCGTCAGCGGGACACACCCATGTCCAACTTCACCATCGACAACATCAATCCGCGCATCCAGTACACCCCGCCTGGCGTGTGGACCGAAGGAACGAGTGCCAACGATCCTTTGGCCGGGAAGTGCGTCGAGTGCCGAGTCCCTGCATCGAGCTGAGCACATACCCCGTTTTGCAGTTATTCCAATGGCACTTTTACCTTGTGCACAACGAGGGGGGGCACCGCGACGTTTTCGTTCAACGGAACCCAGGTGTTCGTCGGTGGAGCGAAGCGACCGAATCACGGTGAGCACCCTGCGCGATGCCCAGTGACGCTCTCTTATGTGTATATATCTCTGCGTCTGCAGGCCCGTACTCGGTGAATCTGGACGGTGTCACGCAGACGATCGACGGTTTCTCGCCAAACGACATCTTCTCCGGCCTCTTCGTGTCGAATGTGCTGCCTGAAGGCCTTCACACGGTCTCCATTACTAACGAGCTGACGAACTCCACGAGGCCGTACCTTGACATCGACTACGTGTGTGATCAGCGCGGGCTTTTTCACCTGCGTGCACAACGATTGACGCGCTGCAGATCACTTGGACCTCGTCCTTGACGCCGTCGGCGTACGACAGCGCTCCCACAGTCGAGGACACGAACAATCTGTTTTCCTTCACCCCGGCTGCGGCATGGACGAGCCAGCTGGCGCCATCGCTGACCGGGTTCAGCGGAAGCAGCGGGCAGTGCGTCCCCGCAATCAGTGTCCAAGCGCCCTACTCACTTTGATGCATCGGCGGACAGCCAGACCACATCTAACGAAGCTTCTGCTTCCTTGTCATTCACCGTGGGTACCGAGACCTCTCCTATTTTCTGTGAGCGCCGACTCCTCCCGCAGGGCAGCTTCGTGTCGGTGTTTGGAGCGTTGGGGCCTCTGATGGCGCCGTACGGCGTGCTTCTGGACGGCGTGCCCCAGGGGACGTTCAACGCTACGAAACAGACGTACTATAATATGGTTGAGCTGTTCTACGCGGACAATCTCGCGTCCGGGGATCACGTCGTGCAATTCGTGGCTACCCCTGCTGCGCCCGGGCAGATATTCGCGCTGGACTTTGCCAAGGTTCCGCAGGCCTCGGTCGGTGGGTCGAAGACGAGCTTGGGGTCAACGGCAGGTCCGACTGGGACTGGCTCAACCAATAACTCCACCTCGTCACAGCCAACCAAGTGCGTTGCACCTTATCCCCGTTTTTGTTCGTCTGTCCTCATCTTCAATCAGGACCGCCCCCATCGCTGGGGGTGTCGTCGGTGGGGTGGCCGTTCTGGTGATTTTGTTACTCCTGTTTCTATTCCTTCGCAGGAAGCGGCAGGGTTCTCTTGAATACACGATCGAGGAGTTCCGATACGCCCCGGCGACCCACGACAACATGAATCACGTAGGACCCGATCCGTACCAGTCATTCTATCGATCGGCTCTCGTTGGATCGCACTCCCAGCACTCGCACTCCGCATTTACGGAGACGGTCACAAGCAACCCCTGGCCTGCGTCTAATGCCAGTGTACGTGTGATCCCTGAAACGCACTGGTGTTAACTCTGACCTCCCTCCCGATCGGACAGCCCTCGCCGGCAGAGAGGGACGTCTCCCGATGCGGGTTGTGCACCGTGGCCCACACTGGGGACCATCCGAGCAGTGCCGGCCAATCCTCAACTGCCTCTGCCTCCGTCCCCAAGGGCTGCTGGACCTCAAAGCACACCGCGGCAACGTCCGCTGGTACAGCCGGCCTCGGCGCCAGGGTCAACGGCAAAGGCAGGCCGGTGGTGCCGCTGCCCCCGAGTGCGCATGCCCCGCTGCCGGCGGGCGCCTCGCGGATGGTCGTGGAGGGGAGGGCGCAGGATATGGGCTCTCTGTCGCATGGTTTGGGGCTTCTGCCACCGGATTACACGCAGGCGACGGGGGCGTACTATCCTCCATGATATCCTTTTGTAGATCACTATTGGGCATGCGATCGATACAGGTTTCCCGTCTCATTGGAGGATATTGGGGAGTCGGAGATGCATCAAAAATGCGTGTTGGTCGCACTCTGGCTCAGGTGCTATCCTTGGCGTCGTGTTCTACCCGGCACTTGAACGAGACAAGGCTGTGTGTGTCTATCTTCTGGGCTCTCTGCAAGAACGATCTTTGATCGTGAGAATCGTGACCCGAACCACCCCATGAAATCCTGTTCCCAGCACAGAGAGCCAACGAGTAGCTTCACAACCGGGATCACAGATGGGCCTGGGGTTTTATCAGCATTACGTCGACCTGGCGATCCCAACAACCTCAAATCAGTCCTCAAATAAGCAAGTCTGTTGCGGATGATGTGTTCATCAGAGTATAAGAGCTGGCATGGCACTCCCCCCCGAGTCGCTCAGGGCTTTCTACCTTCTATAACCGCGACTTCATGGCTGTGCCAGGGGTGCAGGCTTATCAAGAATTCGAGCAGGCCGTGGCTGTGGGTCCCGTGTTCTCAGGCTTACTTGCAGTTGAAGACGCTGACCGCTCCGTTCCAGTACGTTGACGGTGAGTGTCTATCGTTGCATGAAGTGAATTCCTCTGGATCTAGTCTGGGACTCATTGTAGTGGCATGTCTGGCCCTGCTGGTCAGTGCGATTCCCACGCCATGACAAGAGATGCATGATGTGATGTGCACCCGCGCAGACCTACGACACTCTTTTAAATATTCCCGACGAAGTGCGTACGCCAGTTCGTGCGAGATTTGGTGCTAGCAATGAACACCGCTCCAGCACAAACATATCTGGAAGTCAAAATGGACCGTTATCAAGGCCCTGTATCTATGGACCAGATACGCTACATTCGTGGATACCACGTTGGCTGTATATGGTAAGCTCTGATTGACCCATCACACAATTATTGACTATTTCAAAATTCAGCACGGGTGAACTTGGGGATCAGCCACCCAACCTGCTCCTTCATTCTAACATTCAATACTTGTATGATTCCGTCCTTTACATTTCAAGCCTTCTCTCACGTAGCGTCAGTTTTCTCCGGTATCGGGATCGGGCTCATTGAAGGTCTGGTGCCTGTTTCGCAGCCGTGGGTAGTGACACGTGACTGAAATCGGCGCGGCGCGAACGGAAAGTCGTGCTTATGATGCGCACCTATGCGATCTACGGGAGACCGAAGAAATTGCTGGTGTTATTTGCAGCACTCTGGGTGGTACGGAGAATCGCTTTTGCGACATCGGAACGAGTTATTCATATTCATAGGGAATCGCAAGTATTAGTTTGTGGGCTGTGTTTCATTGGACGAGCAATTTTGATGGTATGCCCAACCCGACGGATGAATTGAACTTATCGCTTCTACCGATGCTAGCCGAATCCGACCCAGTGGTATCCCTGAGTGGTACCACGTCCAACTGCGGTGTTATTGGCAACAATAACCTGGGGTTGGTTGCCTATGCGTCGATTGCAGTCACTGAAACAGGCGTGTACTATTCCGCTGTTCAGCTTTCGAGCTCTCACAAGAAAATCCCAACCTGACTGACAGTCGTCGGACTGTTGACAATATGGCATGCACTACGAAAGAGTATGTTGGGGGTGCTTTTAGTCGATCACTCCTGTTTTTTCACAATTGGGATGCTCACGCTGCTCAGGTGTATTCTCACGGAGCGGCTCCGCCATCTCGTATTCAAAAGTGATGATCACGTTCTACCGCGATGGTGCGTCTTCGACCTCGAAATCGACCGTTCCCAAAGAATCCATGGTAATCCTGTAGGAATCATGTTCTACGTAATGATGCTCTGTGTGTACCATAAACTCCTCCCTCTACACGCCCGCCCCCACCCATTGACGCGCGCGTTGTCAGCGATCTACTTCCTGGACATCGGTCTCCAGCTCTCAACAGTCCCGGTCCCGTTGACGTTCATCGCAGACACGTGAGAGATCTATATGGACCCACGTGCCCTGTCGAATTGTTTCTTACCGCTCCCTCAGCCCGCTGCGCGTGGTGCATTCAATTTCGGCGTGCCAGCTTATCATCCATCTGCGTGAGATTGGGTCGCAGGAGGATGCGGATGAAATGCAGATCTCCACTCCCTTGGTCTTCGCCAACTCGGCGCAGAGCGTGTGATGGGAATCGAAAACTTGTGCGCCTAGTTGTTTTTCGCACAGCGTACATACACTATGGACTGGTATGAAGCGGTCGGTCGTCAGGTGATGTCATTGGGGCATTTCTATCCCGTGCGAGTCGCATTCGACGTCAGAAATGTATGGATTATGGATTATTGCAGGTTCTCTCGGGTATGAAACACAATTTATCAGCGATGGATCCAGGGATGTGTGAGTTCCGCAGATTATGCATTTAGATCGGTAACTAAGACAGCTTCAACTGTATTCTGATTCGAGTGCTATACATAGTGTCGTGTCCTCTGCAGCTCGGGCATGGGATTCCTATATACAGCCTCGTGAGTTTTCGGCGAGAACCATCTTTGATCGTGATGATCGTGATTCACAACCTCTGTCTGAAACTCTGTTCTCGGTACATTTGGTGACGCCGGAGAGCCAGCAGAGAGTTGTAACACGCCAGGATCACAGATGGAACTGAAGTATATCAGCATTACACCAATCCCAACATCCTCAAATCAAATCTCATACCAGCAAGTCTGCTGCAGATGATTTGTTCGCCGGAGTATAAGAGCTGGCATGGCATCTCCCTTTGAGTCGCGCAGGGCTTTCTACTTTTCTCTCATTGCAACTTCATGGCTGTGTCTGGGATGCAAGCTTACACCGATGACGTACAAGCCGCGGCTGTAGGTCCAGTCTCCTCGGACCTGCTTAAGTTTGAAGACGCTGACCAGTTTATTGCAGTACATTGACAGTGAGTGTCTATTGTTGCCTGAAGTGAATTCCTCTAGATCTAGTCTGGGACCCATTTTAGTGGCATGTCTGGCCTTGCTGGTCAGTGCGATTCTCACGCCATGACAAGAGATGCATGATGTGATGTGCACCCGCGCAGACCTACGACACTCTTTTAAATATTCCCGACGAAGTGCGTACGCCAGTTCGTGCGAGATTTGGTGCTAGCAATGAACACCGCTCCAGCACAAACATATCTGGAAGTCGAAATGGACCGTTATCAAGGCTCTGTACCTATGGACCAGATACGCTACATTCGTGGATACCACGTTGGCTGTATATGGTAAGCTCTGATTGACCCATTACACAATTATTGACTATTTCAAAATTCAGCACAGGTGAACTTGGGGATCAGCCACCCAACCTGCTCCTTCATTCTAACATTCAATACTTGTATGATTCTATCATTCGGATTTCATGCCTCCTCTCACATTCTGCTAGTTTTCTCCGGTATCGGGATCGCGCTTATTGAAGGTCTGGTGCCTGTTTCACCACCGATTATAAGCATGTGCTGAAATCGGCGCGCTGCGAATGGGAAGTCATGCTCATGATGCGTGTGTATGCCATCTACGGGAGACCGAGGAAATTTCTCGTGCTGTTTGCAGCACTTTGGGTGGTGCGCCCATTATCCTGTGGGACACCGGAAAGAGTCATTTATGTTTACAGGGAATCACAAGCACCAATCTGTGGGCTGGCCTCCAATTGACAAGGGATATCAATGGTATGTACAATCAACGGATGAGCACTGCTTGATTGAACTCGAACTCGCCATTTTGACTACTGCTAGCCGGCTCCAACTTTCCAGAAGTATCCCAGAGCAATACCGCGTCCAACTGCAGTACGATTGGGAGCACCAGCCTTGGGTTTGTTGCCTCCATATCGATTACAGTCCTTGAGTCAGGCGCGTATTCAACCACTCACAGTTTGGATTTATCACACTAAAATTTAAGCGTGACTGACAGTTTTCGCCCTGATGACTGTCTGGCATGCACTACGAAAGAGTACGTGGGGTGCTTTTATTCATCATTCTCTGATATCGCTAACTCGGGGTGTCACGGCTGCTCAGGTGTAATCTTTTCTGGAGACTTGAACATCTCATACTCGAAAGTGTTGATCACATTCTTCCGCGATGGTACGTCTTCACCCTCGAACCCCGCGCGTTCTCGCCAAAAATCAAGGTTATCTTATAGGAATCATGTTCTACGTCCTGATGCTCTGTGCGTAGTGCAACCTTATCCCGTAATTCCGGTGCCCACTTACGCGCACGCGACTTGCCGTGTCCCAGCCATCCGCGCCCTGAACATAGGGTTCTCGTTCCCGGACTCGTTGGCGTTCATCGCAAACATGTGAGAAACCGATGCGAGCCCGTGCGTTATGTTGAGCTATTTCTCACTGATTCTTCAGCCCGATGGGCGTGGTTCATGTTGAGCACTGGGGAGAGCGTCTAGCAGCTCACCTGTGTGAGTGAGAGCTTAGTGTGGGCACTATGCGGGAGTAGTCAAGAGACTTATATTAAAGGGTAATAGAGCCCTCCTTATATATGATACAGGGGGCCGTTTGTGTCTATTTGGGACGAGTCGATATGACTCTAGATGACACGTGATGGAGTCATAGATATGTATCACGACATCCATCTTGACAGATGATATTTGATCAACACTCCCCCACGCTGAAAACCACGGGATAGTGTTTGAAAGCGAATCTTCATCGGCCATTCCTTCAGGACGAGTTGAACTCAAGTCCTAGTTGAGATCTGAACTTCTCGAACTTGACGCGTCCTAGGTTCTTGGTGAACATATCTGCAGGATTCTCACTGCCCGGAATAAAGAACAGTTCAACCTCTTCTTCCTCGACTCGCTCACGAATGTAGTGATAGCGGATGTCTATGTGTTTCATCCTGCGGTCTTGGTAGGCATTGCTGCCACTGAAGAGTGCACCCTGATTGTCACCGCAAATGGGTACTGGGATGGTGAGTTTGAACTGGAGTTCCGAAAGGACGCTCTTCAGCCACATCACCTGGCGACTACAATCTGAAATCGCCATGTACTCTGCTTCGGTCGAAGACTGCGCGACTGTGCGCTGAAGTCTAGACTGCCAGCAAATAATCCCGTCTGCCAATTTCGTGAAGAAACCAGTGGTAGACCTCCTCTTGATCGGATCAGCAGCCCAGTCTGAATCGCTAAATGCAATGAGCCCTCTATCCGTCGCACCATTGAAAATGAGCGAATAATTCCTAGTACCAGCCAAATAGCGACAGATATACAGCGCTTTATGGAGGTGGTCTTGGGACGGATTGGCAGCAAATTGTGACAATTTGGTCACAGCAAATGCAATGTCAGGACGTGTGCCTAGCATGATGAAGAGAAGAGATCCAATGACTGATTGGAATTTCTTCCTGAGCTCTGGATCGACTTCATCCTCATTTGGCATTGGAACATATCCAGCCGGTAGAGGGGTCGCTGCAAACTTGGCGTTCTGCATTCCAAAGCGCTCTAGCACCTTGTCGAGATAGGGAATCTGATCAATCTTGATCGAAGATCCCACTCTACTGAGGCGTACGCGCAAGAACTCTGGAGTATCTTCAGAATTGCGGCATTCCCATCGCTTGTTGAACTCAGCCTTGAGAAAGGCGAGGAGCTTCTTGTTCTTGGAGAAGAACAGAGCATCATCCACATAGACTATTATGACGGCTATGCTGCCATCAGAGTCCTTGTAGAAGAACACGCCGGCATCCGATGTTAGTCGGATCCAGCCCATGGCTTTCGTGGACTTGGTCAGCGCTTTCCACCATGCTAAAGCAGCTTGTTTTAGTCCATAGATTGCCTTGTGCAAGCGCATGACTTTGCGCTCTTGGCCTCTTGCCACAAAGCCTTCGGGTTGTTCCATGTAGACCTCTTCGTCAAGCTCTCCATAGAGAAAAGCCTTACTGACATCGAGTCCAGACCAATGCCAATCATTGAGCGCTGCAAGCGCCATGACCAACCGGAACGTCTCATACCTGACAACAGGAGAGAATATCTCGTCATAGTCAACACCTTCGACTTGACTGAAACCCTTGGCAACTAGGCGGGCACGTTTTCGGCCATCAGATTTTTGGTCAAAGACCCAGCGACATCTGATAACCTTCCGTCCTTTTGGGCGGTCCACAAGGGAATAGACCTTGCGCTGACGAAGTGCCTCTAACTCGTCGCGGCAAGCATCAATCCAACCTTTCTGTTGTTCAGAAGGCAACCGCTTGATATCGCGGAACGTCCAATCGCGAATTTTGGACGTATCAGGTAGGTTCTCATTTGGGACCGCTTTTGACAGCAGCGCCGTGATGAGCTCTACTCCCCCTTCCCGGCATAGCTTCTCCATGCGTGCATCCTCGTCTAGATCATCAGAAGCACCCGCGTTTGAGGAATCTGGTTGCGAGCTAGGGCCGGGAACCCCTGCATCAGCACCGGTTGATGGTTGAGATTGGGAGCTACCCTTATCTTCACCAACATACCGCTTCCATCCTCTGCTGTTCTGAATGTCACGGACTATATCCGTAGGGGTACGCTTTTCCCCATAGACGTTTCCTGGACGTGTAGGCACATTCCGCTGGCGTGAAGACCTTCGAGGCTCAGGAGCTGGTGAAGCTTCCCGGCTTGGTCGTGGAATTCTACTTCTACGAGTCCTCTGAGGTTCATCCCGACGCTCTGGCGGTGGGTCCTGACGATAATGACCGTTGTCACCATCATCATTTCCCTGTACGGGAGGTGGTGGAGCCGGATCAGATGGCATGGGAAATGGAAAAGGATTATCTCCATATAGCCAATCTTCTCCGTCTACCTGTGGTGGATCTTGTGGATTCACTGGGTCATCACGTTCTGGAAATTCCTCTCCAACAGGAACGTGGGGTGGTCGATTGCTGTCAGGACAGCGGGGGAACAACTCCTCGTCGAACAATGCCTTGGTGGCGACGAACGTGGAATTGTTTGTGCGCATGAACAAAAATCCTTTCACACCATCAGGAATGCCCAAGTAGGTCATCAGCTCCGATTTGGGTGATAACTTGTTGGCGCGCTTCTCATCAGGGATAAAGACATATGCGGCGCAACCAAAGACTCGGAGTTTGGAAACATCCGGTTTTTCCTTGTGAAGAGCTTCAAATGGAGTTTTCCATTTTAGACGCCTGATAGGTGTTATATTGTAGATCCGTGTTGCATGTTTAATAGCGAATTCCCAATAAGAATTAGGAAGACAGGCAGTGAAGCGCATGGCTTCTGCCTTATCCATGATCGTACGATTGAAGCGCTCGGCATGCCCATTCTGCTGGTGAGCATATGGAGCACCCTTCTCCACTAGAATTCCTTGTTCCGCGAGAAATTCTTCCATTCCCATCCCCATGAATTCTCCCCCATTGTCAATATGCCACTTTTTGATGGTGACATTGAACTGGTTCTTGACCATCGCAATGAAATTGCGCATAGCCTGCTTGGCATCGGATTTCTGCGCAAGGCATACTGTCCAGCCATAGGAGAGTGCTTCGTCGAAGAAGCTCATGAAGTAGCGGTACTTGTGATAAGACACCGTGGGAAATTGTTTGAGATCCGAGTGGATCAAATCAAACGGATTCTCCGCTCGTTTTTCGGAAGGCGGGAAGGCATGTTGGTGCATTTTCCCTTGCGCGCATCCTTTACACGGTCGGGTTTCCTCGGGAAATACTAGGTCTTCTGGAAAGCCCTTGGTATTCTTCTTTGCCTGACGTAAATCTTTCGACGGATGTGCAAATCGCCGGTGCATGATCTCATAATCCACCTTGTAAACAGTGGACATGGATCGCACTGTCTCAGCCGTACTAGGCTTTGACATCAGGAAGTACAATGCAATGTCCTTCCCTAGAGTTCTAAACTCCATGATCGAGAGTGGGGACTTCCCTCGATGTAAGCTGATCCGCGATTCGTCTCCACGAACGCGAGATCCTCCTTTGAGTAAGGAGCCCAAAGACATGAGACGACCATGTAATCCTGGCACTAGGTACACTGGATATATCTGAGAAGTCACCATTGTCTTTTCTCCATGCCTTGTGACGTAATGATCGATGAAGGCTGTTCCTCGACCAATAAGGGCAACACGTGTGTTCTTATCAGCGGTCTGAGCAACAATAGGATCTGAGAGCTTCTCATATCCGACCAGATCACTAATCTCCGATGTCACATGGAGAGATGCACCTGAATCAAGAAGCCATAGAGGCCCTAATTCATGATGATGATGTTTCCCCTTACACTTAGAGCAGGCAGCAAAATCGGAGTGCACACAGAATAGATTGGTACAAAAATCATGCGAACGAATCATCAACGAATTAAGTACAGAACCCGGGGCGGTGGTGATTACGCGCTCTGGCTGTGAGCAACAATCAGAATTGTGCATGTGCCCAAGAAGGCAGGGTACTTGCCTTTCGGCGGAAGGAGCGTCCATCTCCTCCAGAAGGGTGTTGAAGTCGACGACTTCATCCCAATTGACCGGTTCAGCCTGGGCGAACTCGCTATCTCCAAACAGAAGATCAAGATCGTTCTGTTGGCCGGTGGCCATCTCGACGTCGGGGATCTCCTCGATACGACTGCGTTTGGCAGGAGGACCATCATCCAGCGTGTGATTCGAGCCGGAAGCAACCGGAGATGGAGAACGCATAATTGCGTCCTCGCGGAGCATTCCTTTCTCATTGACGATCTTGTCGAGAGTCCGGAAGCGTTCTGCGGTCATCGTCACATCCATCTTCTTGGCCAGCTCGAAGACCTTACGAGTAGGCTTCTGGAACTCGGTGTCAATAATCCCATTGTTGTTAACGGGAGACTTCTCTTGAACCGCGCGGATTTTGGGTCCATTGCGAGAGATGTGCGTGACATGCGAGATCGTCGGCGCAGGGATAGACGGAGTGAGCGAGGCGATCAAACCAATAGTGAGGGAGCCAGTAATCTCGGAGACTCCATGGACATGACTGTGATCAGCCTTGCCCTTGCCCTTGTTGTCCTTGTTCTTCCCACTGCGCTTGCCTCGACGGTTCTTCTTCTTTCCATCAGCCTTATCACCCTTATTGGGTGCAGAGCCAGAGCCCTGTTGCTGATTGGTGAACGAAGGGTCATCGCGCTTGCGCTTGGTATTGAACTTGGCCACATGATTCTGGCTTTGAGACTGCTTCTGAGCAAAATGCGTCAAGAGAGCGTCACGAACCGCAGAGACTTTGATCTCGTCCTTGTCATAAGTCTGTAGAACAGTCTCCGTGACAGAGGGAATCCGGGCTATGTTGAGAATGATCATCGCTCTGAGGAACTCAGGGATGCCCAAAGACTCGTTCTCCAGGCGAGCGAACGCCGTAGTGATCACCAGCAGCTGTGGATCCGGGTGCAACCCCACGTTGTACTTGGCGTTCAACGCGGTTTGGAAGTACGCGTACAGGTCGGCGCACTGAGCACCACCGTATTGGGTCTTCAGGTGCTCCCAGATCTTTGCAGCTGACACTATGTTGGTGGTTGGAATGTTGGCAATGACTCCCTCAGTCAGGCGCAACTTAATGCTGCCCTTCGCCCTGAGATCATCATGCTTCCATTGTTTGATCTCCGATGCGTTGGTCACAGAGCCATCCGTAGCCTTGACTTCGGTTGGCGCGGTCTCAGTCAGCACATATGAGATCCCCTGATGCTCCAGATAGGACTCCATAGTTCCGGACCAGACAAGCCAGTGCTTTCCATCAAAGATGGAGACAGCATTGAAGATGTTGTTGGAGTTGGACGACATGTTAGATCTGTGTGAGTGATCAGCATCAATCTAATCTGATAGATAAAATCAAAGATAAAGATGATCAGATCCTCATAGATCATAATCTCCTTTAGAGATCGATGCATCTGGATCAAGCGATGTAATCGCGATCCGGCATGGTTTCACCAGCGCTATGCAGCAGCTGTAGTGATGACAGATAGGCTAAAGACGCTGCTCATCGTTGCAGCCAGTGACGGTGCATACAATGAATGTCGCGGCCATTGAGGCGCAGACATAGCTCTCGGGGCCCATAACCTGTTGAGCACTGGGGAGAGCGTCTAGCAGCTCACCTGTGTGAGTGAGAGCTTAGTGTGGGCACTATGCGGGAGTAGTCAAGAGACTTATATTAAAGGGTAATAGAGCCCTCCTTATATATGATACAGGGGGCCGTTTGTGTCTATTTGGGACGAGTCGATATGACTCTAGATGACACGTGATGGAGTCATAGATATGTATCACGACATCCATCTTGACAGATGATATTTGATCAACAGTTCATTCAATTTCGGCGTGCCACCTGATCACCCATCTGCGTGAGATCGCGTCGCAGGACGATGCGGCTGAGACGCAGATCAATACTTCTTTAGCTTTCGCCAGCCCCTCGCAGAACGTGTGATGGAAATCAAAACCTGTCTACCTAGTTGACCTACGTGCAGTGAACACTGTGGACTACTTACTATGGTGTGCTCGGTCGATAGGTGACGTCACTGTACGATAACTTGCCCGTGACCGCGTTTGAAGTGTCAATCGGCCTACGAGACGATCATACAGCTGTCAAGGCTTTTCTCTTCCACCGACGACTAACTTGTATGCTTCCAAGTTCTCCCGATCTTATGTTTATCATGATGGCTCTGGGCGCCGATCGGCGGTTGCGCTACGCTCATATTCGAGTGCCGACCCTCTGCCTGACTCCCCACGCACACCGAACGGGCGAGGAAGCTGGAGTTGAGAGGGAGCAGTCTATCAGGGACGGTGGAACGGACGAGGTTATAAGAGAGACTCTTGTGATGTTTCCAGCGCTTGGATGACACTAGCGCGCGCGCTCGTGTCCACTTATAGAACGCCACCCTTCTGGCGATCTTCGCAACAACTCAATCAAGACAGCTCCGTCTGCAGCCCAAAAGCGCGAGCGGCATCGCGACGTTTCACTCTCCATACTGTCCCTTCCCCTCCTGCTTCACTCACACACTCACACACTCACACACTCACTCTTTCTCTTCCTGTCTTCTCCTCACTCAGATACACTCATTCTCAGCTTTTTCGTTCTTCAAGCAAAATGACACCCCCCGCGAAACCACAGCAGCAATACACCCTCCCGCACGCGCTCCAGCCCGCAGTCCGACCGGCGGTCGACGTCAAGATTCTCCCCGAGGTCTCGACGACCACGTTCGTCGCTTGGACCTTCGGCCGCGGCTCAGTGGTCAGTAGTCACCTTCGCCCCGGATCCGCGGCGCTGCGGTGATTCACGCGCATTCAGATCTGGAAAATCTGGCCGGCGGTCATCTTCCACACGCTGTTCGCGGTGCTCGTGGTCTACTTCTGGGACCACATGGGCCGCAAGCTTCAGATCCCGAGCGTCCTGCTCACTGTGCTTGGTGCGTTGACTGCGGAATCCGACGAGCGGCGTTGAGCTGGCCTGTGTTCTCCTCTAGGTGTGGTCATCGGTTTTGTTATCTCGTACAGGTCAGTGGTAGTGAGCGCTCATCGGCGGTGTGCTGACCGGCGTTTCCACAGAGCTATGTCAGGTTCGCTCGAACGCGCCCGTTGTATATATCACCTTGATGATTGACGACGGACGGTATAGGCTACGACCGCTACTGGGCGGGCCGTTCCGCTTGGACCGACGTGATCAAGAACTCCCGCAGCATGGGCCGCCTGATCTGGTATCATGTGCCGCCCCGGCTGACGCCCAAAACGAACGAGGAGACGCTGACGGGTAAGGTGATCCGACCAGCGCAGGAGCTCAACAAGGTGATGGCCGAGAAGCGGATGGCGTTGGACTTATGTCTGGGGTCAGTGCCCGGGAGTTCTTCAGCGTCGTTTCTCATTGTAATCATGAAGATTTGCTATTGCGCTCAAGCACCACATCCGTGGCGAATTGGGTATCTACTACGACGATCTGTATCACCTTGTTCGCCCCTTGCATGAAGTCAGGCTCCCTCTCGCATCTCCCATGCTCATCTCATCTCCTCGCAGCACACTCACTCCCACCAGCAACAGCAAAAACACGCAGCTCGCGAAGCAGCGCTCATCACCCCGCGCCCGAACGCGCGCATGACCTCTCACTCTAATCTGCCGATGGCCACCAACTCCAACACCCCTCCGCCACCATCGACCGCCTCCGGCCCGCCGAAAGGTGCTGCACTGCACCCCTCGGGCGGCGTGTACGGGACGTTCGGCGGCTCGCGCACTAGCTCGCACGCGTCCCTGCGAGACACGCTCCGCCAGCAGTCCCGCAGCACCGACACCGTCGGCTCGCAGCACCACTCCCACCAGCCCCTGCTCCCCGGAGCCAACCCGATGAACGAGGAGCCCGGCGTCGCGCGCGACCTCATCCCGCTTGCGGGCGCGTTCTCTTCCATCCGGCGCTGGTTCGGTGGGATGTCTGTGTTTGGCAGGAAGCAGGATCCCATCATCGTGCGTTGTTTCCTTATGCCAAGTGCGCGCCCTTCTTAATGCTGCTGTAGCCGCAATACAACGAGGGCCCGCCGCCGCGCAAATGGGGCGGCCCGGTCCACCCCGACCTGAAGCTCCTCAAGCGCAAGGCCGAGCACGGGCCAAACCTGCCCGAGGAGATCCTCCGGTGTCTGAGCGAGTGGACGAGTGTCCTCGAAGACCGAAACACTGTTCCTGGCGGAAGCTTGGGTGGGATTATGGGTGGTATCGCGGCGTACGAAGCTAGTTTGGCCAGTGCGTGTCTTTGTTCAGTGTGTGCGAATTGGAGATGAGAAACTCACTCTGTTGTTCAATAGCATTGGAGCATATCTTGACGACGCCTTTGCCTTTGTGAGTAGCGCTCGTCTTGTTTGCGCCATGTGTTGATAGCCCCGTAGTGCTTTCTCGGTGCACATCAGGTGTGCACTTTATACGTGTCAGTGAACTCTAATCTCATCACACCTTCCTGCTTTTCAGACAGTAAGCTGGGGAACTCGATTGATGACATGCTTCTCATTCCCTCTTGTAGCACTGTCTGGCTCTACCTGTTCCTCCTCCCTATCCAGCTCGTGAGCGACTTTGGCTGGCACACAGTCCCTGCGGTACGTGTCTTCCTTTTCTCAAATTCTGCAAATCGAGTAGCTGATGCCGGTGCAGGTGTTTATCGGCGCTTTCATCTATCTCGGCTTCATCGCCGCTGGCGACGAGATCGAGCAGCCCTTCGGTTCGTCATCCCATCCCGTCGCCTGCGCCCTTCCCCCCCTGGTGAAATGCTGATTCTCGACGCAGGATACGACGAAAATGATCTGGATCTCGACGTGTTCTGCCAGGACATCATCGCGCAGGACATCGAGAGCCTCAAATCCGCGCCCTGCCTCAACGCCTATCTCCCCGAGCGCCCTGCGCCGGAGCGCCATCGCTCGATGACGCTCATCGAGGCGTCGAGCCAGGCTGAGTTCGAGGATATCAGCGATGGGGAGGTAATCGCGTCGACCTATTGAGCTGTTTGGGATGGATGTGATTTGTATGACGGATGGCGGAATCGGGGTTGTGATAGTCCCTAGTCTAGTGGCAGCTATGTTGTGGGCCTCATTCTATATACGTGGATTGGGACTCGTCGGCAGATGTTTCCGTGAGAGGATATATCTGTCTGAGGATGGGAAAGAAGTCGGGCATTCCCATTTGATACGGTGTCCATGTGCCATACGTAGCAGGCTCTTCAGGATGAATCAAACTGTTCAATATCAGTTTTTGTCACGGGCGTGTGATGTAGTGGTATCATGCTCGCTTTGCACTTTCCTTTCGAGGAATAGTTGATATGCGAGCTGCCCTGGGTTCGATCCCCAGCGCGTCCATTGTTTTATTTGATATCGCTTCCCAACAATTTTGTCTGGTCAGTGCCTGGCGGCTCATCACATCCGTCCCCACTCATTTTTTCGACAAACCTGAGCAATTTTGAGTGTGACATGAACCTTTGAGCATCATTCACCATGCCACCGCGTCGAATTGGATACAGCTTGCTGTCAGGCAGATCGTAAATTACATGCATGTTACTAAACAGCTATGAGCTATGTACAGCAATTGTCGTTTTAGGTTAGAAGCTTTCCGTTGCAGGTGATGTAAGTAATGGATCCCTTCCGAGTCCTTTGTGGCTGTGAACTGCCTGAATTGGTTATCTCGTGTTCGGACCTGGGAGAAGTTGGAGGGACTAAAATTCAACCGTCTGCTGAATGGAGGCTGCGAAATACTGTGGAAGTCTGTATGCATCTCTATTTCGCGTGTCGACTCAGCGAAATGAAATGCATGGTGTTGATAGCAATTTAGAGTTGAGACTGCCAGCCTTCCATATCATAAACTTTGTGGACGTGGGTTGTCACCGTAGCAAGAATCTCCGATCAGCGTTTACCCTCAAAAATTAAGTTCTAGGGTCGAGACTCAGGCCGTAAATCCCTGGCATGCATGGCCTGCGTATGCCCCATCACCACAGTGATCCGGGACGACATCCTTCCCATGGCTGTCACGGCAGACATGCGTGCGTGTGCGTGTGCGTGTCGCTCACAAATCGCTGTTTACACTCTCTCCCGGCATGTCTGCACCGACGGCCTCCTTCCTCACAGCACCTGCGTCGCACTGGGTCGATTTCTCGCGCCGGTCTCTCTATATCAGCCTGCTTTCCATCGCCGCCAATCCGCTTCTGTGGAACATCATCGGTCGGAACGGTCAGTTGCTTTGTGGTGGTTTGTTCAGATCTCGACATCTGGTTGAAAAAAAATAGAATACAAGAATCGAACACTGAGTAGACGATTCGGAGCACGCATCTCGAGCACCGTACTCGGCATCTCGATTTTCGTGGCGGGCTTATTGCGGGACGTCCTGTACGGTTACTATGCTACGCTGCTCTGGATCCCATTCTTCAGATTTTGTTGAGCATATCGCAGGTATCGGATCGCCGTCCACGACCAGCCCCGGTACCCTCTCCCATACGCAGTCCAGACCCTGCTCGCCTGGTGTCTCTTTGTGCTCGGCAACGCGCTCGTGGGCGCCTCGTACCTGCGCCTGGGCTTCTACGGCACATTCTGCGGTGATTATTTCGGGATCCTGCAGACCAAGCGCGTGACCGGCTTCCCGTACAATGTCCTCGACAATCCGATGTATGTCGGGGCCACGCTGTGTTTTGTGGGCGCAGCACTGTGGTGCGTGAGCCGGGTCGATCCGCAGTTGTGATTGATCAGAGGCGTGCCGCAGGTATGAGCGGCCGGCGGGGTTGTTGCTAGCGCTGTACGTGCATATCACGTATGCTGTCGCGCTGCGTTTCGAGGAGTGAGTTCTCGACGTTCCACGTGATCCCGACACGAGGGCTGATGGTTGAATACCATAGGCCCTTCACACGAATGATATATGCCGGGCGGGAGAAGATGGAGTAGACACAGTAGAATACCTAGATGTTCACGCCATAGATCGCGTTCGTGACAGTGAAGAGAAACATGCCAAATTCATCCACGGTGGCTAACCACTCGTCGATCCGCTGCCTTCGCTGCTGTGCCACTTGGGCGTCCTCGTCCGGCCAAAGATCTTGCAGAACAGGTGAGCCGCTGTTTGCAGCAGACCGACGGTACTCTTTGTCCCATTCGGCCGCGGATCGGGCAGTCCACAGCGCTTTGCGGCCGGGCACAGGCAACGTCGCCAGCTCCGTCGCGACGAAAGATGTTGTGCCATGCCGGTAGTTGAACACATTGTCGAACATGTACATCGTGTAGAGCGTCCGCCGCTTTGCCTCGCCGGCGATCCACTCCTCCCATCGCGGCGGCGCAGCAGAACTGTCGGGCTGCAGGCCCGTCAGCGACAGCGCAGCCTCGAGGTCCTGCAGCTGGATGATCGTCGCCGTGTCGACACAGAACGAGTTCTGCTCGTCTGGCGAGAGAAAGAAGAAGATGCAGTACAACAGGAACGCCTGGCACGCGCCCAGCAGCGTGATGTGGTCATAGGTTCGAAACTGCCATGCTCAGCCACCAGCCGATGGGCCAATTCCTCTCATGAAACATACCTCAGAATGCAGCCGCCCCATTTCACGCTTGATCGTGTCCCGCACCAATCCCTCGCTGCCGGGCGCCCGGGACTCCCACATCCTCAGCAAGCTCCGGCAGTATGCCAACGCCGGCTGCAGCGCCCCGTGCGCTTGGTACGGATGGATGATCGGAGGGAGCGCGTCCGGGTCGTCGTGCAGCATGCAGCGCGTGTAGGATCCGAGCACGCGCGCCATCAGCTCCCCCGCATGGGGCGAGATTGGCTTCGCGGTCTTGTCCGGCGGGGGCACTAGGGCGTCGAGCCAGCGGGACCCGATCTGCACGCTCTCGGCGGTGGGCGGGAGAGCCTGGGATTGGGGCGGCGGTCCTGGAGAGCCGGGGTCGTGATTTGGTGGAGAGAGCGCTGGGGTTGCTTGATAATGGCAGCGGAGCCCCCTGGTGTCGCAGCGCGAGCAGGCAGGGCGTGCGAGATCGCACCGCGTCTTTGAGGTGACACAATTGTCGCACGACTTTTTCCTGGAGGAGGGACGTGGTGATGTCGAGCCACCAGACATGATGGCATGCAGATAAGATTGGTTGATGTTACATTACGTCATATGGTTGGTCCTGCCCTCCACAGTATCTTTGACAATTACATACGTAGTCCAAGAAGTGTTCCTTGCTGTATCTTACACGGAAAATGAGACGTATACATTCCTCACGTGTAAAGCACGTTATTTTTCGCGCTGATGTCTATAACATAATCTGGGGCCATGGCACCAGGCCGGCGCATGAGTCGAAGATTGTTCGTTGGCAGAGCGCGCTGACTCTGTTTGGCTGCAACGTGGCGAGCATGGATCAAAAGTCTGCACGTCAGAATGGAATGCATGACCATATTCGGTCTGGAATGTACGGTCAGAACTGGGGACTGAAACGCACAGAATCGAAATCCTACGTGTCGCCGAGGTAACCGAGTCCAGATGGAGCCTTGATCAAGCAGACCACCACATTGACGGTGAACGCTGGACGAACTTGAATATCCTGGAAGCGATCGAAAAAAATACATACGTAGCAGACATAGGTAGAACCAAAGCCCTAATCGGTGTCAGCTGCAAGGCAGGTCCGTCAACTCAAAGCACATACCTTCGTCATTCAGGCTTTTCCATAAACCCCATTTGTCTCGAGAGACTGATTTACACGTTATTTTCGTCCCTCCTGAGAATTGGGAGAACGTACAGCGGCGGAAAACTTTCCACGCGGTCAATAGCGCTATTACTGCGTGGAGAAAATAATGTGTTCATATCGGGATCCAGCCCAATGGGAAGCTGCTCACTTGACTCGCCCACGAGCAAAGACAGATAACAGACCTTTCCAGAGGTGCTGAGCGCCGCTAGATAACAGGCAGCAGACTCGTCGTTCACGCCTACAGTATGGGATTCCCTGTCAGCGTCGCTCGACCTGGGGCAGCTTGCCCGAGCACGCACCCTTCCATGCCGAAGTCCACGTTGTGACAGCCCAAAACGAGGCGACTCCAACGGCCTGCAGCAGGAGCAATTCAGCTCGGCTTCCGATTCATGGAAGCTGCGCGTCTGACTCACGAGCCACATCAGAGAAAAGAAGGCCAGCAACCTTCTGGATCGCTCGTATAGTGTGTACGTTCGGACCATCAAGACGACTGTGGAAGAAGATGAGCTTGCAGGCGTGTAACACGCTGAATGAATGGTCAACCTTCTGTCAGTCCGATGCTGAATCCGCCGAAAGCTGCAATGCTGGATTAGTAAACGTCCCAGGAGTCGCAAGGGCGCACTCACTCGTTGTGAATCTAGAGATACTGTCGCAAGGCTGAAAAAAAAAACGTGTAAGAGCATGCGAGCAGAGCGCTGAAGAGGCTCACTGCTAAATGATTGGAGGAGTTGAATGTGGAAATGATGGGAGGGAGTAACATCGAGTATCGACTCCAGAAGTAGATGACTTTGACGACAGTCCATCTGGATTTCCAAATGTACAGATACTTGGGGAGGAATAAGCTCTATCCTTCAACTTCAATCGAACTCGCAAAGACCAACCTCGTCTGAGAGCTTGAGCAGAATATCGTAAACCTTCGAGTGAGGAAAATGAGCAGTGATCGGAAGCCGCGATCAATGATCTCACCAGAAGAGTCAGGAATCCGGCTTGGGTTCCGTCAGCCACAGCTCCCGTTCCCACATCGAATGCAACGCGCACCGTTCACATACTACGAGACACCGCGCGCTGCGTCAGTTCTACGGCGCAGACTGCGATACGGGCACCCACAAACACGACTTGGACATTTGACAAGGTCGTAGGAGATATGAACTCCATCACTGACAGAGGAAAGGCAACGTGCAGGTCGATGGCTCGCAGGGGTCTACATATATGTATACGTACCTTGGCGACGACGTCTCAGCTGATCGAGAAGCCGCTCCCGGGCATGGGAAGTGTTTGGTGTGCACCAAACTATCACGGCCGTGTGCGCTTCGTGCTTGATGATCTGTCTTCCGGCGTAAGATTGAATGGGTTCCTCGTTGGCCGGAACAGAGATGGATGAGGGGTGCGAGAATGATGCCCACTCAGAGCACTGGATTATTGCCGTGTGATGTTTCGAGTAGACGATAAGGGGGAAGCCCGGTACGGTAGCTTTGGGCGGTGCTTGATCTTGATTTTTCACGATGTTGGTTGTCGTTGCGGGGGAGTTTGGGCGGGAGATCGACGATCGGACATAGAAGCTGCAGTGGATATAGTTTTAAGTGACGGCCCGAAAGGTGCGATACAGAGTGCTGACGAAAGGACACGCTCGGTCTCAGCGCAATCTCCCTCAGTCTCAGGGTTTGACGAGTGACATAATTAGAAGGCGCGGATAGATCCTTGTCTGAACATGCTGAGAAGGATGGGTAAGAACAGGCAAGAACACCCGGAATGGTTCGCGGTACATATGCGGTTATGTCCCCGAATTGGGGTGGCAACCTGTGAGCTGTAGAAGTAGATAACAAAATTACAACCCCGCCATCATGATCCGCCCCATCAACACAGGCAAACAAACCTTGAAAACCGAGATGATGACCACCATCGTCGAAGAGGATTCTAGCGGCTATTGTTCGGCGCGATCAAAAACTTACCCTCAACCTCTTCATGAATTATTGGTGCTGGAAAGACGGGCCGGCTATGAACTGGCCAACAAACCAGATCATGTCTGATACAGTTTGATCACAATACATCTTGCTGCGTACTGCGCAGAGCTCAAAACTTGCGACCCGACCATGGCTTTCGAAGCAGAAAACGACCTCCGCGCCTATCTCACTGAGACGATCCTCCCCGTTCATTTGCGGGGACAGGGAGCGCAAGTGCAGGGTCCTATTCTGACCGGCTTCAGCACCCCAGGATTGTCTGTGGCCGTTCTTCCCGCGACTGGCACCAAGGAAGAATACTCCAAGGCAGAGATTCTGTCCTGTGCGTTTGGTGTGCGGGATATCTCGGATGCCAGCAGCGCAGTGGATGGCGAGACGATCTTCCAGGGAGCAAGTATCTCAAAACCCTTTACCGCGATGGCTGTTCTGCGTCTCGTTGCGCAAGGGAAGCTCGATCTGGATGTTGATGTGGGAGAATATCTCGCCCTGGCCAAAGAGTCGGGTGTTCGACGCGAGGATCTGCACCGATCGGCTGTGGTGAACCCCGAAACTGCGCCCAAAACGCCCATCACCCTGCGACTCCTCCTGGCCCATAGATCGGGGCTCAGCACTGTCTCAGGTCTCGCCGGATACTATGGAGACTTCCACGACATCCCCCCTACTGTTGCTACGCTGAATGGCGCGGCACCGGCGAACAACCACCCCATCCGCGCGTTTACGTTTCCGGGCCTTGGGACGTCATATTCGGGAGGCGGGACCACGCTTGTGCAACACATCCTGACGCTGGTCACCGGGAAGCCGTTCCCCGTGCTCATGCGGGAGCTGGTGTTGGACCCGCTCGGGATGTCCGCAGCACGTACGAACAGCCGATCCACGGCGGACAAGCCGGCCGCGTCAACTACGCCCAAGCGCACCACACGTCGTTCATGGGATATGCCGTGCCGAACCTGATCTACCCCGAGATGGCGGCGGCAGGTCTGTGGACGACGCCCAGTGACATTCTCAAAGGACTGCGCGCTGTGTACGACTGCCTTGACGGTGGAAACAATGTGGCAGAGGAACCATTCCTGCCTGCTGCTCTCGTTGCCGATGCTTTCACGGAAAACAATGGATTCGGAGGATTCGGAATCGGGTGGCAGCTGAAGACTACCGATGTCAAGAGACGGCGCGTCCTGATTGGCCACGGCGGCCAGAACCAAGGCTTTCTGAGCGGCGTTGTGCTTGCAGTCGACTTGCCTCCGGTTGGCTCGACTGCGAGTGACGCGGAATACAAGCCCCCTGTCGGGATCGCCTGGATGAGCAACAGCGACCACGGAACGCAGCTGGGCTACCGCATCGTCTCAGCGCTCGGTTGGCTTGTGAATGAACCGCTGAATCTCAGCAGCGGACCTTCCGACCTGTTCTTCCCGGCGCTCTCTGTCACGGTTGCTCACCAGGCTAAAGTGGCGCGGCAGATCGAAGGGTGGCGTGACTGGCTGGGAACGTGGAAGATGACCGACGGCGGGGACGAGTCGGTCTTTGGATCCAAGGCAACTGTGGACATCGAAGAATCGCTCGGCGGTAATCCCGTCATGAGCCTTTCCGTGGTTCCGGACCCGCGAGCACAGTTTGTGCTGCTTCCTGCCGCTGTCTACCATGCGGATGAGAGTGACGAGATTGTTTGGGTTGTCAGGGACATGAATGTCTCCGTTGCCATGAAGAATGTGAAGGACAAGAGGACCGTCGAGATCTGGCAGAACGGGGCAAGATATGCAGCTGAGCGGGTTTGACTTGGCAGGCCGCGTTCATGTGCAGGTGGCAAACAACTGACGCTCGTAATATACACGCCCACCTGTCGAAATTGAATACAACACAGCACCCTGCTCATAATGAATTTCCGCGATTTCCGCGGAAGTAGGCCCTCCGATCATCCTCCATGATGTAATTCTGCACTAAACGGGAATACACGTGCCATATCCGTTTACCCTCAACCCCGGCGGCACAAATAATGAACGGCAGCAACCTTCTCTCTCCCCTCTCACACCCCAACTTTGACGACCACGGAGAAGGGATGGGCTCACGCAACCTGGAGGACGTGCCTGAGGAGGACTCGCCGCTCTCACCCAACTCCCGTGGTTCGCGTAAAGCACCCAGCGTCCGAACTCTGGGTCGCACGAATTCAGGGGGCGAAAGCAGTCCCGTGTTGCGCTCGAACTCCAAGCTCTCCTCATCCACCCCGGGCTCCGCATCCTCCTCGACCACAAACCTGAAAGAAAGCAGCGTGAGCCTGAAGTCGAAGGGCAGTTCAGGCACGCTTCGAAAACCGAGGAGCAGCGCGAAACTTCAACAGCAGCAAGAGCCGGAGCCGGACGCGCCCTCTGCACCTAGCACCTCCCTATACTGGTCGAAGGCGCCGTCATTTGGGGCGATGCCAACGAGGATCATGCGGGCACACACAGTGACACTGGTAGAGACCACACAAGCGTGGTTATTCGGGGGATGCGATGACAAGGAGTGCTCAACGGACGTGTTTCTGTTCGACGTGGGTGAGACCCTCCCTCCATCCCTCTCATGTTCCCCGAGCTCTAGCTCTTGTCACGAACAGATACCCTGCATTGGTCTCGCGTAGACACGATCGGAGACCGGCCTCCTCCATCGCGGGCGCATACTACTACCGCCGTGGACAGAAAACTCGTCGTGTTTGGAGGTGGACAGGGATCCACGTACTCCGATGCCGTCTACGTCTTCGACACCGTGACGCGACGATGGTCGCGTCCGATGATCACGGGCCCGCGCCCACCTCCACGGCGCGCTCACACGAGCGTGTACTACCGGGGGAAGATCTACGTATTTGGTGGAGGGAACGGGATGACTGCGCTCAACGATGTCTGGACGCTGGACGTGACGAACACCGGGAGGATGGAATGGCAGGAGGTGCAGACGGGCGGGCGAAAGCCCGGTCACCGAGGCTATCACACGGCGAATCTCGTGGGCAACATCATGATCGTCGTCGGGGGGAGCGATGGCAGGGACTGTTTCAATGACATCTGGTGTCTGAACCTTGGTTCGTGCCCTCTCCATCTGTTGGAGCTGGACTTGGGCTGACGGGTGGCCAGATACGTTACAATGGTCCAATCTACCTCTGGACACGGCCCATCGCCGTCTTTCCCATACTTCCACGCAGATCGGATCTTATCTGTTCATCATTGGGGGCCACGATGGCTCGCAATATCGACGTGATCTGCTGCTTTTCAATCTAGGTGAGTTGCAATCTGCACGTTTCCCGAGATGATATCGACGCTGCTTGCAGTCACGCTTGCCTACGAACCTGGCACAGCACTCGGCAGGGCCCCCGGGCCACGAGGATACCATGTCAGTCTAGTATCTGACAGCCGCCTGTTCTTGTTCGGAGGATTCAGTGGGTCGGCACCCTTTGACGAGGTGTATATCCTCGATCTCGCTGCTGCCGCCTATCTCCCCCAAGTGACTCAATTTGACATTCTCCTCCCGGATTAGGGTGTATATCTAACTGTGTATATGTTGTATCTTAAGTTGTGGATCTGCTGTAAATACCAAAATAGAGTCCACTGGTCAGTGCGAATGGGCGCATTCGTGGATTATAATCATTCATCGGCGATGGGCAGCTCCGGAATCAGAGTGTGACAACCCAAGACAGAGCAGCAATAAATCAAAGCATAGTGGGGCATGAGTCTGTTTTGCAACGCATGCACGCAGTATTCCTCGGGAGATGATCATTAGCGGCAGAAAGGTCGACCCCTTATTCTTTGACGAGGGCCTGCCAGAGTCTCGAGCCTGAGAATCGTGTTCATCGGCCCCAGTGTCTGCTCGGACTAAGCGCTGGAGTGGGATGTATTGTATGGGGGGATTTGAGTCATCGATGGTGACACTGGATATCTGGCAGACCGGTGTACAGATAACGGACAGTGTGGGGCTGCACAAGAAGTAGCAAAGATTGATGTAGGCGAAGGACAGCTCAAGGCGTTTATACGCCGTCGACTCGGTGTAAGGATGGAGCAAGTACTGCCCTCAGATTCGAACAATGTCAGATCTGCTGAAACGGTGTTCCAACTAGAGCTCCAGAGATAAGCATGTGTGAATCAGCTATCACTTCGCGTGAGAGATCTTCACATTGAAATAGAGTGCCGGTGAAGATATCATGATTATGACCCGCGATTCCTGACGGGTTGGAGGCCCGGCAAACAAGATGTATCCGAATGGGCGATCTGGGAGGGTGTGTATGCGCTTGGTTTCTAATTTGCTTGGAGCTTAGCCGACCATAGCGTTGAAAATTCTTGCAGAAATTCAAGAAAGTGGGGGCTGATGAGAAACCCGAATCTGAGCGGTGACGCGTGAAGCGTGACGGGCCACCGAAAGTGATCGGATGACTGTGGGAAATGTCGGTGCACAGCCTTCCTGCTACTGTGGGCTAACCACCACCTTCGTCTCACCCAGGATGAATCCGACCGGCAGCCAGACGTCGCGCCTGCTGGGCGCTCTCCTGGGAACCTCCGACGCGTCGCAGGCCGCGACGCCCGCCCGGCAGCCTCTCCAGCTCTTCAACAGCCCCGTTCCTGAGGGCTCTGCCGCGCCGAAAACACGGACGGCGCAGCTGCTTGAAAACGCGCGCCGGACGCACATGGGGTCACTCATGAGCTCCGCTGCGCTCTCCGACGCGAGATTCCTCTCGCAATCGCTCTCTTCGGCGCCTGCGATGGGACTTGGAGCGGGTGGTGCGGGGGAGTTCAATCTCAATTACGACGTGGAAACGCCGCTCAGGGCCATAGATCTGGGCGGAGACGATCAGGCAGAGCAGTGTGTCACTTTTTACGAGGATTAGACGCGCTTTTTCAATGATTCTTCTTGCATAGGATGTCTGCCTTCGTCAGTCGGGCGATCGACAACTTGAGTCATGGGGTCACGGTCAGCGAGGCTATGAAAGAACTTGGACTCAACAAGTGAGTAATCCCTTTCAAACAGTGCATACCGGGCTCATCAGATATGACAGTAAGGATGATGTTGTTCCTGGGATGGAGGCGCGATTGCTGCCCCATCAGGCCATCGGAGTGGCATGGTGAGACTGGTTTGAGTTTCTTTTCTCATCCCGCTTATCATTCGGCTCGCAAGGATGCTCCAGAAAGAGAAGGGTCCGGACAAAGGTGGTATTCTCGCGGACGACATGGGTGTACGTCCTTCATAATGAGGCTCTCAGCTGTTGACGCACCTTCACAGCTTGGCAAGACAGTCCAGATGATCGCCACTATGGTCATGAACGTTCCCGCCGAAGACGAGCAGACGCGGACAACTTTGATTGTTGTACCCGCAGCTCTGCTTCAGCAGGTGGGGCATCTCTCTGCCGTGACTTTGTCACTCATATGATGAGCCCAGTGGAAGGAAGAGATTGAAACCAAGACTAATAATATGTTTTCGGTATGGGTACATCACGGGATCGAAAAACTGAAGGTATGCTTTCCGTCTGTCTCTCGGTCGTCGCTCATTCCCGTGCATAGAAACCATCTGATGTCAAAAAATACGATGTTAGTGATGCTTTGGCCACACACAGCACACGTCTTATAGCTCTCCTCAGGTCGTCGTTACCACCTACCAGACATTGTCAATGGACTTTCGTGTTCCCCAAGATGTGGACCTGGGCATGGAATCCGCCTGGCTCGTCAAGCATGGGTAGGTTGTTTCCTTCGCCATGCCTCATCAGGCTCATATCCGCCGGGATCTAGGGGTGTCCTTGCCCGAACTCGTTTCCACCGAGCAATCGCGGACGAGGCCCAGTACATCAGGAACAGGTCGACCAAGGCGAGCATCAGTCTTGCGTACGTTCGAGCCAAGTATCGCTGGATGCTCACGGGTACACCCGTGACTAACACACTGTAAGTCTCTCGAAGCTTGTTCCGTACCCCACACCGTAAGGATGTCCTCCAGCGCCGACTTGTACGGGCTGCTCCGGTTTGGCCAGTTCCGGCCATGGAACGAATGGAATGACTTCAATGTGAGCGTTTCGTGATCGTTTTCTGTCCGATTTTGACGCTCTGCTCAGACTCACGTTGTACGCGTTATGGTTCGATTCGTTCAATCTGCTCAAGATTTGTAGGCGAGAGTCCAGCTTGAGGATGCTGCACTGGCAGGCCAACGAGCCCAAGTGATTCTCAAGCCTATTCTTTTGCGGCGTACGAAAAACTCGACGCTCGAAGGCCAGCCGATACTTGACCTGAAGGCCAAAGACATCGAGATCGTCAGGCTCAAGTTCACCGATGCAGAGCGGGAAATCTACAACTGCTTTGAGGCACGCACAAAGGTCAGAGTGAACAAGTTCATTCGGTATGGCACGCTGGTTAAGAAGTGAGTGCGCTTGTCGATTGGTTCTTCGCAACCCGCCCATCTGTTTCTCGTCAGCCAGGCTGTGGTCTTGGTGCGTATGACATGAATCGTCCATTCCTCCAGCATCCAATTTGGTCTCCCAGGTCATGATCTTGCGACTTCGGCAACTCTGTTGTCACCCGCATCTTATCCTGGTGTGTATGCTCCCTCCTCAGGTTGCTTTGACTGAGCGATGCAGTCTATCGCCAACGGGCAAGGATTCACCGATCCGACGCTGCTTGTAGGCAGCGATCAGGACAAGGAGCGCGGCCGGGCTCTCAAGTTGATGGGGAGACATTGGGTTGACTCGGTGAGTCGACATTGGGCGCTGCATATCCAAGCTTGAACCTCGACGGGATGTGCATAGGTCAAGAGGCGGTTCGTTCCCACGTCGTTACGAGGCTAAGAATTTCACTGATGTAAATGGGCCAGATTCCTCATTCGAGCCAACGCTGCCAGGGACGACGAGGACGAAGCCAAAGCCGACTCCGATGTCTGTCCCGTTTGCAAAGACTGTGCGTGATGTCCGGATGAGTGGACGCGAGGGGGTTGATTGTATGACAGTGTTCTTGGAAGAGAATGGCCGCGTTCTGCCTTGCGGACACGAGATCTGCTTCGACTGCACCATGGATCTGAGCAACTCGGCCGTTGCGCACGACGGAGTATTGTGCGTCGTAATCATTCACTGTGGTAGGAAACTGACGACTGAGGACTTGTGTGTCCAGCGGCGAAGGGGACGAGAGCCAGAACGAGGCGCAGGACAAAGCCTACGAAGAGGCCACAGCCAAGGGGCTCCGACCCTGTCCGTTTCTGTCCCTCGTGCACCACCGAGGATGTATGCTGATTCATGTGCCCAGGCCCGACATGTAAGCGAATGACCAACATGCGGGGGGACAAAGTCTTCAAGGCTGCTGCGTTCGAGCCCACGGAGGACGAGCTGAGCATGCACAACCAGGAGAAGCGCGAAGTGAGACGGGATGCTAAACGGGCGAGGCACCACTACCGGGTCTCGCCAGCGAGGACGTTCGAGGAGAGTCGCATTGATTCAGATGACGATGACGAACTGCCCCCTGTTCCTGTCCTCCGCCCGAAGAAAGAGCGCGATGACACGGCGACGGTGCGTTGCACGTTTTCCTGGTGTGAGAAGTTCCGCCTGACGCCGCAGACAGGATTCGATTCCAACTGGGGCGAAGCGCGACGCCAAAGGCAAGAGCAAGGCGCCGCCCATCAAGAAGGGGGGCAACGCCGACGCGGACGACGACGACGTCGATCTCCCGTCGGCTGCGATCATCTCGAACTGGGAGCGCGGCGACGACGACTTGGAGCCGAGCACGAAGATGCTGGCGATGATAGACATGCTGCAGGAGTGGGAGTCCACGGGCGACAAGACCATCGTGTATTCCCAGTGCACGTTGTTCCTCTGCGGCTGTGTCCTGTGCTGCTCTGATGCCGCATACAGGGACGTCGATGCTTGATCTGATCGAGATCCTGTTCTCGAGACACGGGATCCGCAGTCTGCGCTTCGACGGGAAGATGAACCAGCAGGAACGCGACGCCGTGCTGTCGACGTTCAAGCGGCCCGGCGGGCCCAAAGTCATCCTCATCAGCATCAAATGCGGGAGTGTCGGGCTGAATCTCGTTTCGGCCAACCGCATCATCAAGTGCGTTCCCGCTGCATGTCTTTGGCGTGAGCGCTGGCTGACGGAGACGACGCCGACGGCAGCATGGATCTGAGCTGGAACATCGCGGCGGAGTCACAGGCGTACGACCGCGCGCATCGGATCGGGCAGTCGAAGAATGTGTGGGTCAAGCGCCTTGTCGTCGAGAACACGATCGAGGAACGGTGCGTCGGGTTTCGCGGCGGTCTTGGGCCAGCTACTTGGCAGTCTCCTCACATCTGAGGCACAGAATGCTGCGGCTGCAAGACGTCAAGCAGGGGCTCGCTGAAGCGGCGCTGGGCGAAGGCACCGGCGGCAGGCTGCAGAAGCTCAGCGTGAAAGAGATCAAACTCGTGAGTCCGGTCTGGCTTTGCTCGGGGCCGTACCGTAGCTGATGATGGTGTGATAAAAGCTGTTTGGCATGTCGAACAATCCATAAGACGGCCTTCGAGGCCACACAGGCACTGGGGCAACATCCCCGTGATATGATACCAACCTGCTCGTATACATATGTACTGGGCGTAATTATAAGCATCATGTAATTAACCGCTCACTGATACCCGACGTCGCGCGACTCCAAACTCGAAATAAGAGCTGGGACAGGCGCTTTGAATGAGGTGGCACCACTTGAACGTGACCGCGTTGCGGGTTTCTAAAGCGGCAATCCGGCGATCAAGAAGTGGGATCGATCGCGATCACCCGCTCATGGTCTCGAATCTTTCGAGGCCGTCCGCGGACTGATCATCGAGAGTGCATTCAGGTAGCATTTAACGCGCTTTTCTGTTTTGTCATAATGATCCAGCCCTCCAAACCCACGCAGTGTGTAACGATAGCATCTACTTGGTGATATATGTGAGCCAAAGTCCAGTCAACAGTCCCTACTAAGCCTTGCCTCTCGCGAGACGCTCCAGCTCCTCAAAGCTCCCACTCTGCACACACATGCTCCTGAACAGCCCGCCGTCGCTCATCATCAGCTCCAACGGCGCGCCGATCTCGACGACGCGCCCCCTGTCGAGCACGACGACGCGGTCGTAGTCGACGACCGTCTTGAGGCGGTGCGCGACGGTGATCACGAGCGCGCCGCCGAATCCGGTGCGCACGCTCTCCTGGATCCGCGCGTCGGTCTCGAAGTCGACGCTGCTCGTCGCCTCGTCCATGACGACGATCGCCGCGCGGCGCAGCAGCGCACGCGCGATGGCGACGAGCTGGCGCTGGCCCTGCGACAAATTCGCCCCGCCCGCGGAGACCTCGCTGTCCAGCGCGAGCTGCGCGCCCAGCTGCACGCTGCGCAGGGCGTGCCGACACGCGGCGTCGTCAAAGTCGCCGAACGGATCGAGGTTGTCCCGCAGCGTGCCCGAGAACAGCGTCGCGTCCTGCGGGATGAACACGATCCGCGAGCGCAGGTCCTGCACGCCGACGGTCGCAATGTCGCGCCCGTCCACGACGATCCGGCCCGCCGCCGGGTCGACGAACCGCAGCAGACTCATCGCGAGCGTGCTCTTCCCGCTGCCCGTGCGCCCGACCAGCCCGATGCGCTCGCCCGCGCGCAGCTCGAACGACACGCCCGTGAGCACCGCGGGCAGCTCGCGGCTGTAGCGCACCTCCAGGTCCTCGACGCGCACCAGGGCGTTTGTGGACGTGCTGGACGGCCAGTACGCCGGGGGCCGGACGCCTGTGCTCGGCTCCTGTGGCAGGTCGAGGTATTCCAGGACACGCTCGACTGAGTTGAGATCCAGCTCGAGCCCGGTCCAGTTTCTGCACGCCCAGTAGACGTTTTCGGTGAAATTGAGCGCAGACTGGCGATAGTTCAGTGCGTGAGCCACTTGCACTGCAACAAGCTGCGGACTCACCGTGATCGCCAGGCCCGCCAACCCAGCGTTGTTCTCCAGCGTCGCAATCGAGAACAACGTGATCGCAAACACAGACTACGAACACTCAGCTCGTGTCTGCACACAGCAACACCACCGAGCACTCACGCATCCACTCAACAGATCCGAGTTAAACAGCAGCCACCGGTTCGCCATCCAGAACGCATACCAAACACTCGTCATCAGATCCACCTGCGCATGCAGCCGGTCCATGAACCGGCCCTCCGCGCCAAACGCCCGCACCGTCACCAGCCCGCCCATCTGCAGCAGCTCACCAAAGTTGGAGAAGATCGGCGACCGCGTCGTCGACTCCATGCGCCGGAGATCGCGCCCCGTCCGCACGTAGCCGATCACGAGCAAGTAGTACACCAGCGCGAAGAGGGAGGCGGGCAAGATGTATGCGGGGAAAATGACGCTGCCGGCAGGTAAGATCGTGGTGGATGAGGTGAGATGGGATCACCCACGCAGCAGTCAGTACCGGGAACACCAACCCCGCGATCGTCTCCATCACGGACCCAAGCATCAGCGCCAGACTCGTGTCGATCGTCGTAAAGTCCTTGCTGAACCGGTTCAGTATCCGGCCCGCCGGCGTCGTATCGTGGAACCGGAACGTCGCGCCCACCACTTTGTCGAGCAGACGGCTGTCCCGTCCGAATCAGTCGCGGTCTCAAAAAGACACACACACACACACACACGCCACGCACCGGAACATCACTTTCGACGCCCGCAGCGCTGCGGTCCTCTGCAACGCGACGGTCGACACCTGCAGCACAATCCACAGCACCTGAATCAGCGTGTAGACGCCGATGTAGAACAGCGGGTGCTCGTTGGCGCTCGGCAGTGCAGTGACACCAGGCTCATCTTCGTAAGCCTCGGTCCAGAACTTGATCCAGAGCTTCTCCCCCACAATGCGCATCTGCTTGAACGCGATCAGCAGCACCACCGCCGCCCAGAAGTGGTACCCGGACGCGGAGAGGTACTCGCGGTACACAGAGACCTTCACACGCCCGGATTCTGTGGTGGTCCCAGTCAGCCACACACACCACGTCACCGGACAAACCCATCCGTACCTCGCTTCTCATCCTCGACCAGCTTTCGCGGCTCCTTCCTCTCCTCCGCCTTCCCATCCTGCTCCACTTCCTGCGCGGCTTGAGCTACCGCCTCTTGCGCGACGACCGCCTGCTCCAGCTCGACGATGTCGTCCAGCAGACCCCGCGCTCGGAGGTCGGCCACAGGGCCCTGCGAGTCGACTTTCCCATCGCGCATCCGGACGAGGTAGTCCGCGCCTGGGGCAACGAGATGCACGTGGTGGGTGACCAGGACGACGGTCCGTTTGGCGAGTAAAGAGCCCCGCAGACATTGTTCGTAGAGGAAGCGAGCGGTGTGGCTGTCCTGAACCCAAAGTCAACATCGCAGTTCGTGAAAGTGGGAAGTAAGCACCCACCACAGCGCTCAGCGGATCATCCAGCAACACGTATTTTTTGCGCGAGTACACCGCCCTCGCAAGTGCGACTCTATCGGCAGCCGCTCAATGTATGCTGCGCACCGCACCGAGCATCACGACCACGCACCGTGCTTTCTGGCCGCCGGACAACGACACGCCGTTGACCCCGATCTCAGTCCTATCCCCGTCCTCCAGCATCGCGAAATCCGGGTCCAGCGCACAGCAGCGCACGGCCGCGTCGTATCGCGCCCGGTCCATCGCGGACCCGAAGAGGATGTTGTCTCGGATCGACTGGCCGATTCAGCGTCAGTCAAACGGAACGGGCGCGTGCAAGGAGGGCGACACACGCGGTGCTGCAGCCAGGGCGTCTGGGCCGCGTATGCGACTCCCCGAACCAGCCCGTCGTCGTCCGCCCCGCCGCTCTTGTCGAGCAGCAGGCTGCCCTGCACCATGGTCATCTCGCCCATCAACGCCATCTGTTCGCCACCAGCTGCCATCAATCGATCGAGACAACGCGGCGCACGACTCACAAGCAGAGCGGACTTGCCACTCGCGGTGGGGCCGGTCACCACGGATAACTTGCCCTCTGGGAACATGACGGAAACGTCTTGGAGCGCGAATTGCTGCTGTCCATCGCTTGATCCGCTGTTCCAGTGCAGAGTGGCGCGGTCAAGACCCAGTCCCCCGTCCGCACCGGTCGAGGGGACGACAACATTCCGTTTGAGAGAGGAGACTGCACGAAGACAATCAGCGACTCGTATCTGGGCCTGAACGGAACGGGCGAACCTTGGTCAGAGACTTCCTCTTCGTCCAGGTAGTCCGCAATCCGGTTCAAGCCCACGCGAGCTTGGATCAGGTCTACGATGAACCCAGGGAACGCTGCCGAGGCCCGTGGTCAGACATGCGCGTGCCTTGCCAAAGACTACTGAGACGCACTGCTGATCGGCTGTCTGATCATGCCGAACAACGCGATAGCCTGTGTCCGGAGTCAGCGAATGGGACAAGGGGAGCACGGAAGACACAGACCGTAAAGGCTTTGCTGACCGTCAGCTCGTTTCCGAGCAGGATGTAGCAGCAGAACGACGCGACGGACAGCGAGATGGGGACGGAGATGAACAGCGCGGTGAACATGATGGAGTTCAGGCGCACTGCGACGCCAGCTCAGCACCCCACGACACGCAAAGTTAAGACCTCATCCACGACGCACGTTTCGCCAGCCACTTGAGCTCCGCCTCTCTCGCCGCCATCACCTTCGCGGTCCATCTCGTCTCCCACGCGAAGAACTTGACGAACTTGATCGCCGCGACGAGCTCGCTGACGAGCCCCATGCGCTCGTCCGCGGCCTGCGACCGCGCGCGGCTGATCTTCGTGCCTCGTTGCGAGAAGAACTTGTTCAGCGGCCAGCTGGCGAGGAACACCACGAAGCCGGCAAAGGCGCTCCAGCCGAGGATCTGGTACAGGAAGATCGCCCCGACCACGATCCGCGTCGGAGAGCCATAGAGGATGAATAGCAGCTGCGCGCAGTTGAGCGAGGCCACCGAGAAGAGACTGAGCGCGCACCGAAGTCATGGCGGACATCTGCTCCGCGTCGGTCGACATCATGTTCATGATCTTGCCCGTATCTACCCAGTTTCCTACACTCAGCAATCCCCTAGCTCGGAATCAACACACCTGCAGCCGACTTGGCCCCGTCCGCCGACTTGGTAACAGAACTGCGGTCCTTCCGCCGCAGCGTCTTGTCGTAGATCGCCGCCATCAGCTCGGAGCGCACGCGGAGCGACGCCCGGCGTTGGTACCCTGCAGCAAGGTTCATCAACAGGAAGAGCAACTAGGCGCGACTGACAGAGATGCTGGACAGACAGCTCTGCATTCAGCAGCCACACGCCGAAGATGGCCCCCGCGTAGAGATACGCGAACGCCCGGTCGGCCCGAGTCAGGTGCGGTTGGTCCAGTAGGTCGAGCAGACGTCTGTGGGTTATCAGTGATTCGTAGAAAGACGTGATGCAATGGAAGTAGACTGACTTGAGAAAGTACGGGTTCGAAAAATCTAACGCGATGCAAACTAGCGTCCCGAGAAACTCGATAGTCAGGTCAAGCGCGTTGGCACGCGCGATCTTCATCAGCAGGGACGTGGCGCTGTCCAAATGAGAGTCAGGGCAAACGAAACGCGCATGAACAGAAGGAAACACGCACGGCGTCTGCTGGAACTTCCAGAATATCGCCCTCGACGCATTGGTCGCGCTAAGCTCCCACACGTCTTTGAAGTCCAACGTCGAGTGCGAGCCCTGATTCACTTATTCAGCCAATAAACCGGTGTACCCGAAAGATCGATCCGCACGCGTCTGATCATGGGGTACACCCAGCTGAACACGATCCAGCCCCACAGCGACGTGTAGTCCTCCGGCGACACCGACACCCCGATATCGGCCGTGCGGACCCGCGTCGACGGCACGCCCACGGGCATGCGTAGGACCACGACGAGAAGCAGCGCCGCGACGAGCGTCGACCCTGACAAAGCCCACGCGAGAGGAGGAAAGGACCGCTCGACAGCGAGCATCGGGTGGGGCATCGGGATCTGGTGTGGCGGCACGTCGATTGCCCGGCTCTGGATCTGCCCCTGGAAGAGCAGCGCGCCCAGTGCGCCCAGCCCGCCGCAGACGTGCACCACGTACAGCGCAAACAGGTCGTACGGCGCCGTGACGGACGGAGGGCGCACCATCGGGCGCGCGGTGGCGTACACCCACGACGCCGCGACGAGGAGCACCGCGGCGGAAGGCGGCGCGTCCGGGGTATACGCCGGGAGCAGCGACAGGACGCCTGCGAGGGTCCACGCGAGGGCCTGCATGAGCCCGCCCGCGGCCAGCACCCAAGCGCGGCGAGCGGTCGCCGCGTGCGGCTTGGTTTCGTCGTCGTCGTTGTCGTCGTCGCGTGCGCCGTCCGCACCGTCCGTGTCCCTGTGCTTCTCACATGAAACGATGGCCTCGGCCTCTTCGAGCGTCAGGAACGGCCGGAAGATCTCGGTGCGCGCGGTGATGGAGGGAGGGAGCGGAAGGCGCGCGAGACACGCGAGCGAGACGACGAGCGTCGACGACCCCGCCCAAATCCAAACCCAGGCGCACGGTACCGCAGACATCGGAGCGTAGTAGGTAGGAGTCAGGACTGACTGAGAGTGCCAGCAGGGCAAGGGAGGAGGGAGGATGCTTTTTTCGTAGAGCCCAATTATCGCAGGGTTGATATACGCGTTGCTTCGCCGTGCGATCCGGAGTTTGAACGATGGAGCATCGACGGTGAGGGGAGGCCGAAGGATGTATGTATGTATCACTCACGTTACGGGTCTCCAATCTTTGTCAGTCGATAACGACAGCCCGGCGATTATGTCACATGGTCGCGTTCAGCAGATATGGTATATTTAGTACTGGCTAGCAGGACCGTACATATCACCCGCAAGAGATACCGCAGGCGAGTCCTGGATGTGACGTTGGACGGAGGTCACAACTAGTGTCACGACATCTAATCTTATCTTATCATTGCGAGAGTGTGGATGTATACACCGCTGTAATCTGCAGACACTCCAAACATCACAACTTCATTCCAAATCGCACAAAATACTGGATAAGGGCGCCCCGCTCACTGGTCAGCGGGATCGGCGGGGCCCTGCGCGCAGTAGATCCTGCTGGAGCACGTGGTGCCTGCCTTGGGCGTGTACACCGTCGCCGCGTCCATCGCGAAGCACTCGAGGGCCCAGAACCACGTCGTGCTCTTCCCGTTCCCGACGTGCGACCCCGCGCTGCCAAAGTCGTTCTCGTCGATCGAGATGATGGCGCTGAACTCCTGCGTCGTGCCCGCCGTCACGAACGTGCCGCCGTCGACGTAGTCCACCGCGCTGCTCGGGTTCACCACGTTCGTCAGCGTCGGCGTGGACGTCTTCCCGCTCAGGACGGTGTTCTTGGCGTCCGAGTAGCTGGTGGGTGGGGTGTCAGCGACCGGGAGGAGAGGATAGTTGAGGAGATGCGCGACGTACTAGTCGAACTCCCCGTGCGCTTTGCCGGCGCTGTCGAAGCAGTTGCTCAGGAAGATGACGGGCCCGGTGACGGCGCGCTCGACGATGGCGCGCGACTCTTGTGCTGGGGCGGCCGCTGCACCAGGGACCAGGGCAGCGACGAGTGCGATAGCGCAGGCTTGAGTGAATGCGGACTTCATCTTGGGGAGTTGTAGACTGCTGAAGCGTCGCCCTTTTATACAAGACGCGCATAGAGCGCCTGATGAGGCTCGCACGGTGATACTGTATCATTCCGTCACAGGTATCAATACCGTGCGCACCCTCACACCGCACAGTCGCGCAAAAGCATCACAAGATGCCGGACATCATCGATTCTCCCTGCGTTTCAAGCCCGTCAGTCACAGCAGGGTGAGGCCTCCTCACACACACCACTTACAGCAAGTGCCCTCTCCCGGTTCAGTCCAGCAGACTCAGCCAGGCAATTGTCCTTGCCCTGTAGCCGCTGCGAGAATCACAGCGCGCGCTTCATTCATCACGATCCGCGTTCCTGCTGTCACTATACAGCCTCCGCCCGCTCCCTTACGTACAACGGACCGTGTGCAGGACGGCCGAGGCGCGCGGGAGACTGTATATTCTGACACGGAATCACTGGCGGGCCGGGACTGGAACACCAGCATTCTGACACCAATGCCGTCAAGCATCCCCTCGAACATGCGGGTCGAAGATCGGTGCCTGCCCAAGCCTGAGGGCGAGCATCAGATCGTCGGAGCGGCTGGCAAGTCCTGAGCACACAGCAGCGTCCTGTCAACAACACAGCGAAATCGGCGGAGGAAGTGAGGCCACGGTTTGAATGAGACACCGTGCTTCGGGACCGGAGCTCCAGAGACTCGCCGACTGCCAACGCCAAGAGCCCAATCGACATCCCAGATCCACATGTGCTGCTGCAGCTGAATTCAAGACCGTTGCCAGAGAAAGGCCAGTCGGCGGCCTGGTCCTGATGAGAGTGCCGGCCCGGTGTGATATACTGCAGCGGTTCGAGCGGGTGTGGTGCGGAGGAACGCCCCGTAATTATGACTCCGAGGTGACTAGGACTCTGCATCGCACGTCTGCACCTTCGATCGCACAGACACACTGTAGCGCTAGCCGAGGCACATAAGCAGCGCTGGCCCGGGCACAAGGATGAAACTTGACAGGGCGCAACACCGTGGGTCGCATTTGTTGAAGGAGAACAAGTTTGAGACAAGTTCACAAGTCTGGTCGAGCCAAAGCGTCCTCAATCAAGCTGGGAATCAGAACAAGAGCGGGAGTCCACAAAACCCGCTTTCTCTGCAGTGCCTCTGGAGACTCGACATCTTCTCTTGACGCGCTCAAGAGATGCGTTGTGCATTGTCGTCGCTTGCATGCCTACGTGTTCCTTCCCACCAATGTCCGAACCTCCGTTGAGGCGCTGCTGTTATATGCGTTTACGTATGGGTCCAGAGAGCTGTCCAGAGAGAGATAGGTGTGACTTGATTACGTGATCTGATGCATGGGTGTAGATAAGATCGATTAGCTTGATCGACATCTACATCCACTCGATAACCACATCCCTATTCAAACTGATCTCCCGGCCACCACTGAGGTTGACACCCAACGTCTCTGCTCCCTCCCGATTTTCATACAGCCACCGCGTCCCCGGCAGCTCCTCGCCACCCACCCAGACCCGACTCGGCTTGTGCCCCACCCCAAGCACCGTGATCCCATCCACCGGCTGCGCAACGACATACCCACCCGCCGCACGCGTCATCTCGAGCCTCCCGCCCGCCACGCGGAACGCCAGATCCACGCCGTCCGGCTGCCCGTCCCCGTCGTCGACGTACGCACTCCCGCGTGCGCCGCCGTGCCGGTCGAGCGAGACCAGCAGCGCGTAGGGGTGCGCGCGCGTCTCGAGCGTCGTGTACGCCGGCGTCGAATGCAGCAGCAGCACCGCCCCCGACCTCACGTGCACGGGGATGTGGCCCAGCGGCGCAGAGAGCGTCGCGCTCGGCCCGGTGATGGGCTTGTATGTGTACCAGTCCCGCCAGATCGTGCCGGTGCTGTGCCCGGGGAACACGCCTGTCGCAGATTTCTCAGCTGTCTCTCCATCGGCGCTCTTGATATATCTACTCACCATGGACGGTGCTGACGTTCGGCTCCAGGACGGGCGTGACGAGAATGTCTGGACCGACCAAGAACTGCCGATCGACTGAAAACAAACTCGGATCGTCGGGGAATTCCCAGAACAACGCTCGAACGGTCGGTGTTCCGTGCCTCGACGAATTGGCGAACAGGGTGTACTGCCGACCCCTCAGATCTCGAGCAAGACACAAGAACAAGAGAAACCACACACCCAATACGGCAGCAGAGAGTACCTCACGTTTATCGCGATCTTGGCCGCGGCAGCCACGCTGTCCCACACATATGGCTCCTGCGAGATCGCGCCTCGCTGGTTATGATTCCGATAGAATGGACTGAATGCACTGAGCTGCATCCACCGATTGCACAGCTCCTCATCCGTGTTGCCCTGGAAGCCACACGTGTCAGCACCGATAAACGGAATCCCGAACATCTGGAACTGGAGCAGCCCCTGGATCGAGAACGCCATCGAGGCCCACGTCGCCTGGTTATCACCGAGCCAGTGCCCGCCGTAATGCCCGGATGAGGGAAAGGTTGAGCGCGCGATGATGACCGGGCGTTTCGATGGAAATAGCGATGCGAGCGCTTTATGGGTCGCAGCGGTCTCCATCAGTCCGTGGAGATTGTGCACATCAAGCTCGATGTAGCCCCCTGAATGCGTAGCGTTGGTGGCCAATGTGTGGACGGCAAGTCGTCCAAATGCATTGTGAATGGCATAGGGAGGATCATTCACATCGATATCTTGTGCCTTCGAATCCAACTCGACGTCACGCTTTGTCTGGATTTTGGTGGGAGAGCTGAAAGTCCAGGTCCCATTGACGGTGAGATTCCCACTCGGCCCGAACAGGCTCGAGTTGTATCCCTCGGGATAGTCCGTCACCAGATTGTCCGGCGATCCAGGCAAGATTACAGGACCTGGGTCGTCAGCGAGCATGCTCAAAAGAGGAGAGAACTTATTCACATGTCGTGTTGCTGAGATCCGCCCCGGTACCACTGTCAAGTCAAGTCAGTTACAACGCTTTGAGGCGATTCGACAATACGCACCACGATCCTTCACAGAAAGAGCTCACTTCGTTCATGTCCAGCCAGATTCCTGCCTCCTCCGTCACATCTTGATCAATACTAGTAAAATGACGCACCGCTGTATTCAACGCCTTGATTGCTCCAGTTTCCGAGCGCCTCGGCCCACCAACCCGATGTTTTGGGCGCAAACCAGTCCGGAAACACAGTGTATCCAGGCCAAACCTGGCCGATGTATTCAGTGCCGTTGATGTCAGGGTTTTTCACAAACACGTCGCTGTTTTGAGCCTCATGAATTAACATCATTCTTTGTAAATCCGGCGAACTCACAGTTCTTTTCCTTTTGCATAGGGAGCGTATGAATCCGACGAGTTGGTCGCTATTGCGATGCCAACGTCGACAATGGGAATGTCTGGCATGCATGCCAATAGTCAGCAACAAGCGCCTTTGTTGCGTAGCATGACACCTACAGTGTTGATGATTGGCTTTCTATCAGAACCAGGCATTGAGCGGTCATGCATACTTGAGACTCCCAAGAAGCTCACCAATTCCCGAACAAACTCCCTGACCTCGTCCTCAGGGAACCTCACCGGGTCCGTCGTGAAATCCCTGAACGCAGCATACAAGTCGATATCATTCCACATCGTCTCCAGGGGCACCCCCGCCGCTCTCATCCGCCGGACCGCGTCCCGCGTCTCGTCCAGGTTCTCGTACCCCCACCGGCACAGGTGGAACCCGAAGGCCCAGTAGGGCTGCCACGTGGGAAGCCCGACCAGCGCGGTGTACTGCTCGATCACGGAAATCGGACTGGCGTCGGCTTGCGGCGGGGCGGAGATGAACGTCAGGTCAAGGGTGCCGCCGAGGATGCGATATTGTAGCAGAGACCCGGGGAAGGACGGTTCGGGGGTGGCGAGAACGATGTCCGCGCCGTTCGAGCTGGGATCGGATGGATTCACTCTGTTCTTCAACGACTGACGACCCTCACCTGCGAAGAAACACTGCATGCGTGTGCGACTTGCCGCTCTTTTTGTCGAATCGGTGTTCCATGTAAACGGGGTGCGTGCCGTATCTGAAATAGTCTATGAGCACCGCGGGACCTCGAGTCTGACACCCCGCACTACGCACATGTTCTCGTCCACCGGAGTCGCGGCGTCCCTCGCTGCACCCGATCAGACACGCCGCTCAACCGCATGCGCCGCGGAATCACGCACCCCACATAGTCTGCACGACGCCGCCCTCGATATCGCGCCGCAAGCCGCCGAGCGCGACGACCTCGCCCAGCCCATACACGTTCGCGCCGCGCGGCAGCGCAGTCGTGAGCTGCAGATACTGGTCCTCGAAGACCAGCCCCACGCCTCCGACGCTCACATTGCGCGGCCCCCCAGCCACCGGCGCCGCCGGCAGCGACGTGTGCCGCGTGTCAAACAGCGGTCCCAGGTGCGGTGCCGAGCGGCGCGTGATCCAGAACGCGAACGGCGCGGAGGTGTAGTTAAACACCAGGTCGGACTTGCCCGGCTTGACATGTTCGTTGGCGGAGGGCGGCGGCAGCACCGAGTCCGGGATCACGTATTGTTTTCGGGCGGCGTCGACGATCTGAACGCGCAATCTGCAGTCGTGGGAAGCAACGACCAAGCGGTGGCGTTACGTAATGCACTGTACCTTGTCTCAGTTTCGTGCGTGACGGCGACCTGAAGCTCTTTTATATCCCGCCCGAAGGCGTTGCACGCGTCTCCCGCGAGAACGAGCGCAGCATGGAACCCGGCGGACGTCTCGACGAGCGAGGAGGAGTGGAGGGTGTAGCCCGGACACGCTGTCGTGTTATGCGAGTACACGAGGTCGGACTCCGGTTCGGCGGTGAGCGCAGATGGCAAGATGATGAGCTGGTAGAAGATGCCCCAGAGGAGCAGTAGAAATGGGCGCAACATTTCTAATGACGGCGCTGAGAAAGCGAGGTGCAGAGGCTGGAGCTTTTATGTGGTGTATATCGGCCGCAGAGGGGCTGTGGCCTGTCGTCACGGGTTCACACAAATGCTTCTCGAACAGCGGCAGGAGCCAAGACGCAACTCATGGCGCGCTTCTTTCACGTACTCCAAGCCATCGGCGAGCCATGGCAGGAGAGGTGGACGCGAGGAATCATGATACAAGTGGCTCTTTCCAGCGATCACGTGGCCGTGTCATCGGCCGTACACATGCATCGATTCGTGCCCGAGCCCTGGAATCGATCCTCGTCCTCAATCCACGCACGGAAGTTTGACCGATCTCCAATTAGATTTTTTGGTCCGCTGCACATTACAAAGGTATGATCTATATATGGTATTTTATATTACTTTTCTCCTGGTATCCAATAACAAAACAATCCATCCAGCGGATCCCACGCATTATAGGGCGAAATGTGCCAGCCATGTCGGGGCGAAGACGAAGAAACACGAGTAGGCTCGTGCCCAACAACCGGTGCGGGCGATACAGACAAGGGGCGGAGATCGGTCGGACGGAAACACGAAAACAGAGTCGAAACACAACGAGGAAAACACGAATCAACACGCCAAGGACACGGGGGCCAAAGCGAGCGCGCGGCCAGATCGGGGCCGCGTCCAGCCGGAGAACATCCTGAAGAGCGACGACGAAGCTGGCATCCTCCGCAGACCACCCTGCTGCTGCTGCTCTGCTGGGGATCTGTCCGCCGACCAAGAGTCATCCGAGGCGGTACTGCCACGGAACGAATCGCTGTCTGATGAACTGTCGGTGTCGGTGTCGGTCTCGGTCTCGGTAGCCGGAGGGGACAACGCGGCCGACTTGAGCGTTGCACCGAAGCGATCTTGGAGGATGCGCTGGATGTTGACGCCCGCCCTGGAGTCGAAGCTGTCCGCAGACGCGTCGCTAGCCGTAGAAGAGCTGCTCGCGGACGCAGGCAACACCGAAACCGTCTCTGTCCGTCCGAAACGATCTTCAAGAATGCGCTGGATGTTGGCGCCGGCAACCGAATCGAAGCTGTCCTGGGACCAGTCGGTGGCGCAGGTCGAAGTACTCTCGGACACCTGCAACGCTGCGATCTTCTCACTCGTCGCGGAGTACCAAAGTCGGGAGAAAGCCGCCGGCTTGGGGGATGCCGTGTTGAGCGAGGCCTCGATGAGCGCACAGACGGGCAAGACGGGCTTGGCGACTTTCGGGACGGGGGCGACCACAGGAACTCCGACGCAGGAACCAGCAACAGGGGCGGCGACGACCACAGCAGGAGCAGAAGGCCGGACTGGAGGGACATCGACTACCGAGGCAGCAACGACCACTGGGGCGACAGGCCGAGACTGGGGCTTCTCAGGCACGAATTTACGCATGAGGCAGCGTAATCCGTGCTGGGGGCTGGCGAACGACCGAGAGACGAAGCCGAAGGAGCTATCCGAGCGAGACATCGCAGCTGGGAACGGGCAGACGCGAATCGTGGACGGAACCTCGGCAGCGACGGGAACCCAGGGAGCAGGGACCTGGTGACGGGCCACCTTCTTCCAATTGACGCCGGTGAAGTAGCGGTGCTCCTTGAGCTGTGCGAGCGTGAGCCGAGTCTCGCGATTGTGGTCGAGGAGGCCCTGGATGACCGCCGTGAGGTCGGCATCGACAGTCGCGAGGAGTTCCGGTGACTGAGACGAAGGCATCTGGTGATCTCAAGGCGTCAGAGACAGCAGCAACGCACATCAAGAAACTTACAGCTCCCGTTGCCAGTTGATGAGCGATTACCCCCAACGCGAAGAGATCAGCATCGAAACTGTACGGCGTGCCCTGGACCTGTGCGGGTGCCATATAACCTGGGGTTCCGCACCGCTCTCTGGTGACACCGACTACCTCGTCCATGGTCTGCTGGAAGAACGAACCACAGTCTGCATCCGCCGCAACATCGAAGACAATCTCAGCAGGCTCGTCGTTGCCGTGCATGAAGGACCCGGGCAGGTGCTTGGCGAGAGAAAGGCCACCGAGGACGATGTTGCCGTCTTCAGTGAAGAAGATGTGGGCGGGCTTGAGGTTGCGGTGAACGATGTGCTGAGCGTGGAGAGACTCGAGCGCCGTGACCTGACATCATGTCAACACAGTCAAGACTGGAGTAAGATGAAGCTCACCAGTTGAGCGACGATGAAGCGGGTGTGAGCAGCAGGGAAGGCACCCCAGCGCTTGTGTCCGTTGACGAGACATGGGCTGAGGTCACGACCGGGGCACCACTCCTACATATACATGTCTCAGACAATGTGAGACAGGGGAGACCCGAGCCGGCACCCACCGAGAGCATGTACGAACGGGTGTCATCCTCCCAACTCGCATGCAACGAGAGCAGGGAGGGAGAAACCGACTTGCCGATGGGAATGGCGATGCGCTTCAGGATGGCCTGCTCGTTGACGGCGGACGCCGATCCGGAAGCGCGCTCGACAGCCTTCAACGCGAAACGGCGGCCAGTGACCTTGTGCTGGACCAGATGAACGGTGGCCGAGCGTCCGGTGCCGATGCGGTTGAGGAATTCAAAGTCGGTGACGGAGGGGACAGAAACCTAGACGGCGGTCGGTGAATATCCGGCGGTATGCTCGATGTGATTGATATGCAGGCACTTACAGGGGACTGAATCTTGGAAGTGAACATGATTGAGCTTGAGAAATGCTTGAGGATCTGAGTGCAGAGGGTTGTTTCGGTGAAAGCAGCGATATCGAGGAGATGGGGGGCGGGCCCGCCTTATATGCAACCGCGGAAGCACATGTCTCAGACATGGAGCGCATCCATGGACCGAGGACTCTTCCGTGGAATGTAGATACTATCCGCATTTTCCAGCATCCGGAGAGGACTTCGAGTGCGAACGACGTGATTCGGGGTCTCCGTGTGCATCCCAGTCAGACACTCTTTCAATGCATATGGGTGGGTTGGCTTGAGTTGGCGACGTTAGATCTTCAAGTTCCCAGTTGAGGGTGGTCCCCAGAGCGCAAATTGTTAAAAGAAATCAAGTCTCTGATCATGGCGAGACCCGGATGTGCAGGATCCCGTAGAATGCAGAGTACAGTCTCAGAATGCACCACGGACGCGACGCCTGGAGCAGTCGGTGGGCTATAGCCTAGAGCGCGCGTTGAGCCCAAGCCCTAGACATCTAGCACTCTTTTCATCAGTCCTTATTGTTTGAGTGTCAGTTTCTGGAGCGGCGAAGTCAATAGACAGGAAAGATTGAACCGATTGTGAACTTGGAAGGTGGGATGCTCAGCAGTAAAATGATCAGCGATCAATTGATCATGGACAAAGGTACCACGACATCGGCAATGCTATGAGGACTTCCGGATATGCTCACTGACATCATCCGCAAGTGCGCGTTGAACATGGAGCCTTCTACTACATATACAGAACTGCCATCCGTTCTCGCAAAACTGCGGGCTGCGGCTGACGAAGCGATCCGCACCCCACAGCACTCGCCGGATCAGCATGACAGATGAGTGACACGCCGTTGCCGCTATTCAAACATCCTCGGCGGCTTTCCACTCTGGCATCGCTACTTCGCCCCAATGTCCCAACAACAGCAGTCCGTCGCGTAATCGAACATACATCTTCGAGCGACCCTGCCTTCGAACACGTTCCCGCTCGTTCGAAATCTGTCGGCGCCATGCAGCGCCGGGCTGAGATGGGAATATACCAGTACCCATCTCCCGATGAAAATGGATCGCAGGGTATGTGGGATCCATATCAATACAAGACGGGAGACGGGACAATCGCGGTGCCGACCGGCGAGTACGTTAATTTGAACGCCTCTACATCCAGACAGGCACGGGACAGATGGAGCGACACGTATAAAAGACCGGGCTCTGAGTGCAGGTTAACCCAAACACAATGTCTACCGCAATCGTCCTCCCTCCCTTGAAGCAATGGGCGCAGCAGCACCTCTCCTCCGTCCTGAAAGCGACGACGGACGCCTCGTTTAACGAGGCCTTTGACGCGTTTATCTCCAAGAACGCGTCGATCAGCCTCAACGGGAAGAGCGTCTCCCGCGAGGCATACAAGGCCCAGCTCCAGGCCGAGCAATTCGACGAGGCCGGCGCTGACGTCCAGTTCGGCGGGGTTGTGGACGTCCCCTCTAGTACCATCGAGGTCGGTCCAAGCAGTGTGTCTAGAGCTCGAGTGAGGCTGATGCTGGGCCAGTCTGGCGTCGTCGGCCTCTTCTACACCGCGACTATCGCCGAGAACCTGCGCATTCGAGACGCCCCCATCGAGAACGTAATCACGTCGTCGCTTAACTTGGTGTAGGCACAAAATCTCTCACATCCTCCGGGCTCGACTCACCGGGTCTGCAGAATCGAAGAGGACAAATCCCTCACCCCGCCCCACTTCCCTGCCGGGATCCACGGGTTCTTTGGCAAGTCCCCCGTCTCTGCATGTATGCTCGAGCGTGAACTGACGCAATTTCAAAAAACTAGATGGCAGACGGGTGTCTGTCGTAAACCAAATCCTCGTCAATGCCCGCCAGAACTGAGGGCCTTGCGTAAGGCTCCTGATAATGACAAACCAGACGGCCTCTGAGCCAACGAATTTCTTGTTTCACTGTCTGTAGCGCTCATGTACACAGTAGTTGTTTGATTGCCATTTGCTCTCCCCATAGGTTGCCGTTAGCGGCTGAGTGATATTATCGGTGCAAACGAATTTACAATACGTTTAGTCACGATGCGCTTTGCGGCAAGGATGAGCTGCGTGCGAAATACGGCTAGGATCTGATTCTGACGTACTGACTTGGGCGATGCAAGGAATGTATCAAATGCCGACGGGGACAGTGACCTTAGCCCCAGAATAGATTAGCTGCAACCCAGGCTCACGTGCAGAGTTCAACTTTGTGACCCAAGCGCACCGACGCCTCTCTCTGCTTCTCGCTCATGTCATTCGAACCTCCGGATGAACCTTCCAATTGCCCTAAACGCGTTCCAGGACATCGATCATGTGATCGCGATGTCTGGCGCCACTCCGTTGCAAGATGTCTACCTGCGGTCGCGGGCAGCCCCTGAACGTTGTTTTAATTCGAAGACTTTGAATGAACACCGACGTCACAGGTAGATCTCTATCATCACAGCTCTTTCCCGTCGACAAAACAGCCGATCCTGGCCGATCTCTGGCCTGAGTGATCCCCGCTGCATCTCGCATCAGCATGTGAATCCGAGCATACGGGATCTGTACCGGCCTGCGTCGGAGTTCCACTGCCCTTCAGACGGCGCTCTACTCACCCACAGACCAAGATTCCAGAGACGACGACAAACAATGCTTGGATGTTCAATGAATGCTATATATTACACTTGCGAAGCGAAAGCAAAGTTTTCATAACACAGCGATCACGCCGCGACCGGTTCCGCAGCAGTAGCACCGTTGGTATTCGCATCCTGGTCGGGCGCGTTGGTGCGGTCGGTGTTCAGCTCGCGAGGCAGAGTGACGGCGCGCTCGATGCCGACCGGGAGACCTCGGTGCCGGCCACGGACCCTGCAGACGTGAGCACGGCGAACAGGATTGAGCAGGAGGACGCACATGATGACCATGATGACGAGCTTGGAGAGAGGGCGGCACGCTCCGGAAAACTGCAAACGACATACATCATTAGCGGACAACCAGCAGAAAAAACGAGATCATCTGCACCGAATAGTTATCCTATGCGGTCGAAAAGGTCAGCCTTCAGAAAATCATTTTGATAACGAGAGCAGACCGAAGGAAATCCAAGGCTCAAGCCAATTCCACCAAACGCGCTCACGAGTTCGAACAGAATCCGGAACAGATCGAACCACTTTTTGTTCTCGTCTAGAAGATTGTCTCGCTCGATGATAGCCACGAGGAACACTCCCCAGACCATCCACCAGATATCTCGGCCACGTTCCAGCGCGAGACACGGTATAAACGGGGTTGAACTCACCTATGGACAACTGTCGATCGATGTGCCACCACTGGTTTCGTCAGCGATGACCAGTATCAGCACATATTGAGGAACTTACCAGATACCTCCCGATCCGTTCTCGAGGTTGCAGCTTATCCAGGTCCATGGGCTCCTCGTCTGCATCGTCGGGTGGCTCCTCGAATATACCCAGCGACTCCGTTTCATATACATTCGTAGACCGAATCGTCATCGCAACAGGATACACCTGGAATCCGTGAGCAGGTCAAAATTCAATCAGATAATCAAGACTTACCGCAATGTACATCATCACGACATACAGAAATCTGGTCGATGCGCAGATTCAAAACACGCTGTCAATCCCAAACGAAGCACGTACTGAAGCGCAGGAGCTGCAGAAGCCAGAGGAACAATCGAGAATCCAGAAGCACGCGCAGCAAGCCCCTGGAAGAGTCCGTCAACGACCTTCGCGCCTGTCCCCATCTGCTTGTAAAAGTCGAGGCCATGATCTTAGCAGCATCACGTGAGTGTTGAAATACGAGATAAGATGCGATAAGATCGCTTGCTTACCCAACGCCTCAAACGAGATCCACTCGATCACACTGAAGAGTATCAGACAGATGAGTAGGAAGTAGGTTTGGTGGCTCGGAAATCTGTATCGAGTCAATGCCAGATCGGGCGTATGCGAGACGGGACTTGCAGATATAGGAAGCATCTACGAGGGTGTTGCAGAAGGAAGGAGAGAGTTCCGCTCGCTTCTGATCCACGGGGTTCGATTTTGTACCATATCCATCTGACAGGACGTAAATTGCAATCGAAACATATTCGAATAAACGCACATCACGAGTCTGAGGCTGCGCATGATCACGGTCAGAAAGAGAATCAGGTTTACATGCATATTGAACCTCACAATATGGGCTAACGTAACAGGAAATCAACCCGGTATTTTTTCGACGGCACATAAACATACACACCAAAGCATGATTTCCAGCCAAGATCACGAAAATTAGCGCAAAGATCATCAAATACGCAGACTGAAACGGCAGCATTCCCAAATCGACCAAAGACAGCCCGCCCCCGGAATATGCCGCAAGGACCAAAAACAAAGAGAACCTGTCAGAATTGGATTAACAAATGCGTGGAATAATTTTCTGCGCACCAGGGCTTTTTGACCGGGCGGTACTGATTCTTAAATACCGAGTCGTAGCCGTGGGTCACTGACAGCCACGGCACGAAGAGGAGGAACGAGAACAGTTGCGTCCCGACGAAATACTGACACAGTTGAGTAACAGACACAAAAAAGACCCTCGAAGATGACCCACGCAAGGAATTAGGTAGCTCAACAGCCTCAGCGCCCTGTACTCAACACCCCCAATCGACTCCAGCTGGTCGTCATTCAGCGTCTCGGTCCGGAACGCCGAGTTGCGCCCGACGACCAGCCCGTCGAAACTCAGCCACGGCACCTTCTTCGCCTCGAGCGTCGATGTATACGGCAGCGTGACGGTGCGCTCGAACTTCCGGAACGCCGTCGGCGCGCCGCGCTTGAACAGCCGGCGCATCACCGTGACGGGCCCCGGGAACCCCCCGCTGCCCTGGAATTTCCGGTTCTCCGGCGCGACGGCGTGGTGCGCGCTGTAGATCGTCGCCGTGCGCCGGGGGAACACGACGCCCTCTGGCCGGCGGGGTCAACACAAGCGTCGAATTCGCACATGATTGTTATGCGACACATACCGCGGATAGTCTCCAGCCGGACCATGTGCGGCTGGACGCTGGTCGAATAGCCAAATCCCACACCGGCAGGCGGGCTAGACGAGTGGTACGTCCCCGGTGAATCAACAGGAGGCAACAAAATAGTGGCGGGCCGCGGCGAGGACGTAAAGGTCCGTGCGTCCGACACTGCCCGGTCCCCGGCATCGTCATCGTGTCCGCGGTCCGATTCGGCCTTCTCGGCATCGCGCGCCTCCATGCGCGCGGGCACCTCGTCAGCTTGCTTGAACACCGCGACCGGCGCCGAGATGTTTTGCTTCACCGCGGACCTGGAGCGCACCATGGTCTTGCGAAGACGCGAGGTGCGCCGCTGGTAGTCGACGTATTCGCAGACGTTCTGGAAGTACCATCTGTGTGCAGATACTATGGTCAGTTCAACGTGAATTTAAGATTGGAACTTTCTTGCTTTCGGACGAGAACCATCTGCAGAAGATGCGCGATTAAATCAACAAATATTCCGCAAAAGAAAATAACAGGGAACGAGACGCACAACCCAAGAGACGACGGTGATGTCCCCAATGAGCATTAAGAGATACAGTATTACCTGCTGCCAAGCAGTGACTACCAGAAAATGAAACAACGAAATGAATGCAAACCAAATTTACGCACTCATAGATAAATTGATAGTAGCGAGTCCTACAAGAACCGCTTCAATCGCACATCACGCGCCGCACACGAATTCCACGCTACCTGTAACAGTCATAGCAGAATAACTAACCGCACAACTCGTATTCAGACACGCGAACTCAGCAAACGCGTAGAACACGACGACACTCACCACATAAAAAGCGAGTCCAAAAACGATATCCGGTACTGTCCATTACTGGCGTAGAAGATCCCGGCAAACACAAGGGGTATCAGGGTAAAAGCAGTCAGGTGGAGTCTGTAAAATGTCCCGTGCTTCCACACGAAACCAGATATCCTGGAGAATATCCTGCGTCCGGGTCCGGGTCCGGGATCGGGCGGGTTGCTTGGGTCCGACTCCATGACGGTTGAAAGCAGGTCGTGTCGTCAAACTCATGATGCAGTGATGGCATCACCATCAAGGCGATTCCCGATGATGGTGCAGACAGAAGAGGCCTTGCGGGCCGCTTGCCATTCACAAGCGTTGGCTGGAGCATAATTATATACATGATACAATCCGTAAGCCCTAGGCGATCAAGTAAATGGACGTCGTCTAACAACAAACGGAGCAGGATGAGGATGGTGGTAACCTGTGTGCCGATGGATGATGGGAGAATTGCCAGCCTAGGTAACTGAACTAATTTTGAAAGGGAACGAGAGATTAGGCGGTACGTAACTAGAGAAAACTACTGGAAGCAGAAAACACGGCGAACGGGAAGAAAATGGGTCACTTTGGGAAATGGGAAAAGACGGTTTATGACAGGGCCCGTTGCAGATCAGCCCGCCTGAAGTCACGGTCAGCAACTGGCGTAGGAAAGATTTTAGCGAAATCGACGCACTTTCTCAGCATATCATACAGGAACTTGTAGCTCCGGAGATTACCCTTCATTCGTCGAATATCGAGACTGTAAGTGTCATTCAAGCGGTCGATACGGGTCAGCTCGACGGAGAAGCGGACTTCGTCCCCTGCGTCTTCTCCGGTGACACCATACACCGTCTCGGACGTTGGCTCGGACGTGATGATCCCGCTCTCGTCCGGATCGAAAGCAGTGGGCGAGGCAGTGGGTCCTGTTGAGACCTGCGACGACTGCCGGCGCATGAGAAGCCCGCGCAACATCCCTCCGCTGCTGAACGAGGACTGCGAAGGCATCGGCAGTCCACGCTTGTCGACCTGAGCGCAGAAATTTCAGAGGATGCTCAGATAACATCGGTCCAGAACACGTACCCCGTTCGATCCAGCACTGCCAACCATCGTGAACGCAGCCACACCCTGGGGATTGATGGTGGTCTTGCCCGAGCGACGCAACTTCGGTCGCACACAACGAAGCTTGAATTCGGTCTCAACCGCGAGCTCGATACCCATGCCCTGCAGAACCTGTTTGACATGCTCCATGACCTGCGGAGGCTTGCCAGTGGTGATGGTCCCTTGGTCGACAGCACCGTGGTGCACGCGCATGACAGCGCCAGCAGGCAAAACGGCCTCGCGGGAAGCCTTGCTCGAGGTCTCGTGGGCAGAGCCTCCGACATTGATAGATCGCCGGAACCGGTCCCTGAAACTCGTCGAGCTGGCCACTGTTGTCGTAGGAGAAACGGCAGACGCCGACGCAGCTTCGGGTGCGGCTGTCTTCTTCGCGCCGACGGTGGCTGAGACGATCGGCGAAAGGGCCGAGCTCGGAGTCGTGACCGTGATGTGCACAGGACCAGCGGAATCGCCCATGTCCGAAATCGAGTCTGCCGGGGAAGCGGTCACGGGACCAGGGGCACCCACAGAAAGGCTGTCGCGTCCCTTCCTGATCCAGTCCATGACCTTGCGGGCTTTGCTGGTGCTCGCTCTCATGCCACTGCCTTCCGCATCGAACGACTTGTCCGCGGTGGCTGATAGCGGCGGCGCCGGGGCGGGCGCGGCCGCGAGGGACGCCGGCGGAGCAGTACTCGTTGCGGTTTCCGGCTCCTTCTTCTTCGACATGGTGCTGCGGATGGAATTGATGGGGTTCACTATCACGGTAAGCCCCGTCAGCGTGTTGCGGCGACTCTTCTTTGCATCGGATTTGCTGGGGGTCTCCGCCTCGGCCTCTTTCTCCGCGGCGACATCGCCGTTGGTGAAGATTTCGGTGACGGGAGGCCGCTCCACGACTGCTTCCGAGCCTTTGGGAGATGAGTTCTTCCAGGTCGTGGGCGGCAGGTTCGGATCGGGAGGAAGAGGCTTGGGAGCGCCGCCTGACGAGGTGCTTCCGCGTCGACGCTTCTCCTTCCGTTCTGAAATGCTCGAGCTGTCCACGCCGTTCGTCTGGGGGGATGAAGCTGGCACCGGAGGAGCAACTGGAAGGGCAGGCGGGGAGATTGGCGGCATGACCGGCGCAGTGACAGACCGCGAAGGGCCCTGCGGCGACTTCGAAGGACTTGCAGGAGCGAACTCGATCGGTATCTCCCTTCCGCCAGAGCTCTCTGCGCGAGTACGCTGGCCGCGCCGCTCGCCGTACTCGATCTGGACCGTGTGCCGGAAACGCTCGTCCCGTTCCTTCTCCTTTCCTTTTCTAGGACTTTCCACCTCCTTGCGAGATGATTCGACCTCCGCCGCTCTGACTTTGGATTCACCGCCAGCTTCTCCCTCATCTTGCGCCGTTTCTGCCGGTCGTCTGGATGTACCAGGAGGAGGTCCGAACGGATCGTCGTCATCAGCAAACATGCCGCCAGACGCAGAATCGTACAACGTCTCCGGTTGGCGGCGGTTCCGCTGACTGTGGCTCTGGGTCTGGTTTTGGGTATGAGTCTGGGACTGGGTCAGAGTCTGCGAGCGAGAGATCTGGGGCGCCGGCGCCGCTGCCGGTGCAGCCGCTGCGCGCATTTGACGCTGGTAGGCAAGCCTCTTCATCTGGTGCTGATCCATCGCCGCGCTCTCTAGTTCGTCGACAGTCTTCCCGAAAGCATTTGGCACTCCCGGGAACTTGGGCTCGACATGGTACGCGGCCAGCCATGAATGCTGCATGACCGCATCAAGACTGGCACGTTTGCGAGGATCGGGGACGAGCATAAGCTTCAGCAGATCGCGCGCCTCGTCGGAGATGTAGTCTGGAAAAGAAAGTGGCGTATTGACGATGTATTTGTACAAAAGGTTGATGTTGTCGCCATCGGGATTGGCGGGGTCGTCGTCGAATGGAAGATAACCTGCGAGCATGGCGTAGAGGATAACTCCACAACTCCATATGTCCACCGCGCTACCCACATACAAGCCCTCGGAGATGACCAGCTCAGGGGCGGCATAGCACGGCGAGCCACAAGAGGTCTGCATAAGATCGTCCGCGCGATGCTCGAAACGGTTGGCAAAGCCAAAATCGGTGATGATGACATTCCGGTGTCTGTCGAGAAGGAGATTCTCCAGCTTGAGATCACGATGGACGATCTTCTTCTGGTGAATATACCAGACACCGGAGATCAGTTGCGAAAATAGCTTCGAGGCGTCCCGTTCTCGGAGGTATCGGTGGGCCAGAATGTGGTCGAAAAGCTCGCCACCCGAAGCGTACTCGATGACAATACCGATGTATTTGTCAGTCTCAATAACGTCGTAGAGTCGGACAATATTCGGGTGCTTTAGAGTCTAGAGAATGCGTGATCAGGAACCGTCTATAACGGCGGACGGAGAGCTGCCAACGAAAAGCCACGGCCGGCATGGTGAAACCCCACGTATCAAACAAGCCACCCAGGGGGGATGATGTGATACAGGCCCAGGAGAAGACGCGTCGGCGGCGCCAACGCACGCTCAAAAACAGACGCAAAGACACAGAAAGACAGTCAGAAAGATGCTTACTCGTAGAACTTCAATTTCCCGCTCGACCTTGGACATCCGGACCGCGCTATCGACATTTCCGCGCCTAATGAGCTTGACCGCAACTTCTTCTCCCCACTGTGAATGGAGTCCCAGCTTTACTTTTCCGAACTCGCCCTCCCCAAGCGTCTGCAGCAGGAGGTATGGCCCGAATTTGGGGATGGTCCGTCGCGGGTGCGCGGCCGCATATGCGGTCGCCGCGGGGTGAGAGTACACGTCCGTGTAGCCATTCGAGTTGGACGAGGGTTCGTGGGCTGGTGAAGAGGAGGAGGATGTGACAACTTGGTGTGAGGCACGGTGTTGTGCGGGAGGCTGACGTCGACTCTGCGATGAAGGCGCGACGGCGGCCGATACGGGCCGGGACGTCGGGGGAGGAATCTGTAGGCTCATCGTGGTTGTGCCTCACCCGCGGTGGCTCTGGCTACCTGCGTCGCTAGCGGAGGCTGGCGGCTCGACAACGCGCAGAGAAAGATGCAATTGCCTAATCCAGATGGCAACAGCCACGTGATGTGTCGTTACTCACTGATGCCAATTGCTCACGTTCATCTCGAGTCATGTTATAACACCGATGGACGTCTGCAGGCGTCTCTGAATGTTTCAGATGGATGGCCCACACGTTTCGTGAACCGACCACTCTACGGCAGAGAACGAGGGCAATTTTCAGTAGGTGATGGCATCTGATTGATTGATTATCACGTGTACTGTGCTCTCACAAGTTTCATTGACTAAGTGGATTTGAAATGGTCGGTCTCCATGAAACTTCATGAGTCCCATGTGCACGTGTGTCATTCTCGCCGAGCTGAAGTAGAATGAAAAAGATATTCCGGCCAAATAATATGGATCCTGTATGAGATTTTCCAGGTTGGGCTTAGGAACTCGTTCTGTCAAAGCATTGCGGTACTGAGATCGATCGAAATGACACAGAGAGGATGGGATCTGAGCCTAGCTGGCCTGGGTTGAGCTAATCCTCAGCTTGCGATTTCGCTACCTCAGCCAAACGAAGTCTGACGGGCGTCAATATTGGCATGCTGAGAACGGAGTCCGAGAAACGATAGTCACTTGTTCCTGGCAGAGAGAACCCTCATCGTGGTCTCTCTTTCTGCCTGCGTCATTTGGGCCCAGTTTGCGATGCGGGATAGGGTCTGAACGACTCAAGATCGAAATCTCATTCTGACACCATGAAACCATTCTCAGCGTACCCCGTCCGAATTCACAACCATGGGTCCCAGGTCTTCTAGTTTCACGGCTTCTCCATCGACTTCCAAAGGAGCGCGGTCTTCGGAGGGGGTGTCGCTGAGCAGGAGTGGTTGAGAGTGACCGAGCCCATGGCCGCTAGACACCGATGATTGCGAATCAGCGTGCGAAGTCATCTTCAAGCAAGCTTTTTGCGTTGTGAGATGACACGATCGCTCCGGAAGTCCTGCGTGTTACAACGTGCAAGTTAGGATGGAAGCAACACAGAATGTGACGTCACTCCTGTAATCGCCGCTTAGCATTCAGCCATGGCGCGCCCAAGTTGCTCTGAGCTCTAGACGCTATG